GTTGCAATGAGCTGAGATCATGCCATTGTTTTGAGACAGAGCCATATCTTGTCCAAAAACAGAAAGGAAAAAAAAAAGAAAAAATTTTTTTTAAAAAGGGGAGGCAGGCACATCTTCACATGGCCAACATGAGATAAAGAGAGAGTGAAGGGGGGAGATGCTACACAATTTCAAACAAGCAAATCCTGGGAGAACTCTATCACAAGATGGCACTAGGGGGATGGTGCTAAACCATTAGAAACCACTAATCCCCGCACCCCACCCCCCACCTATGATCCAATCACCTTCCACCAGGCCCCACCTCCAACCCTGGGGATTACAATTCAACATGAGATTTAGGTGGGGATACAGAGCCAAACCATATCAGGTATCTACTGTAGTGACAAATATCAGGTTGCCAATGCAAATAATATCAAGTGTTAGTCTACATTTGAACTTAATCCTCGTTGTGGTCAGTATGAGTCAGAAAAACAGAGCATATGAGAGAAATGAGGCTAAAGGTAGGAGTTCTAGGAACAGCAATCATAGATTTGGCCAATGAATATACCAGATTTTTTTTTTTTTTTTTTTTTTTTTTTTTTTTGAGACAGAGTCTCACTATGTTGGCCAGGCTGGAGTACAGTGGCACGATCTCAGCTCACTGTAACCTCTGCATTCTGGGTTCAATCGATTCTTCTGCCTCAGCCTCCTGAGTAGCTGGGACTACAGGCGTGCACCACCACACCTGGTTAATTTTTGTACTTTTAGTAGAGACAGGGTTTCACCATATCAGCCAGGCTGGTTTTGAACTCTGGACCTCATGATCTGTCCGCCTCGGCCTCCCAAAGTGATGGGATTACAGGCGTGAGCCACTGCACCTGGCCGAATATACCAGATTTTCTATGGAAAATTCAGTTTTTAATATTTCATTAATTTAATCACACAAATTGCCCTGTCAGATTGTGTTCTGTGATATGAAAGACCAAAATAGATGCTCCTTTATCAACTAAGAACACGAAAGTTAAGGAAATGAAAGTTACCTATGGGTGGAAGGTTCAGGGCTTGGCTGGCATGGCAACTTTGCAAACTCCTAAGGCTACAAGAAAAACCACTCTTGCTAAATTTGCTAAAAATATTGGGAAAATTGTGAGAACCTTATCAACCCTGATTTACAATCCAAACCACTATAGCTCTGATTGGACAAAGAACCAGCTTTACAAACATTCTTTCCTGATAAGCAACTGAAGACTTCAAGCCAGTTTCAGCCAGTTTATAGAGACTACATGCAAACTTTGTGTCCAACAGTTCACCTTTAGACATGAAGAGCCAAGTTCCACCTTATTTTAATGTTAAAACCTTACCCCAAAGTGAACATGGGATGTGTTACATATGTTTATCCACTGCACATGTGTTCAACTCCCCTCATATATATATAACTTTTCTCCCAAATGTGCTGAATGTTTTACTCCATTGTGTGATACAGGCCATGTGAGGCATAAAAACCAACCTGCTCCCTTCCCTCTGGGAAGAGAGAGCACCTGTGGCATAAGCTGGAGACCGTCTCTTCCAGCTTTGCAAGCTGAAATCACCCATAGAGCTCTCCTTTCTACTACTTAGCCATCCTGGTGGTCTTTTGGATAACATTTTCTTTTCCTTTAAAGAAACATGATCTATTCGACTCTGTTGCTGAGGTTGGAGTGAGGTGGTGCCATCTCGGTTTGCTGTAGCCGCAGACTCCAGGTCTCAAGTGATCCTCCCACTTCAGCCTCCCAAGCAGCTGGGACTACAGGTATGTGCCACCATGCCCAGCAAAATTTTTTTAGTTTTTGTAGAGATAAGGTCTCACTATGTTGCCCAGACTGGGCTCAAGTGATCCTCCCGCCTCAGCCTTCCAAAGTGCTGGGATTACAGGCATGAGCCATTGCACGTGGCTGGATGACAGTTCTTTAGGTTTATCTGTGTTCTTATTTTAGGTTTGGAAAGATGGTATGACACTGTGATGTGTAAGATCATTATGTAGTATGTATAGATAGTCTTCATCTCAGTATTCTGACACACAGCTCCTAAAACCCTGGGAACCTCCAAAGTGATGTGTTTTTTTTGTGTACTAATGAAATGACAATGATAAACGGGTTTCTGCATGCTAGAAGCTCATGGATAGCTTCAGGATGGGGGAGCTTCTTGCCCAGGAACCAACCTTGTGATTAAAGAGTTATGACTTTCAGTCCCAACCCCAACCTTGAAAGAGATGCTGAAGGTTGAGCTAATCACCAACCGGGTCAATGATTTAATGAGTTCTGCCCACATAAGGAAGCCTCCATAAAATCCCAAAAGAAAGGAAGAGGCAGGTAGGTCACTTGAGCCCAGGAGTTCGAGACAAGCCCGGGTAACATGGTGAGACCCCATCTCTACAAAAAATACAAAAATTGGCTGGGTGTCGTGCTATGCACCTGTTAGTCCCAATTACTCAGGAGGCTGAGATAAGAGGATTGCATAAGCCTGGGAGGCAAAGGTTTCAGTGAGCAGAGATCATGCCACTGCTCACTCCAGCCTGGGTGACAGAGTGAAACCCTGTCTCAAAAACAAAAACAAAACAAAAATCCAAAAGAAAAGGGTTGGTAGCCGGGCATGGTGGCTCACGCCTGTAATCCAAGCACTTAGGAGGCCAAGGCAGGCGGATCACCTGAGGTCAGGAGTTCAAGATCAGCCTGACCAGCATGGTGAAACCCTATCTTAAAAAAAAAAAAAAAAAAAAGGTTGGATAGCTTCCAAATTGCTGAACATGTGGAGGTGCCTAGAAGGTGGGGCACCCAGAGATAGTGTGGAAGCTCTAGAGTTCTGCTGGCTTTTCCTTATGCATCTCTTCCATCCGGCTGTTCATCTGGATACTTTAGTATATCTTTTATTAATAAACTGAAAAATATAAGTATAGTGTTTCCTTGAGTTCAGTGATTTGCTCTAAGCAAATTAATCAAACCTGAAGAGGTGGGCATAGAGACCTCAATTTACAGTGGGTTAGTCAGAAATATGTGACAACCTGAAGCTTGTGATTGGCATTGGAAATCAGGAGGCAGTCTTTGAGGACTGAACCATTAAACTGAGGGATCTGATGCTATCTCCAAGTAAATAGTGTTAGAAATGAATTAACCCCCAGCTGATCTTAGCCGGAGAATTGCGTAGTGTATGGGAAAAACTCCATGCATTTGGTCACAGAAGCATTCTGTGTTGTATTGAGTGAATGTAAGAGTAAGAAGAGCACTTTGAATAAGGGTCTGTAAGAGTAAGAGTAAGAAGAGCACTACAGTGCCTCTTGTCTGTAATCCTAGCACTTTGGGAGGCTGAGACCGGCAGATCACTTGAGGCCAGGAGTTGGAGACCAGTGTGGCCAACAATGGTGAAATCCTGTCTCTATAAAAAAATAAAACTAAGAAAAAATTTAAAGGAAAAGGATTTTGATTTACTCCCCCCATCTCTACTAGATACTGTAAATATACCTGGTCTCCAAGCTTCTTGAATTTTGTCTATTAGCAATTTAATTTTGAACTGAAATCCCTAACACAAGAAATGTACACAAAACTAGAAACTTAAAAGGATAAAATAAAATATGTTAGTGGATCTTCTAATATCCACACACCCCTTGGAAGGTCATGTGTACCTGCTGTCCATGTACCCCATTTTGGAGAACACTAATGGAAGAATAAAGGCAGTGTTTACAGTGAGAAGAGGCCCAGGACTACTTCAGATAATCTCCACACCTGGAACCTGATCTGAAATAAGCTCTGATCTGAAATCAGATCTGAAATCTGTAGTTAAGAATCTAACTTAATTTATGTTTGATTGCTGATGGCTTTTAAGCCTTACCCCACTCCTCTTCCCCTTCTGCCCCACACCTCTGGCAAGCTAAGAAAGCCTGGGTACTGGCGAGATGTGGTGGCCCATGCCTGTAATCCAAGCACTTTGGGAGGCCAAGGCAGGAAGATCACTTGAGCCCAGCCTGGGCAATATAGTGAGACCCCCATCTCTTAACAAAAATAAAGTAAAGCCTGGATGTTTCCTTCTTTGATGCCAGTGGGAAATTCAAACCACATAAAAGAAGCATCACTCTTGCCCTAATTCCTAACCCATAAAAACCCCAAGTCAGTCGCCTTCCCTGCTGTCAAGTCATTTTTGGATTTGTTTAGGAGCTGCCCTGCTTTCCCCAGAAAGCTTCCTTATGTGAGTCACAACCCTTTTATATTCTGTTGGTGTGTGGGTGGCTTCATCAGTCATTTTTTTTTTTTTTTCTTGAGACAGGGTCTCACTGTGTTGCCCAGGGTACAGTGCAATGGTGCAATCATAGCTCACTGCAGCCTCAACTTCTGGGCTCAAGTGATCCTTATGCCTCAGCCTTCTGGGCAGCTGGGACAACAGGTGCACACAGCCATGCCCAGATAATTAATTTTTTTTTTTTTTTTTTTTTTTTTTTTTTGCAGAGATGGGGCCTCTCTATGTTGCCCAGGCTGGCCTTGAACTCCTGGACTCAAGTGATCCTCCTACCTTGGCTTCCCTAAGTACTGGGATTACAGGTGTGAGCTGCTGAACCTGGCTGTCAGTCTGGATATCTGAACCAAATTTTGGGTGTGGAATGCATCCTGTCTCATTGTGGGATGGCCACAAAAAACAGCATCCTCTTTACAGTCCATCTACTGCTTTATTTCTTTTCATAGCACTTAATACCACCTGACATATTATATATTTATTGTTTGTCTTCCCCACTAGACAGATCCCCAGCTTTAGTAAAGTGTTTGGCATAATCATCCAAGTGGTACTTTGCTAGCATTGTTTTTTTATGTTATTTTATTTTATTTTACATAAACGACTTGATGGAGCTAGCTCTGTTAAAGGCACTAGTGCTACAGTCATGAACAAGGCCATTGCCTGCATAAAGTGCACACTCCAGAGAACAGGGTAGGTGTTCAATACATATTTGTTAAATGAAAGACTATTAATATTATTTTTCTCTGGAAGTAAGATATTAAAAATACAATATTTCATAAATTTAATTCATTTTTTGCATCAAAATAGTGCTTAAAATAATAGGAATGTATACTCATAAGACATAGCTAACATCCAAAGTAGACAATTAAACATATTATTTGAAAATTATTTACTTAGTGCTAAAGAATTCCTAAATTTGCACATTAGCAAGATTGGCATTAGCACCATTACAAAGTTGATCTTTGGCTCATGATTATTCAAAGAACATCCAGGAAAATGTCAACCATTACAATCAGTGAGTATAATTTTATACTTCAGCAAGTACAGTGGTCATGTTCAGCAACAGCCTCACTTACAAATTAAAGTAAGCTCACTTCAGTGTTGCATTTTGATGCTGTTTTTCCCCCCTCTCTTGCATTTTAAATACCAGCAAAATACAAATTGCTTCTAAGTGGCAATCGAAACAAGGGAGGAATTATGGCTAACCAACCAGTTGCTAATATTTGTGTTTTTTTTATTTAAGAAAAGATTTAAATAATATAGATAGGGTCTCACCATGGTGTCCAGGCTGGTCTTGAACTCCTAGGCTCAGGAAATCCTCCCACAGGCTTCGGCCACCATGCCCAGCCTGTTAATGCTGGTGAAAGGCAAATTGCAAACTTCTATGGTTTAACTTCAGAAGGGTAAAGGGCTTCCCACCTGCCACCTTGTTCCATGAAAAGAGTATACGCTGATTACTAGAATGTTTAAAATTCATTACAGATTCAATAACGATCAACATTTCTAAACACTGATTTTTCTCTCTTTTTCAAATTTTTTTAATGTCATGCAGGTAGTAACACTGATTTTTCTCATACTCAGAAACATCTACTTAGCAGTTGTGTGACACTAATTTGCATAGTAGAAATAACTGCATGATTCCTGATGTTTATATTCAAGGTATAAACATGACTGATTTTGCTAAAAGTATAGAATAAAAAAACAATGAAGCTGGTATGTAAAAAATTAAAGAATATCTCAATTAGGTATTTTTGTTCCCCATTTCTTTCAGACAGATCTATGAAATAATATAGAATATAATGTCAATATATCCTTTCATATGAAGTTATAAAAAGGGGTTTAAGTAGTGAGATCATTTTTATTTTGTACTTTTTAAAAAAATAGAGACAGGGTCTTGCTTTGATGCCCAAGCTAGTCTCAAACTCCTAGGCCAGGCATCCCCAAACTACGGCCACGGGCCACATGCGGCCCCCTGAGGCCATTTATCCGGCCCCCCGCTGCACTTCAGGAAGGGGCACCTCTGTCATTGGTGGTCAGTGAGAGGAGCACAGTATGTGGCGGCCCTCCAACGGTCTGAGGGACAGTGAACTGGCCCTCTGTGTAAAAAGTTTGGGGATGCCTGTCCTAGGCTCTAGTAAGTCTTCTGCCTCAGCCTCCCAAAGGGCTGGGATTATAGGTATGAGCCATTGTGCCTGGCCTGTGAGATCATTTCTATTGGTTTTACAGATGTATCAATTAATGAGTCAACAATTAATTAACCTTAATTATTTCTTTTTCTAAATAAGTATCAGCTGATTTAATCTCGCCCAACTGAATGAGTCTCCTTTGGTTGATCAATGCGATAGAGAAACTCTGCAGGTAAGAAGTATCCAAGATATTCCACTATGTCTGGAGTAGTGTCATAATGGTAGTGTCCACCTTCTCCATGATGACTAAAAAAATGAGTGTGCTCCAGTCGCAAATCAAACCCCTAGGACAACAGACAAACAACATGTTAGTATTCAAATTATTTTGATTAGAGTTTAAGGGGGAAGGAGAACTTTTCACGTTGCAGTAGTTTTTGTTTTTTATATAGGTAATACGTTCACATGTTCGAAATTCAAAGAGTGCAAAAAGATATATTCAGTAAAATGTACCTTCTTCTCTCTTGCCCTCACCACTCACTACCCTTCCTAGCAGATAACCAGTGTAAGCAGTTTCTTGCATACCCTTCCAGAAATATTTATTTTTACTCAAATGTATTATTTTGTACACACTTTTCTGCATATAACTTTTTTTCACTTAACAATTTAACTTTGAGATCTTTGTATATCAAATCATAAAAGAGCTTCCTCATTCTTTTATACCTATGTGGTATTCCATTGTTTACATAACTTCTCAACTGAATGTAATCACTCAATCAAAAGATATGATCAGGCTGGGTACAGTAGCTCACACCTGTATCCCACCACTTTGGGAGGCTGATGTGGGTGGATCACTTGAGGTCAGGAGCTCCAGACCAGACTGGCCAACATGGCAAAACCCTGTCTCTACCAAAAATACAACAATTAGCCGGGTGTGATGGTGAGCACCTGTAATCCCAGCTACTCAGGAGGCTGAGGCAGGAGTATTGCTCAAACCCAGGAGGCAGAGGTTGCAGTGAGACGAAATGGCACTACTGCACTCCAGTCTGGGCAACAGAGCAAGACTCTGTCACAAAAACAAAACAAAACAAAACAAACACCAGTAATATAGTAGACATTTGCTTGGAACTGGTCTATAATTTTTTTCCCTAGTATATAGTATTGTAATATAATGAACACCAAATAAGATGATAGGAGACCTGAATCCTAGTTGTGACTCTACTATTGCTTGTTTGTTTTGAGATGGTGGTTATACTGTTACCCAGGCTGGTCTCAAACTTCTGGGTTCAAGTCAGCCTCCTCAGTAGCTGGGAATACTGTGGTATGCCACCGTGCCGAGCTACACCTGCTATTTAATAAAATAATTTTGGATGTTATTTAAAATGCTTGTGCCTTCATTTCCTCAAAGGTAAAATCTGTTTTGCCTAACTGAGGGTGGTGAAGAGCTTCCATATCTTCCAAAATAATTCTAGAGGCTATCCTAATTCTTTTTTTCTTTTTCTTTTTAAGACGGTGTTTCACCTTGTTGGTCAGGCTGGTCTTGAACTCCTGACCTCAGGTAATCTGCCTGCCTTGGCCTCCAAACTCCTTGAATTACAGACGTGAACCACCACACCCGGCCCCCTAATTCTTAAATAACAACAACACATGGCTGGGTGAGGTAGCTCAGCTTGTAATCCCAGCACTTTCGGAGGAGGTGGGCAGGTCATCTGAGGTCAGGAGTTCGAGACCAGCCTGATCAACATGGCGAAACCCAGTCTCTACTAAAAACACAAAAACTAACCAGGCACAGTGGCGCATGCCTATAATCCCAGCTACTCAGAAGTCTGAGGCAGAAGAATCGTTGGAACCTGGAGGTGGAGGTTACAGTGAGCTGAGACAGTGCCGTTGCACTCCAGCATGGGCAATTAAGAGTGAAATTCTGTCTCAAAAAAATGAGAAAACAACACAAAAAATGCCTCGTTCTTAAAGATGAGCATAAAAATCAAGCATTATCATTGTAGTATAATATAAAAAATAGACACAGACTTACTGGGTCTCTGGAGACAAAAACTGGTAGACAAACCAAAGGAGCCTTCATCTCATAAAAATGCAACCATTTATTGACCTCTTCATCAGAGTTCAAGGGGCAGGAAGAAAATTCTGCAGGCTACAACAAAAGATAATTACTTAGGTAAACATACTGAATGTTACTAAGAATTAAAAATTTTTAAAAATATATTTTATTCACTTTCTATTTTCTATTTTTATTTTTTGTGAGATAGGGTCTGGCTCTGATCACTCAGGCTCAAGTGCAGTGGGACGGTCACAGTGGGCCTGGAAAAGACACCACAAGTTTCCAGTCTGGTCTGTGGGATTGGCAGCTGGGCCCCCAGCCTTCAGGCCCTCCCTGGCCTGAAGGTAGGGCCTCACCGGAAACCCGCCCCCTTCTGTCCAGGAATCTGTGGGCCTCCTGTGGCCATTCACAGAATCCAGGCTGTAGGTGCCAAAGGGTGCCTGAAGGCTAGTGCCGAGCTGCCCTCACCCTCCGCTGTTTTCCTTCTATGCTTGTGTCAGCATCCAAAATCCAGAGGGGGCTGGTGTGTCAGCACTACCGTGAGCGTGTGCACACTTGGCTGGGCTGTGACGACATCAGGGTTCAGCCTGACTTTGCTCCTGGATTGAGCGGGCTCTGACAGCAGGGAGAACCCAGGTAGTGGGAGCAGGCATTTCCAAACCTGCAAGAGCAGTGGGGGTCTTCCCAGACCCTCAATAGTACAGGAATGCCTGGGTCTATAGCCAATTTGTGCAGCTACAGCTTCGTGGAGAAGGTAGGGCTCCTGCCTGCTCCGTGGAGCAAGAGACCCAGGTTTATAGCTGCAGGTTTGAGCGGCTACAGTTGCGCTTGGGAAGGTAGGGATCCTGCCTGCTCCGGCGCCTGACAGCACAGGGATGCCAGGGACCACAGCCATGGCTTGGACAGCTGCAGCGGCACCAAGGGAGCCCCCATGCCAACTCGGAAAGGGTGGCACTCCCACTTGTCCCCAGCTTCCACTGGATCCGTGGAGTGTGCAGCCCCAGCCGTGTCTCCCTGATGCAGCTGCTTCAGTCTGCCTGCTGCTGCCACCATCACTATGTTGACCAGGCTGGTTTTAAATTCCTAGCCTCCAGCAGTCCTCCCACCTGGGCCTCTCAAAGTACTGGGATTACAGGCATGAGCTGCTGTGTGGGCCTGGAATTTATTTTTATCTTAAAAGCAAACTTATTCAAAATAAAGTTTTAATATATTAACATGGATAAAGACATTATCTTGGCAGGTGTGGTGGCTCACACCTGTAATCCCAGCACTTTGGGAGGCTGAGGCGGGTGGATCACCTGAGGTCAGGAGTTCGAGATCAGCCTGATCAACATGGCGAAACCCCATCTCTACTAAAAAATACTAGATTAGCTGGGTATGGTGGTGAATGACTGTAATCCTAGCTACTCTGGGGGCTGAGCAGGAGAATCACTTGAATCCAGGAGGTGGAGGTTGCGGTGAGCCGAGATCATGCCATTGCACTCCAGCCTGGGCAACAATAGCAAAACTCCATCTCAAAAAAAAAAAAAAAAAAAGAAAAACAAAAAACATATTATCTCACAATCTGATTCACAATATTATCATTTAAATTTTAAAGTAATACAATCATAGTAAAAATAATTTGTTCACAGTGTCTTTTAATGTAGAATTCCCAACATATACTTTACAATCCTAAGATCTGGCTGGGTGCAGTGTCTTAACATCTGTAATCCTAGTACCTTGGGAGGCCGAGGCGGGTGCATCACCTGAGGTCAGTAGTTGGAGACCAGTCTGGCCAACATGGCAAAACCATGTCTCTACTAAAACTACAAAATGAGCCTGGTGTGGTGGTGTATGCCTATAATCTCAGCCACTCGGAAGGCTGAGGCAGAATAATTCCTTGAATCTGGGAGGGAGAGGTTGCAGTGAGCCAAGATCATGCCACTGCACTCCAGCCTGGGCAACAGAGTGAGGCTTCATCCATTCATTCATTCATTCATTCATTTATTGAGGCTCCGTTTGAAAAAAACAATCCTAAGATCTTAAGCATGTGTACACACACAAACTCCTTCATGCATGTATTCACACATGGCCTCTTACCATAATGTGAGACTTCACTTTTCCCTTCTGAATTATGAAAGTACCTCCCATCCCTACAGGCTTATTTCCATAATGTTTTTCCAGGTTCTGTCTCATACAAGTCACAAAGTTAAGTGGTCCAGTTCTTCTTTTGGCTTTCACCTCAATTACCTATAGAGGAAATAAAGATGCATACCATTGATTATGCTGCAAAATAACTACCTAAGTAAAACATTATATAATTTAATGCTATCAAGCAAATACTGTGTTCTTTGCTTAGAGCCCCCAGATCTGAGTTTAGACGTCACAACCCCGTGAGTCTTGATCAATCATATATATATATATGTATACACACACACACACACACACACACACACACACGCATATGTATCAGTTATATGTAATTTACTGATAAGTCTTAAGCACGCTTTCTTCAACTGAGAAACTGAGAGTTATTGACGAGTCCTACACTGAACTCTAGACTCTTAACATACATGTCAAGGCAGTAAAAGTTTGAGAATTACCTTCTTTAAAGAAATTAACCTTTGGTAAGTGGGGGTGAGGAGAAAATGATTACATTTTCTCACTTCCCATAAAATTCTGCACTGTGTTATCTCCCCAACTCGGAAGATAAGTATTTTCACTTCCCAATCTCATACCTCAAAGTAGCTGAAGAGGCTATCTCCACTTACAAAACAGGAGAGTCTTCACAAAAGCTAACACTGAAATCATCTTTTATGTACTAACAGGAAGTAAATAGGAAGCAAAGCATTAATTTTCCTTACTTTCTTCCTGCTGTAAGATTTTGCTACCAACATTTCTATCTAGAGCATGTGTGATTTGTCAAAAGGAGCAGATAACCTATTTACTACCTATAAGTATGCATTATGTATTTTAGCTGTGTGGTTCATGTAGATGACTAACTCACTCCCCAAATTAATATTCTGTTATCTTTTGGTTCTCAGAAAAAGGTCTTGCTTACTAAGTATTCTTCTTTTTTTTTTTTTTTTTTTGAGACAGGTCTTGCTGTCACCCAGGTAGGAGTACAGTGGCATGATCACAGCTCATTGCAGCCTCAAAAACCTGGCACAAGGGATCCTTTTGCCTCAGCCTCTTGAGTAGCTAGGACTGCAGGCATGTATTACCACACCTGGCTAATTAAAAAAAAAAAAATTGTTTAAAAACAGGGTCTTGCTATGCTGCCCAGGGTGGTCTGAAACTGCTAGCCTTAAGTAATCCTCCAGTTTTGGACTCTCAAAGCGCTGGAATTATAGGCATGAGCCACTGTACCAGCTGTATTATTCTTTTTCTTTTTTTCTTTTTGTTGAGACAGCATCTTGCTCTGTTGCCCAGACTGGAATGCAATGGTGTGATCTTGGCTCACTGCAACCTCCATCTCCCAGGTTCAAGTGATTCTCCTGCCTCAGCCTCCCAAGTAGCTGGGACTATAGGAGTGTACCACTAGGCCCGCCAATTTTTGTATTTTTAGTAGACATGGGGTTTCGCCAAGTTGGTCAGACTGGTCTCAAACTCTTGACCTCAGGGGATCCATCTGTCTCAACCTCCCAAAGTGCTAGGATTACAGGCGTGAGCCACTGTGTCCAGCCCCCAGCTGTATTATTCTTAACCTTAGTTTTAAAGATAACTTTTGCTCTGCATGTAGTACTCTCTCAATCTTTCATTACTGGGTTAAAGAGCTTTGACTTAAGAAGCTCTAATTTTCTTTTTCCTTTCTTTTTTTTTTTTCTTGACATAGAGTCACACTCACTGGCCCAGACTGGAATCCAGTGGTGCGATCTCGGCTCACCACAACCTCTGCCTTCTGGGTCTGAGTGATTCTCTCACCTTAGCCTCTTGAGTAGCTGGGAATACAGGCACACACCACCACACCCTATTAATTTTTGTATTTTTTGGTACAGATGGGGTTTCACCATGTTGGCCAAGCTGGTCTTGAACTCCTGACCTCAAGTTATCCACCTACCTTGGCTTCCCAAAGTGAGAAGTTCTAATTTTCTTAGCAAAACCATATTTAGGGTAGTAACAGTTCAAATTTTTAGCTATCTGAGAACATTTAGGGAATATGGTATTTTTATGGACAAAATCACCTTGCCAGGTTGCCCCTCACTGGCAAAAAGATTAGCCAATAATGCACACTCAAAATCATGATGCTTCTCACTGTATTTCTCCAGAAGGTACCCTCCATCTGCAGAGTTCACATGGGCAAAGTAACTTCCATTCACAGGAGGCTTGTGTTCACTTTCTGTCTGAATAACTGGCATAAACTGAAAAGAAAGTAAGGTAATTACTCAATCTTTATATCTCTTCAATAAGAATATCTTGAATAATGTCACAAAACATTTAATCCTTTTAAGATATTTTAGTTCAAGTCCTAATAAGAGAACATAAAATATGTAATATTTAATTTTAGACATAAAAAACTTGAAAAACATTTTATAAGATATTTATAGGCCGGGTGCGGTGACTCATGCCTGTCATCCCAGCACTTTGGGAGGCCAAGGTGGGCAGATCATGAGGCCAACATGGTAAAACCCCATCTCTACAAAAACACAAAAATTAGCTGGGCATGGTGGTGCACACCTGTAGTCCTAGCTATTCGGGAGGCTGAGGTAGAATTGCTTGAACCCAGTAGGCGGAGGCTGCCGTGAGCTGAGATCACACAACTACACTCTGGCCTGGAGACAGAGTGAGACTCTGTCTCGAAAGAAAAAAAGAAATTTATGGTATTTCTTACAGTATATCTATAAATTGCATGAAATATCTTATTTTAACTTTTAAACTTTTTTTATTTTTTAAATTTAATTTAATTAATTAATATATTTTTTGAGACGGAGTTTCACTCTTGTTACCCAGGCTGGAGTACAATGGTGTGATCTCAGCTCACCGCAACCTCCGTCTCCTCGGTTCAAGCAATTCTCCTGCCTCAGCCTCCCAAGAAGCTGGGACTACAGGCGTGTGCCACCATGCCCACCTAATTTTTGTATTTTTAGTAGAGACGGGTTTTTTTGTATTTTTAGTAGAGATGGGGTTTCACCATGTTGACCAGGATGGTCTCGATGTCTTGACCTCGTGATCCACCCGTCTCGGCCTCCCAAAGTGCTGGGATTATAAGTGTGAGCCACTGCACCCGGCGTTATTTTTTATTTTTAACTTTTAAACTTTTTTTCCTAACTTGAACACTAGGCAAATTGTATTAATGTTTCTGCAAAGAACTGGTATGACTATTTTTTTTTTTTTTTTTTTTGAGACGGAGTTTCGCTCTTGTTACCCAGGCTGGAGTGCAATGGCGCAATCTCGGCTCACCACAACCTCCTCCTACTGGCCTCAGGCAATTCTCCTGCCTCAGCTTCCTGAGTAGCTGGGATTAAAGGCACGTGCCACCATGCCCAGCTAATTTTTTGCACTTTTAGTAGAGACGGGGTTTCACCATGTTGACCAGGATGGTCTCGATCTCTCGACCTCGTGATCCACCCGCCTCGGCCTCCCAAAGTGCTGGGATTACAGGCTTGAGCTACCGCGCCCGGCCTGGTATGACTATTAATAGTCGTATCTGAAGAAGTTATGAGAGAATGAGCAGACTGAAGTCTTCTATTAATGAGATTCAAAGTATTTTCTTTTCTTTCTTTTTTTTTTTTTGAGATGGAGTTTCGCTCTTGTTACCCAGGCTGGAGTGCAATGGCGCGATCTCGGCTCACTGCAACCTCCGCTTCCTGGGTTCAGGCAATTCTCCTGCCTCAGCCTCCTGAGTAGCTGGGATTATAGGCACGCACCACCATGCCCAGCTAATTTTTTGTATTTTTAGTAGAGACGGGGTTTCACCATGTTGATCAGGTTGGTCTCGATCTCTCGACCTCGTGATCCACCCACCTCGGCCTCCCAAAGTGCTGGGATTACAGGCTTGAGCCACCGCGCCCGGCCTCTTTTTTTTTTTTTTTTAAGAGACAGGGTTTTTCCATGTTGGTCAGGTTGGTTTTGAACTCCTGACCTCAGGTGATCCGCCCATCTCAGCATCCCAAATTGCTGAGATTACAGGCGTGAGCCACCACGCCCAGCTAGAAACAGTAATATTATCATATGCTAATAATATATACTAGTAATCACTATTAATTTTTATAAATAACCATCATATTATTCTGATAGTTTCCTACTATTTGGTCTAGAAGAGGGAGTTGACCAGATCACTATTATTCCATTCATCTTCTGATCCAAAGCTGTCTGCATACCCAAAGCAAAGATTTATAGAGAAGCTAGGAATCATGTAAGAATATAAGTATTTTATAATCCAAACCTTCAGCAGAATACCCTAGGACCCTGCATTTATTTAAGGCTGAACCTATAACCTAAGAAAATCTAAAACTATAAGTTAGTATTCATCACAGTTAGACCAGTTGAAGTGTGTGCTATACCACAAATCTGTATCAAGTAGTATTAAATCTGCAGAGAGATTTACAATTCAGTCAGAAAGTAGGATTTTTGGCACTGAAAGCAAAAAGACACATCAGATGTCAAATCAATAAAGTAAAATAATTATCTTATATATGCCGACCTCAGAATTGAACCCAAGAGTTTGAAATGGACCTGCTCCTGCTCCAAGAATAAAAGCTCCAGGTAGCTTGATTTCTTTTGCAATTTTATTCAGATCATAAACCTATAGAAGAGGAAAAAATATTATTAAAATCATAACTTGACCAAGTCCCTGGTTTATCTTTTATTACTGGTCCATTAGCACTTCCTTGCCAATTGAGCAACAGGTCTTCTAATAATAAACAGGGTAATCAATCCAACTTCTACAATCTTCAAGCGAACATGCCGAGTAAAAGTACTTACTTTTTTTTGGTTTACAAGAGGCAATAAGTAAGGCACACCTCCTACTTCTGCAATTCTAGTTTTCCCACAGATGCCTTAAAAAAGAAAAAAAACACAAGCCATCTTAAAAATAGGCAAACATCTAATTTAATAATAAAATGTGAGAAGACATGAATTTAATTTATTAACAGTACGTAACTTCTCCATTCTCATAGAGGTTTACCAATATTCAGGGACTGGAAAATATAAGTAGCTAGAACCCCTGTCCTATTTTAACTACCTGTGTCTCTAATATCATCATAACCAAGCATGGCTTATATAGTTGGTGGCATAAAGGCAATACAAGGCAAGGGCAAGGGTTAGAACTGGGGCCCAAAGTTTGGATTGGGTGAGGTTTGCTGAATGTCTTTAATGCCTTATTTCTTTAAAAAAAATGTTTGTTTGTTTGTTTGTTTGTTTTGGTTAAAATTGTTGTTTTTTAACTTAAAATATTTTGCTCTGATAGAATGTAAATTCTTAGGCCAGGCGCAGTGGCTCATACCTGTAATCCCAGCACTTCCGGAGGCTGAGGCGGGAGTATCACTTGATGTCAGGAGTTTGAGATGAGCCTGGCCAACATGGTGAAACCCAGTCTCTTCCAAGAACACAAAAATTAGCTGGGTGTGGGGGCATGCACCTGTAGTTCTAGCTACCTGGGAGACTGAGGCAGAAGAATTGCTTAAACCTGGGAGGTGGAGGTGGTGGGCGGGGGGCGAGATCGCACCACTGCACTCCAGCCTGGGCAACAGAGTGAGACCGTCTTAAAAAACAAAACAAGCTGGGCGTGGTGGCTCATGCCTGTAATCCCAGCACTTTGGGAGGCTGAGGCAGGTAGATCACCTAAAGTCAGGAGTTCAAGACCAGCCTGGCCAACATGATGAAACCCAGTCTCCACTACAAATACAAGAATTAGCCAGGTATCGTGGTGCACACCTGTAATCCCAGCTACTCAGGAACTGAGGCAGGAGGATCACTTGAACTTGGGTGGGGGTGGATGCTGCAGTGAGCCAAGATCACGCCACTGCACTCCAGCCTGGGCAACAGAGTGACTCTGTCTCAGAAAACAAAACGAAACAAAACAACCCAGAGAGATCTAGGTGAGAGGTACAAATTTCAAAATTGTATTCAGGCAGTAATTAAAACCATAAGAGTAGATTAAAAAAAAAAACCAGATAGATTATTCAAAATTAGAAAGGGCTAAGGAAATAATTCTGGAAAGCATCAACATTTAAAAGCCTATTAGAAGGAAAAAGGAATCAAGAAAAGTATGGAAGAAAGGAGGAAGGAAAGGTACCAACGAAGAAGAGGTGAAACAAGGAGAGAGGAGATGGAACCCAGGGGAGAATGTCAGGCAGCAATGGCCAAGCAGTAAGAAATACACAGAGAGGTGAAATAATACTAGTAAAACATTTTAAGGTCATTGGTGATCTTAGCAAGACCAGTTCATGTAGAAAATGTCGAATACACCACCGCACCCAGCTAATTTTTTTTTAAAGTAGAGATTGGTTTTTACCATGTTGGCCAGGCTGGTCTTGAACGTCTAACTACGTTTATGAAAGATCATACATACACATATTAGACACATATCTGCCTTTTAGTATTGCAACTTAAAGACTCACAAGTTATTGACCGGAAAACACTTTTTCAAAGTATAACTCTGCATGACAGAATTAAAACTAACAATTTTGGCCAGGTGTGGTAGCTCACACCTGTCATCCCAGCACTTTGGGAGGCTGAGGCGGGTGGATCACTTGAGGTCGGGAATTCGAGACCAGCCTGACCAACATGATGAAACCCTGTCTCTACTAAAAACACAAAAATTAGCCAGGCGTCATGGTGCACGCCTATAATCCCAGCTACTTGGGAGGCTAATGTATGAGAACTGCTTGAACCCAGGAGGCAGAGGTTGCAGTGAGCCAAGATCACGCCACTGTACTCCATAATACAGCCTGGGTGACAGGGCAAGACTCCATCTCAAAAAAAAAAAAAAAAAAAAGAAAAGAAAAAAGATTAACGATTTTTTTCTCCTTTCCTGTATTCTTCTGTTTCCTGACCTTGACTTAATTTTAATTAATTACTTAATTAGCAGGGGAAATATTAATACTCTTATATTAAAAAAAACTATAAAAAGTATTATGCTAAATGATTTCAGGAAGTTAAAAGAAATTGCCATATGGTACACAAGCCTTCTAGAATTTACAGCTCTGCTTAAAATCAAAGACTGTTTAAGCTGGAAAGACCTCCAAAGAACATTCTATTTAAATCTCCCCATGTATCTCAAAGTCAGATATGTTAAGATAGAACTAGAGGCGAGAATTTCTATGCAAACTCCTTTTTAGCAAATATATCAATTGCATAATAAAAATAACTCTTTGAGTGTTTATCCTCAAATTCCTCATCATAGTAGGGTATAATGGGAGAAGGTTAGACTTTGGAAACAGACAGACTTGCATTTGAATCCTGATTATGATGTACACTGAGCTTACCTAGCCTCTCTAAGCTTCAGTTTTCTCACCTATAAACCAGGGTTACTACTCAACTTGCAGTGTTATTGTAAAAACTAAAACATCAAATAATTATCTATCACACTGACAAATTATTTTATTCTACTAATACTAATTAATTTCCCTTACTTCTCACTTCCAAACAGTGAACACTCACTTGGCAAATCTGTTGAAGGGTTAGTTTTAATAGATTATTCAAATACAAGGCTTTTAGGATCCCTTCTGGTCTTGAATAAATAAAATAATAAAAATCAAAATCAGTTTCCATAATAGTCTGAGCAATTAAAAGCAAAACTCTCATGTGACATAAAGAATTTTAACCTGTTGGATATGTATTCTATATTCTGTGAAGGTTATATAAGTGCATAAAACACAATCTTTTTCCGTTAGAGTATGAAATGAAATTTAATCAGTATCAGAAGAGTGAGCACAGAAATTTAGCACAATTTAGCCTAAATATTGTGAATGACAATATTCTTTATTTGTAGATAATTTAAGATGTCCTTAAAAATAATTCTAGTTTCAGAAAAGGATTACAACTAAAAAACAAAAGTTAACTGCAAAAATTGCTTACCTTTTACAGGAAAGGTAAAGGGTTCCTTAGTCAAATCAGGGCAATCAACTACAGAGACCTGGACATCAGCAAAGTTATCTTTTAACCCCATCTGCATAACTAATAAAGACAAGGAATAAGATTATTTGAACTCATGTAAAAACTTGGTTACCACATATCTAAAGTGCCCTCAACACACTTCCCACCTCAACTTGTATAATAAAAAAGAAGGGGAAAATGGTCTTATTAATGAATATAATTAGACATCAGACATAATCACAACGTATAACATAGACTAAGATAGTGATTTCCAATTGTTGAAGATAAACAGACTGCACTTGTGTGAGGGTGAGGATTACCTTTGTTTTTGAAAAAAGATTCCAAAAACCAACTGAAATGCAAACATTTAAACTTTTTGAAAAGTAAGCAATCACGTGTAACAACTTCAATGAAGGTAATAGACAAAATGTGGAGCAAAGCAGCCAGACACAAAAGACTATATACAATATTACTTCACCTTACGCATCTCAAAAACAGGCAATGGATCAAGGCTGATTGGGAAGGTGTGCAAAGGAGTCTTCTGAGATGTTGGAAATATTTTACATTTTGATCTGGATAGTAGTTACATAGGTATAAACACTGATAATATTCATCAAGCTGTACATTCAAAATTAGGGTATTTTACTGTAGATAGTTACACCTCAATAACAATGTAAAAAAGCACAGGTGTCTCAAAGTTATTAACGTAAGACCAATGTATTTCGCACTCTCTCTCTTTTATTTGTAGAGACCGGGTCTTGCTATATTGCCCAGCCAGTCTCGATCTCCTCGGCTCAGTGATCTTCCTGCCTTGGGTCTCCCAAAGTGCAGGGGGATTACAATGAGCCATCACACCCAGCCTTAATGTATTTATTTATTTATTTATTTATTTATTTATTTATTTATTTTTGAGACAGAGTCCCACTCTGATAGCCTCATCCTGTCACCCAGACTGGAGTGCACTGGTACCCAGCATAATCTTGGCTCACTCAGCCTTGATCTCCAGGCTCAAGAAATCCTCCCACCTCAACTTCCCTGGTAGCTGGAACTACAGGCGGGCGCCACCAGGCTTGGCAAATTTTTGTATTTTTTGTAAAAATGGGGTTTTGGCTTGTTTCCCAGGCTGCTTTCAAACTCCTGGGCTCAAGAGATTTGCCCACCTTGACCTCCCACAGTGCTGGAATTACAGGTATGAGCCACTGCTTCAGCCAGTGTACTTTTAAGGATTAAAAGTTCTGACAAAATTTCTTTCTTCTTTTTTTTTTTGAGACGGAGTTTTGCTCTTGTTACCCAGGCTGGAGTGCAATGGCACAATCTCGGCTCACTGTAACCTCTGCCTCCTGGGTTCAGGCAATTCTCCTGCCTCAGCCTCCTGAGTAGCTGGGATTACAGGCATGCGCCACCATGCTCAGCTAATTTTTTGTATTTTTAGTAGAGACGGAGTTTTACCATGTTGACCAGGATGGTCTCGATCTCTTGACCTCATGATCCACCCAACTTGGCCTCTTTTTTTTTTTTTTTTTGTGAGACCGAGTCATGCACTGTTGCCTAGGCTGAAGTGCAGTGGCGTGATCTTAGCTCACTGTAACCTCTGTCTCCTGAGTTCAAGCCAATTCTTGTGCCTCAGACTCCTAAGTAGCTGGAATTACAGGCACACACCACCATGCCCAGCTAATTTTTGTATTTTTAGTAGAGATGGGGTTTCACCATGTTGGCCAGGCTGGTCTTGAACTCCTGACCTCAAGTGATCTGTCCAACTCAGCCTCCCAAAGTGCTGAGATTACAGGCATGAGGCACTGCGCCCAGCCACAAAATGCCTTTTTTACTAAACATATCTTGCACATATAGAAGGAAAATGGAAACAAATACAAAAGTGAAAACAGGTTCTAGAAAAGCAATCAAAGAAAAAATTTGGCCAAGCATGGTGGCTCATGCCTGTAATCTCAACACTTTGGGTGGCCAAGGCAGGAAGATCAAGTGAGGCCAGGAGTTCAAGAGCATCCACGGCAGTATAGCCAGATCCTGTGTCTACAAAAATAAAGAAGAAAAAGAAAAAGAAAAAATTCCTAGCTGCCCTGTCATATCAGGAAAGACAGACTAATGAAGAAATATAGGCCAAACAATACAGATTGTTTACTAGCTACCATTCAATCAAAATGAGAAAAAGGTTATAAGAGGAAAAGTCACAACAAAGCAAAAATAAGTCTACTTCTTGACTTCAATCACATCAGAATGACAGATGAACTACCGGAACAAGACATTTTGAGAAACAAGGGAAGGTTCTATAGCTTCCATCAGAACAGAACCTATAGGTTGTCAAATAAAGACTGGTATTCTGACAGACGTTACAGCTTTGGATTAGTACTATTCCTGGCTTCATTTTGTGTACTGTTTCTATTTTCCTTTTTTTTTTAAACCTATCTTCCATCCTAACTTATCTTGGGAAACTGCCTTAAATACTTGTTTGAACAAGGTGAAATATATAAAAATATACACAGACAGAAATCAAGGCAAGTTCACTAGCAGTCTGTCATTATTAGTGGGGGAGGGGAAGTATATTGGGAACATGATTAATATACAAGAGTAGAATATATATTTAAAGAATAATGTAAGTGAAAAAGTTAAAGCAAAATTGTGCGACTCTGGACATCACACATACATAAGTCTTGGATTACTAGTCATTTTCATCTTGTAAAGTTGGTATCAATAATCTATAAGTGAAAGAAAAAAGAATTTATAAATTATAAATTTAGTTTTTTTTGAGGAACAGATTTTGGACTTTCTCAATAAAAATGGGGCAGAAGAGGTGCTGAAATGGAAAATGAATTTTGTACCAAAAGTATTATTTTGATAGATATATGTAAGTAGTAAGGTATAGATAGATCTTAGAATTTTTTTTTTTTTTTTTTTTTCTAAATAGAGACAGGGTTTCACTATGTTGGTCATCCTGGTCTTGAAATCGTGACCTCAGGTAATGCACCCACCTCGGCCTCCCAAAGTGCTGGAATTATAGGTGTGAGCCACCGCGCCCAGAATGATGTTAGAATCTTTTTAAAAGAATTTTCTCTTGAGATAATTTTTAAAAATCCAAAGTTAATATTGTTTTTACCTCCAGCAAGCTCTTCTAGACTTGGCACATGAAAAGAAAACTCAACACAAGCCATTTTCTTTCTTCTTTAGGTATTTGGTTGGACAAATAGAGCTACTCTTGGTTAATTATCACAAGAGTCCAAAGTGCACCAAGTACGAACAGCTTCTGTTCTGGAAATGAACATTAAGCATTCAAACATACAAAAAGAACAAAACGGCATTTAGGTTCTATCTTCACAAAAAGGCAAACACAGCCTCTAGCATTTAATATTCGAAGTGAGAAACAGACAAGTGACCTTTTAATACTTATACTTTATTTCAACTTAAAATTTAAAACTAATTTTTCTTTTTTTCTTCTTTTCTAAAAATTATTATTGGAAAATTCCTAACTCTCAATAATTTTTCTTTTTTCTTTCTTTTTTGAGACGGAGTCTTGTTCTGTTGTCCAGGCTGGAGTGCAATGGCGAGATCTTGGCTCACTGCAACCTCTGCCTCCCGGGTTCAAGCAATTCTCCTGCCTTAGCCTCCTGAGTAGCTGGGACTACAGGCCCATGCCACCATGCCCAGGTAATTTTTTATATTTTTTAGTAGACACAGGGCTTCACCATGTTAACCAGGATGGTCTTGATCTCCTAACCTTGTGATCTGCTGACCTCAGCTTCTCAAAGTGCTAGGATTACAGGTGTGAGGCACTGCGCCCAAGCCTAAAACGATTTTTTTAAATAGAAACAGGGTCTTGCTATGTTGCCCAGGCTGGTCTTGAATTCCTGGCCTCAAGCGATCCTCCTGCCTCCACCTCCCAAAATGCTGTGATTACAAGTGTGAGCCACTGCTCTCGGCTGATGCACTTTTTTTTTAAAGCATATATCTGGAGTGAACATCCAATTTTCTAACAGTTGGTCTTAGGCAGGCGTCCGCAAACTACGGCCCGTAGGCCGCATGTGGCCCCCTGAGGCCATTTATCCAGCCCCCGCCGCACTTCAGGAAGGGGCACCTCTTTCATTGGTGGTCAGTGAGAGGAGCACAGTATGTGGCAGCCCTCCAACGGTCTGAGGGACAGTGAACTGGCCCCCTGTGTAAAAAGTCTGGGGACGCCTGGTCTAAGGAATATAGGTCTTGAAGCTAAAGGTACTTCTTAGAGATTTGTGGATAAGTGTTTAAATGGTTGCAGATAATAGTAAATATAGGACCCTCAAGTATTTCTATAATATGTATTTGTGTTTCTACTCTATATTTGACATTCAGGCCAAAAATTAAATGAGTTCCTCAGACTATCACTTTTTCAAAATAACATTTAAATTATGAATAGAAATGGCAACTTTCATGGAATGGATTAGCCTTTGAAATTCAAATTTTTATTTTCATTTACAAATAAACATATTTTCTTGGTTCAATCTGATAATCTAACCAATTATAATTTGATATGTAAAAGTATGCTTTTCTATCATTGCAACTAAAAAATAAATTAAAATATATGCTAAGTCTACTTTATAACAAATAGGTACACATATACAGAGATTAGTATCTTACCTCAAGTGTTCAGTGATGAAGTATGCAAGCAGGAGGAGATAAAATAAAGTCAGGGAAAAATATAAGTAATATGAGGTTGGCAGGTATCCCACTCCAAGCCAGTCACAACAGGGAACACAGGCAAGACTCTTAAGGGTGTTTCTAAGACTACTGCTGGAGATCTCGTTAAAATTGTTAATAGAACACTTCATTAATCTGAATGGCCTCTGCCCTTAACATGCTTATTCAGCAAGTTAAAGGTGATCCTCAGCCATTTTGAAATATTCTTGCAAATTTTTTTTTCTAATTTTCCAGCAATTCATAGGTTGCTTAGAAACTGGGATTCTAGTTCTGGTACTTTCCAACAACATATCCTCTATAACTATTCTATTGCATACATTGATGATGTTATATTTGTCTTAGTACTTTATCAAATACCAGCTGCTACTGTTTGTGATTTAATAGATGTAATCCGATGTCCCAAATAAAATATATACAACTGTTTATAAAAGATCTCAAATTTTACATAATCATACTTAAATATTTTATTGGGTTGAATAATTTATAATTGTTCAGGAATGAGACAGTTTTTTTCTTTTAAATAATTTCAGATTGACGGACACTACATACAAATAATTCCTGTATATTCTTCATCCGTATTTCCCAAATGTTAACATTTTATCACATTATCAGGCAACTATTGGGTAATAACTTATTTATGAATATGTCAAAATCTGCACAATGAATAGTATGTTCATTTATAATGATGATAATAAAACACTTTTGCTGATAAAAACACATGTTAAAATTCAAATGTAATCTTAATTTTATTCCCTTTACTATCTCTTTACTTTAGTAAAAAAGTAGGTCACTTGTTTATGTCCCTATCAAAATAGAAACAAAGTCCAATCCTGGGAGGATGTAGCTTGAGTAACTGGTTTAGAAATGTACTTATTAGAGATACTTTCTGACCAAGATAATTTGATTGAAAAAAAAAAAAAGAAATGTACTTATTAGGGATACTTATTAGGGGTTTGTGGATAAGTGTCTAAATGCATACAGGACATAAGTATTTCTATAACAGATATTTGTGCTTCCTACCCTATATTTGACATTTAGGCCAAAAATTAAATGAGTTCCTTAGACTATCACTTTTTCATAATAAAATTTAAATTATGAAGGCCTGTCCAATCCTAAAATGATGTGAACTTCACGCAGGCTGATAGCACAGCAGGCAGTGTGGTAGCATGTGTATGTGTGTGTTTATGTGTGAGTTGAAGGTGTGGAGAACGTTAGAGTTGGAGCTGAGAAAGGAGTTAGGTTCTCACATAAACTCCAGGAGCACAGCCTGGAGCCAGATGGAGGCAAACTATATTTTCCTGCCTAATTGGTGGGAGTCCATGGCCCAAAAATAGGGTCTGGATAGGGCACGGAGCTGCAGAGGTAACACCTGGAGGGGTAGACCAACTATCCCAACTAAACTGATTACCCTTTGAGTGCACACTACCAGACACCAGTAGACACTACGCAGACATTCTCTCAAAACTTCACAAGCATGATAGGTTGTAAGACAGGTTGTGGATCTTCAGGGGTCGTGGGCATCCCCCAGACGCTGCTGAGGGGCCTGCATGCAGTTCGCTGCTGCTGATGCCCAAAAGTGCTTGCTCTGGCTCTAGCATCTGCTTACCCCCAGGCTCCCCAGCAAGAGGGGTGCAGTGCAGCTGGCCTGAGTGAGCGGAGTTCCTGGTTTCCAGCCCCATTCACTAGCGCAACCCCTCTCGCGAGGGGTTGAGAGCTTCGGGCTGAGTAAGCCAGGCACCCCTGCCGCAAGTCCCGCAAAGGGGTCTGGGAAATATCCTGCTTCAATTGCACTCCAGCCTGGATGACAGAGCAAGACTTTATCTCTATAAAACAAACAAATACAAAATGTGGCCAGGTGCGGTGGCTCATGCCTATATTCCCAGCACTTTGGGAGGTTGAGGCGGGCGGATCACTGGAGGTCAGGAGTTCAAGACCAGCCTGGCCAACATCGTGAAACCTGGTCTCTACTAAAGTACAAAAGTTAGCCGTGTGTGGTGGTGGACGCCTATAGTCACAGCCACCTGGGAGGCTAAGGTGGGTAGACCCTGGGAGGTGGGGGGTTGCAGTGAGCTGAGAACCCGCCACTGCACTCATGCCTAGGCGACAGAGCTAAAGTCTGTCAAGAAAGAAAGAAAAAGAAAAGAAAAGAAAGATAGAAAGAAAGAAAAAAGAAAGAAAAAGAAAAAAAAACAAAATGAAATGGGAAACATTTCAGTGATTCATTCTGCATTACGAGTTAAATGTTACAGCTAGGCTTCCGGTTGAGTACGGCAGTGAGTGACATGTCATACCAGTCCTGGAGCTAAGTCACTTCGCAGACCCTGTGGATCAAACGCAGTGGACTCCCTAAGGGACTGGACTTTCTATACCTGGAATTGTCCAAGTTATGGCGCAAAGTAGGGTAAAGAGACCAGATTACTTTTAAGGCCCGTCCAATCCTAAAATGACGTGCACTATAAATTAAGACTACACAGCTCTACTGGCTTTACCGGTTTATCATATGAGAAAAGAATTTTGAAAGCGGAAAAATCAAACCAGTTCATTCCTTTTTAAAATTACTTTGGGAGGGAAAAAAAAAAACAAACAAACCCCACGAAACTACTTTACAGGGTTTAATCTTAACTCAGGAACTGGTTAAGGAACTAGGGGTGGGCGGGAGTCGGAGGAAACTCAGGAAAAAGAAATCTCCCACCGGTCTCGTCTGCGGCTTGCCAGCCAACTTCCGGGAGGCAGAAAGGGGCGGTCACGAAGCAGGTGCAGAAGTGGGCGTGCCATGGAGTCACGCCGGCGTCCAGCACAAAGGCTCCACACCCGGAGTCGCGGTCGGAGGACGAGCCTTCCCAGTATTTGGACACTGAAAGGTGTCCGAAGGCACAGGCAGACACAGTACGACAAAACACGCCCATACCCCACCCGGCACCCTCGCCACACACCCAGGGCCAGGTTTAGAAAGCCAGGCGACAGCTCAGCAAATGCGAGCCACCGGAAACGAACCGGGCTGGGAGGCCGCTTCCTCGCAGTTCTTACCCTCTCGCAATGGACCTCACGTTTTCTTTTTATTTGCCGAAATGTTCTCGGCTCTTCCACTCACCGAACGGGTCGCGGAAGCCCACACCAGAGCCCCGATCTCCTCTTCAGCCGACCCCGCCTCCACAGAGAACGCGAGCTGGAGCTCCGCCCACGTGAGCCGCTCCTCCCCGCGCGGCGAGAAAAACGGCTACCCCGCTTCCGGTCCTGCTTCCGACGCTCGCCTTCTTCCCGGGTGCTAAGTGGTATCGCGAGATTTCGGCCTGGCTATGACGCAGGCCGCGGGACTTGCCGCCCCTTTTCCTCTGCGCGGTTGGAAGAAGCCGGCTGGTCTTCGGGAGGCGGAGGGCTGAGGTCGGGAGCTTGGTGGGTGCGGGCCTTCGGGACTCACGCAGCAGGCCGGTCGCGGGTGTTTGGCCAGAGGCCTGGGTTACGGTCACTAAGTGCGCGGTTGGGGCCCGTGTGAGGCGGTTTTGGGTCGGTAGACCAGAGGGAACGGCCGTCCGGCCCTGGCAGCGGGGGGAGGCGTTACAGTTACGGGGTTTTCCGGGGCCCTAGCGTTGGTCCGGGGGATCGAGTCCCGGAGGTAGGGCCGAGAGGGTGGAGGGTTCGCAGCGGCAGGCCCCTCGGCGCCGGGCGGCTGCGACTGTAGTGTGGGCGGCCTCCATGATTTCTTGAGAGGGAGGGGTTGAAATGCGTTGTGAACGAGTTTAACCTCCGTACGCGATGTAAATGATTTAACCTTCACACGTGGGAGATCGCCATTGCTGGCGCCGGTTTCCTGGAGGCGAGGCGCTGCCGGGAGAACAGCGACAGCTCCGGGTAAAGCGCCGCGCTCTGCCCACGAGGTCTAAGAACCGCCGAATCCGGCAGGGGCACCGATACCTAAGTAGGAGTGTCTTGGTAAAGCGATTATTGAGCTAGCTTTATTTTGATAATCCCTACTTTAAAAAAAAAAACGCAAGTATACCATTAATGCATGGGACCAAATTTTTGTTGAATCCTGTTTTTGAGCATTCTATACTTACTGACTTCGTAGAATCTTGTGGTTAAGAAACTAAAACTAGTAAGGCGTTCTAACAGGAAATTACCACGGGGGTCCGTTGGGCATTTAAGAAATCTGAGGTCTTGGTGACCTTATCGTTTTCCTATATTTGAAATGTTTTGCTGGTTTATCCTAGGATTTATATGTAATGACTCATGTCGGGTCCCAAGAAACTACGGAATGAAACGAGAATGACTAAGGCAAAGACAGTAATGAAATAAGTACTTTATTTTTTATTTTTGTTGCCATGCCTATTATTTTTCATTTTCCTGGTTTTTTGTTTTGTTTGTTTTTGAGACAGGGTCTTGCTCTGTCGTCCAGGCCGGAGTGTACTGGTGCAATCTCGGCTCACTGCAAAGCGATCCTCCGGAGTGGCTAGGAGCACACCTAGCCAGTATTTTAAGAATTAATTTTTTTGCCCAGACGGGGCTCCTTGTGTAGCTGAGGCCCATTACATACAACCTCCTCCTCCCAGGCTCAGGTAATCGACCTATCTCAGCCTCCTTATTGGGACCACAGGCGCCTACCACCAGCCCGGCTAATTTATGTATTTTTTGTAGAGACTGGGTTGGGTTGGTCTTGAGCTCCTGGGTTCAAGTGATCCGCCCGCCTCGACCTCCCAAAGTACTGGGTTACACGGGCATGAGCCACGCTGACCAGTCTCTTTTTCTTACAAGAAGGAATCGTTTTCTTTTTTTTTGTATGTTGCTTTTTTTTATGTTGTGTACTCTGCTATGGAGATGAAGAGACAAAGAATTATGATAGTTTATCGAAAAAGGTTGAGAATTCAGAATTCGTCAGTTTCCACCAATAATGGCAAAGATGCAGTATGACAAAGTTAAGTTACTTAAATGAATCTAGGAATGAAGGAGGAATCTTGGAATTACAACGGAGACGTGATCAGGAGTTTAAAATGGTCTATTGAATGGAGATCGTTTTCCTGGTTTATTATGTAGGGCACATTTTGCCTTAGGAATTCCTGTTCGATGTTGGAAAATGGCTTTTAATTGTACATTAATACTGTATTGGTAATTATATGTTAATATGTGGCTAATGATAAAACTTTTTTTGAGACGGAGTTTCGCTCTTGTTACCCAGGCTGGAGTGCAGTGGCGCGATCTCGGCAACCTCCGCCTCCTGGGTTCAGGCAATTCTCCTGCCTCAGCCTCCCGAGTAGCTGGGACTACAGGTGTGCGCCACCATGCCCAGCTAATTTTTGTATTTTTAGTAGAGATGGGGTTTCACCATGTTGACCAGGATGGTCTCGATCTCTTGACCTCGTGATCCACCCACCTTGGCCTCCCAAAGTGCTGGAATTACAGGCGTGAGCCACCGCGCCTGGCCTTGATAAAACTTTATATTGACAGATGCTTTTGTTGGAAGTCACAGTACTTTTTTGGAATCTTGTTGCATTGAATAGATTTAGAGGGTAAAAACTGAAAATCTGGAAATAGAATTTGTGGATTTTTTTTTTAAAGAAATTGATCTGAAATGGATAAGCAGCTTAAGCCTGGGAAATGATTTTGCCTAAAATCAATGGTATAGTCTGACTATGTTGAAAATCATAGTAGATACTGTGTCAATATTTAGGGAAGCTTTGTCACATTTACTAAATTTCACAATTTCAGGAAACTTTAAAACCAAGAGCAACTGATGGATAAATCAGGAATAGATTCCTTTGATCATGTGACATCTGATGCTATGGAACTTGCAAATCAAAGGTAAGTGGGTTTTTACTGGAGAACTGAGTGGATTCAGTCATATTTATTGTATCTGAATTACTTTGAGAAACTAAATTATTATATATAATGAATGACAGTAAAGATAATTTTCAGGAATTGGGAAAGAAGGAAAACCAGAGTTCACTGCCCTTCCAAGTTTATCTGGTTTATGTAGATTGATATAATACTATTGCAAATACTTCTAATCCAAAAAGTGAATATATTATAATGGGACACATTCTTAGAGAAAAAGTTTATTCTTTGGGTCTCTTCTGGAGTACATCATCCTGTTTTTGTATGGCAGGCTGTGTTTTACTTAGACGCTTTTAGCAGCGAACCATACAGTCTTGGTTGAGCTCATACATTATCTTGAAAGATACATGATTTTTTTTTTTTTTTTTTTTTTTTTTTTTTTGAGACGGAGTTTCGCTCTTGTTACCCAGGCTGGAGTGCAATGGCGCCATCTCGGCTCACTGCAACCTCCGCCTCCTGGGTTCAGGCAATTCTCCTGCCTCAGCCTCCTGAGTAGCTGGGATTACAGGCACACGCCACTATGCCCAGCTAAGTTTTTGTATTTTTAGTAGAGACGGGGTTTCACCATGTTGACCAGGTTGGTCTCGATCTCTTGACCTCGTGATCCACCCGCCTCGGCCTCCCAAAGTGCTGGGATTACAGGCTTGAGCCACCGCGCCCGGCATACATGATTTTTTAATAAGATGAGCATAGTGGTGTTTGCCAGTAGTCCTAGATAGTAGCTACTTGGGAGGCTGAGACAGGAGCATGCCTCGGGTTCCAGGAGTTTGAGGTTGCAGTGAGCTGTAATTGTACCACTGCACTCTAGTCTGACAGCAAGACGATGTCCATAACATTCTTTTTAATAAGAGATGTGTCTTTATGGGCTATTTAAATAGGGTGGTCAGGAGTTTAACGGCTGGCTGGTTCTGAGTCCATCCTTTAAAGAAAATTTAATTCTGGTCATGTTTTCCTGAGTTGGTCTTGGAAGAAATGCACTTTTGGGACTGGCTATTACTGGTAAATAATTGCTAGTATTCAGTAAGAAAGGAAATGAAATTATTTTTCCATTTTCCAGTGATAACTCTTCTGATAGCAGCTTATTTAAAACTCAGTGTGTCCCTTACTCACCTAAACGAGGGCAAAGAAACCCCATTAGAAAATGTGTTCGTACACCTGGAAATGTTCAAGCAAGTGATTCATCAAGTGACTCATCTTTTGAACCAATACCATTGACCATGAAAGCTATTTTTGAAAGATTCAAGAACAGGAAAAAGAAGTACAAAAAAAAGAAAAAGAGGTACCAGCCAACAGGAAGACCAAGGGGAAGACCAGAAGGAAGGAGAAATCCTTTATGCTCACTGATAGATAAGAAGAAACAGTTTAGAAGCAGAGGACCCGGCTTCCCATTTTTAGAATCAGAGAATGAAAAAAAGCCCCCTTGGAAAAAAATTTTAACGTTTGAGGTGAGTCATCATTTTACATATATATGAATACACATAAATGCCCAAAATGATTTGTTGGCCAATTTTAGAATTGTTTAAGATGTACTGGCAATGCACTGTCTGCAATTTTGATACTCTTATACTGACTTCCCCCTAATATCCACCCCATCCTTCAACTGAAACTTGACTTGTAACTCTTCAGTGACTACATTTTTGCCAAATTTAAAAGATAGTGCTCCAAGGCTTTTTGTATAAAATCCTTTGATCTCATCCCATCTCAGGTCTTTAAACACAACCCTAAAACTCAAATGGTTTCCTGGGATCTCAGTGGGGATAATAAAAGCTCACATAACCTGAAAATGTTTTTGCAGTACCTAAACTAAACCCACACATGCCTCATGTTCAGTGGTTATATTCTTAGGGCCTAGATAATTCTAAGCCTGATACCCTAATACTTAGGAGTAGATTTTTTAAATATTTGAGAGTGGATGTTGAATGAATGCAGAGTTAATTTATGATCCCTTTTCAGAATCTGAAATTTTATTTGGGAGGATTAATACGTATTCATCTCTTAAGTTTAAGGTGGTTATAGTAAACATTACAAATCTTGCTCCTGGCTGGGTGAGGTGGCTCACACCTGTAAATCCCAACACTTAGGGAGGGAGGCCGAGGTTGGCAGATGACCAGGTCAGGAGTTGGAGACCATCCTAACATGGTGAAACCCCTTCTCTACTAAAAATATAAAAAATTAGCCAAGTGTGGTGGCACACACCTGTAGTCCCAGGCTGAGGCAGAACAATTGCTTGAACCCTTGAGGTGGAGGTTGCAGTGAACCAAGATCCTGCTACTGCACTTAGAGCAACACTCTGAAAAAAAAAAAAAAAAACTTTGTTCCTGTTTTTGTAAGTCCCAGGCGTGACAAGATACATACTTCACTTTTCCTTGGTACCACCTTAGGTCTAAAGCAGGCGTCCCCAAAGTTTTTACACAGGGGGCCAGTTCACTGTCCCTCAGACCATTGGAGGGCCGCCACATACTGTGCTCCTCTCACTGACCACCAATGAAAGAGGTGCCCCTTCCTGAAGTGCGGCGGGGGGCTGGATAAATGGCCTCAGGGGGCCATGTGTGGCCCGCGGGCCACAGTTTGGGGACGCCTGATCTAAAGTTTATAATTGCAGTGTGAATTTTAATGATCAGTAGTTTATATGTCCACAAGTAGGGAGTAAAATTAAGATAGTCTTTGGTAAGGGGGTTGTTGCCCTTTTTGAACATAGGCACCTGGTGGGTCATGAAAGAAAAACCTTAAGTCATGACATGCAATATGATGTTTCTAATATATATAGCAAGCTGTTGCAAGAGGATTTTTTAACTACATCGAAAAACTGAAGTATGAACACCATCTGAAAGAATCCTTGAAACAAATGAATGTTGGTGAAGATTTAGAAAATGAAGATTTTGATAGTCGTAGATACAAATATTTGGATGATGAGGGATCCATTTCTCCTATTGAGGAGTCAACGTAAGTGGAATCCTGTGAAATACTTGGGTAATGGGTTATAAGATTATTTAAATTTTCATGTTAATTGCTTCATATTTTGCCTTTAATATACTTATACTTCAATAATGAATAAAGATACAGAGTAGGACTGTTGGGATTGTTACATTTGAGCCAAACTTGGCACATAAGACATCTAGAAATTCTGTTTTGTTTCTTTTCACTAGTATTACAGTTTCAGTTGTATTTCAGAGTGGAATATAAGAACTAATTAGGTCATAGAAAATTTGCCATCTCAATGATGATAAATGTTAATTACAGAGCAGAGGATGAGGATGCAACACACCTTGAAGATGACGAATGTGATATCAAATTGGCAGTAAGTGACTTATTTTTTTTCCTGTTTCAATTTGGGAAGGCAGGAGTTGGTAGGTACAGGAGGAATTGTATTTAGTTTCTGTCTTACGCTTCATTAACCTTTTTGAAAAGCTGAATAAGTTTACCACGGGAAATACAAGAAGGAAAATACTAATTTTTTAGAAACTTGATAAAAATAATAGGGGGTTTTCAGTAATATTTTTAAGAACATTTTGTATGTGATATTGCTAGTTAGGATATCAGATGAAAAAACAAGCAGATAGGATTTTTGACAACTACATGTAGTCTTTAGGTTATCTGAAGTAATCCAGTGCACTTAGCTATATGTAATTACTAAACCATTGGAGTTATTGCTTAATCTGTAATTTTCGTTTTGCTTTATGCAGGGGGATAGTTTCATAGTAAGTTCTGAATTCCCTGTAAGACTGAGTGTATACTTAGAAGAAGAAGATACTACTGAAGAAGCTGCTTTGTCTAAGAAGAGAGCTACAAAAGCCAAAAATACTGGACAGAGAGGCCTGAAAATGTGACAGAATCATGAATGTCAAAGGTGAAGCATATAGAAAAAAAGTGACTTCATAGAAATGAATAAAGATGATAAATGTGGTTATATGTACCAGTCTGGTGGTGAAGAAATTCTCAAACCAACTCTATAACAAAAAAAAATTTTTTAAGAGTAGTAACAGAAAAAAAAACCACACCAGGGAAAATACATAGAAAAAGCTGAGACATTATCAGTTGATTTCTGAGTGTAAGAGCTTACAAGTGTCCTGTGAGCACTGAAACAATGAAGTGCAGCGATTTTAACTTTGTAAAGGAGATCTTAGACAAAGATAGAACTTGACACCCAACCATCTTGAAGAGGGTATTTGAAATGCTTTAATTTTATCCCCTTTCTTCAGAGGAAAGTGACGTCAGATGCTTAGTATTGTAGTAACCTCATTTCCCTTCCCAAATTTAGAATATCATTAATGCTACTTTTTTATTTTTGTGAGCTACCACGCCCAAACTAATACTATTTTCTGCTACCATTTTTAATCATTGTTAATTCAAGAAAAGGCATACACATTTATTTAACATGTATATGTGGGGAGAACCACAATGACTACCCTGATGTTCATTATTTTGATCACCATGGTAGAACTACTTTATGCTATATAGTGCATCTTAGGACTGCACTTATGTATGTTTTTGTTTAACTTGTGGACAAAGACTTACGGATAGGTGCAAAAAATAAATCCTCTTTTGCAACCCAGAACTCATTGTTCAGTATGAGTTCTGATACATATAAGAAGGGATATAATAATGGGAGTATTGATAGCCCTAAAAGTTGGTTCCAAGCCAGGCGCAGTGGCTCAAGTTTGGAATTCCCCCACACCGAGGTGGGAGTATTGCTTAATGCCAGGAGTTCAAGCCAGCCTGAGCAAGAAAGTAACAAACACCTCATCTCCACAAAAATGTAAAAATTAGCTGGGTATTGGGGCATGTATCTGTACTTGCAGCTACTCAGGAAGGGGAGGCTGAGGAACAAGGATTGAGCTCAGGAGTTGGAGGCTACACTGACCTTTGACTGTACTCCAGCCTTGGTAACAGAGACAGACCCTGTTTCTTAATTTAAAAAGATTGATTCTAGGACTGTAGAATAAACAGGAGGGGGTATGAAGGAAATCCTCAGCAGTATTACCTTTGCATTCCAGTTGCATGTTGATATATAAGATGGCTTTTTGTTTTAAAGGCTTTTATCTTGAGAACCTGATGTCTGGAGTTAAAGGTATGTCTCAATTTTAGTTTTCAGATTGTATTTGTTTATGTGTAGGAAATCAGTAGTGTGTTCTCAGGGCAATCAAGTTCCATTTTATTCAGAGAAAACTAGCATGCTTTTAATTCAGTTACTGGTTTCTGAAAAGAAAGGAATCTTAGATTCACACATTTTATGGTGATGTGTCAGATTAATTTAGTTGCAAGCAGTAGAGGGTCCTGAATTTGTTAGTTTCTAGCAGTAATCAGAACTTTGGGTTTCTACTTGAGGCATACAGCATTATTCTGAATTAATGCAAGATTTAGTATAATAATAGAAATGGGCTGGGCTTGGTGGCTCATGCCTGTAATCCTAGCACTTTGGAAGGCCAAGGTGATTGGATCACAAGGTCAGGAGTTTGAGACCAGCCTGACCAAAAAGATGAAACCCCGTCTCTACTAAAAATACAAAAATTAGCCAGGTATGGTGGTATGGGCCTGTAATTCTAGCTACTCAGAAGGCTGAGGCAGGAGAATCACTTGAACTCAGGAGGTGGAGGTTGCAGTGAGCCAAGATCCTGCCATTGCACTGCAGCCTGGGTGACAAAGCAAGAATCCGTCTCAAAAAAATAATTATACAGGTCATAAGAATTCATAAATCTGAATGATGTAGACTTTGACTAAAAGTTATATAATGCCAAAGTCATAATGTGCCCACATTATATTGTATTTTATAATGGATGACAACTAATTCTGAACCAAGAATCTTTTTTTTTTTTTTTGAGATGGAGTTTCGCTCTTGTTGCCCAGGCTGGAGTGCAATGGCGCGATCTCGGCTCACTGCAACCTCCGCCTCCTGGGTTCAGGCAATTCTCCTGCCTCAGCCTCCTAAGTAGCTGGGATTACAGGCACGCGCCACCATGCCCAGCTAGTTTTTTGTATTTTTAGTAGAGACGGGGTTTCACCATGTTGACCAGAATGGTCTCGATCTCTCGACCTCGTGATCCACCCGCCTGGGCCTCCCAAAGTGCTGGGATTACAGGCTTGAGCCACCGCGCCCGGCAAGAATCATATTTTTATTTATCGTTCTGTACTCTGGCTCCTAAGCAGCTTGGTGAAAATCCTTAAAATGTGATTGTGAAATGATTGCTTTTGTGATTAACGTGGTAGGAAGTTTTTGCAGTTTGCAGTATTGTAAGAGACTGGGGCATATTGCAGTTTCTGCTCATACCTATGGAGTAGTGTTAGACTTCCATTATTTATACATATAAATACTAGCTGGGCACAGTGGTGCCTACGGTCTCCCACTACTCTGGAGGCTAAGGCAGGAGAATCACTGAGTCCAGGAGTTTGAGACTGCAGTGAGATGTGATCCTGTAGCTCTCACTGTAGCCTCAAACCCATGGGCTCAAATGATTCAGCAAGAATCACATGATTTTTTAAAAGACATGGCAGATACTGTCTTTAAAAAAAACTTTGTATAGTGGTTGAGGTCTATCCCGACGGGGCTTTTCCTGTAGCCCGCATGTCGTTGGAAACGCCTCATAGAGTAACTCTGTTGTTTACCTTACTCCCAGGACTATTGTTAGATCTGTGGAAAGGAATGGCAAGACAGCTGCTAAAAGTTTAAAAATGACAGTTACTAAATGTGTGAAAGACCTGATAATCTACTTTTTTACCTTAGGTATTGGCATATGTCCACACCTGTACTATTCTTGAGTGTGACTGCTTAGGTAAGTTTTAACTGGTGACAGTACCATCTTGGGAAATATGATTACAGTTCAGATGATGAATTTAACTGTTCAACTGCTGAATGATATGGGCATGAACTAAAACTTAATTCTGAGAGCTTGATATGGTTATACTATAAACTAGATCTTAAATTTTTATTTGGATTTTAGTTTTAGTAACTAGAAATGTGGTATCCTTTCTAAATCTTTAATTGGTACTTTCTATAGGAATGAATATGATTTGAACTCATTCATGTTGAAAGGTAAGTAAAATACTTAAAATAGTCAAGGACTGAAAATGAAAAATAGAAATTAAGTACAACATCCCAGTATTTCAGGTATAACGCAGAATTAGATACTGGCAAAAGTATCACTATGTATCTACTATAAATCTATATATATGGATTTTCTACTTGAAGCATACAGCATTATTTTGAGTCAATGCATAATCTAAAATGAGGTAGACTATGTTATGGTTTAATGCAGTATTTAGTATAACAGAAATGGGCAGATTTCCTTATTTATATAGAGAAGGAAATAAAAGACTGCGTTGTCTAGACTACCAAATGAAACTGTTCTTTGAATCGTTATTCAACTGGCAGTTACACATTTCATCCTAAAGTCATGTAAATTTGGATGGATATGTTGAATCTAAACGAATTTTGCTTAATTTGAAGTTTGAGCAACAATGAGCTTGATGTGGCCAGGCACAGTGGCTGACACCTCTAATTCCAGCACTTTGGGAGACAGAGGCGGGCAGATCACCTGTTAGGATTTTGAGACCATCCTGGCTATCACGATGAAATCTCGTCTCTAAATGAGCTTGATGTTTGTCGTGTGTTAAGTTACATGTATGTATTCCATCTGGAAGTTATATAGAGAGACTGGGCAAAGAGTTGTAGCTTTAAAATGCAGTTAATGTAGTTTTCCGTATTACAGTGACAATTAGGAATAAAGGTCCAAATATTGAACCTGTTAGAGGAATCTGAAATTGAGAGGTTTGTGAAAGCATTTTTCAGCAGCAACACTGCAAATTTGGGGCTACGAAAGTTGTACAGTTCAGTTATAATTGCACTGCGTGGTATCTGCACTCAGCAGTTTATTCCTGCTAGGGTGTTCAAAGGTCAGTGCTATAGAAATTCAGTATCTGGCATCGTTGGTTTTCTTGGCTTTGTGCTTGTTAAACCTGGTATTTCTATTGATACAGTATTTGTATAGGTTTCTCAGGGTGTTTATTTTGATATACTCTAAAACAGTAAGCAGCGCTTTTCTTTTTCCAGGGTGTCAAATTGAGAACCAGGCAGATCCACCACTTACAGTAAAAAGGTAAGATTCTCTGTTTATATTGATTCTACTTGTTTCCCCCTATTGCATTGCCAGCAGTATCAAGAACTTCATACAAATTCACTACAAAGCTTGAAAGGAACTTTTACAAAGCCTCGTTCTAGATGAGAATGGGCACTGCTGATCATGGTGTCCAAAAATAGTTAATGTGGCTAAATTGAGACAGGTTATGCTTCCACCACTGTATGCATATTGCAGTGGTGACAATGAGACCTGTAACATTTTGCTATGCTTATGAGTACAGTACGTAGGAGAAAAGTGTTAAACATTTAAATAAGGAATTTTCAGCTTTTATCTCATAAGACCACCGTTTGTACGTTATGTATTGACTGAAACATTGTAATATGGTAAATGACTGTGTCTTAGATCATGTGTCAAAATATAATTATTCTTTGTACAGTTCAACTTCTAGGACCCTAAAGTAAATTGGTTGAAGAAATTAGATCCCAAAGATTCTTGGTAAGTTAATTCATTACTTAAAAGGCCATGTAGGTTATTTTGTTTAATACTAGCTTTTCTACAAATGTTATTTTAGGTTATTATCTAGTAATGCTTGCAACCAAATCCTGGTGGTCAACTTATCACCAGTTAGGAGTAAAAAAAAAGACTAGGCTTATGTTATTATGTGTTTAAACTTCATTACCAATGATGTTATGATGATGGGCGAAATGTTCAACTGCTCTGAATGGGCTGAATGAAAATGGCCTTTCTGAACATCCATTTACATTAAATATTTCATTGTATTTGAGATTATAAAGCTCTAAGAGAAGTTGCCAGAAATGTGATCACAGAGCAAATCCAGATGTGAATGGGCATGGGATCATTGATTAAAAATGACCTTAATTTAAAAATACATTAGTTTAAATAGCTATTTGAAGCATGGAATTTTCAATACATTAGTTGAGGTGCTGAGATTTAGGATAATTTGGAACCTAAGCAACTTCATTTTGAAAGATGATAGATTTCTGTATTTAATAGTAAGTGTGATTTGAGACAAACAAAACATTTTTCCATAGGTGAATTCTGAAGTCTTCATCAGTGTATCTGTATTAAAAGGAGATGACAGAAGCCAAAATAAATTAATGGCAAGTAATAGTTTTTATCCTGACTATAAGCTGTTTGCTCAAGGGCATAATGGTCATTACCAAGGCTTTTGGAATGCTGTTTCTCATTTGCTGTGGACATGACCATAAAAAAAATTTCCCAGTAGGTTTTCCATCTGCTACCTTGGTAGCAATCAGCCTATTGGGAACATGTGATTAATTGTAATAGAAATGCAATACAAATATAATGCGAGCCACATGTGGTTTTTTCCCTAATATCAACGAGATTTTAAAATTCTTTAGGCAGTGCAGCCTAGATCTCTTGAATCATGCAAATGTGCTTTGCCTCTGTATTGTAACCCTTGTGGATTGCTAATACCTAAGCAGTTTGTATGTAGCAGAGTTAGCTTAGGCTGATTCTAAGACTCATCATGTTCACTCACTGTACAATCATCTCTGGAAATGTAAAATTTACTTTTATTACTATCTAGGGCTGATAGGACAGCTGGATTAAAGTAAGCATCAGCTTCATTAAAAAGGTATGTATGCATTAGGAAAGACATTTGTATAGGTCATTTCAAAGAGGGCTCATGAGGCTGTGAAACCCAGAGCTCTTCACGCTGTGACCAAAGATGGAAGTTCTCTATAGGATGCCATAGCACTCTTATGTTTGGTGCTATGTTTTCCCCAGGAGATATAAAACTTAATAATCCATGATTGTTGCCATGTAAGAGTTTTAATCAAAATTTTTCTTTTTCAGGGCTAACTTGCAGCTCTTTAGAGCAGGCATCCCCAAACTTTTTACACAGGGGGCCAGTTCACTGTCCCTCAGACCATTGGAGGGCCGCCACATACTGTGCTCCTCTCACTGACCACCAATGAAAGAGGTGCCTCTTCCTGAAGTGCGGCGGGAGGCCGGATAAAAGGCCTCAGAGGATCTAAAGTGACTTTGATGGACAGTGGAAGAAATCACAACATGGAATTCCTTGAATAAAAATTTATTGACTTTAAATATACACAATTTAAAAAAAACTACACTGTTGCTGACTTTTAGAATGTATTTTTGGCTCGAAGTTTCTCAAATGTTTTCTGTGGAAGGAATAAAAATTTCGCAGTTTCAGTTGTGTACTTCAGGCTTAAAATTAGGTCTCTTCCCCCTAAGTTAAACTCACCTTACGGAATTCTTTTGCCCTTGTTCTGTTTTGGGCATAAGCTTCTTGTTTTGCTTTTTCTTCCTTTTGTTGTTTCACTTCAGCTAGTTGATTATGTAACCTGTAAAGAATTTCCATAGAGTTAAGAGACAAACATTGCAGAAAACATGACTCGCTACAAAAACCGACAATACCTTAGACTCCTTTGGTGCCTGAGAGCCTGTGTAGTCTTTCTGTCTTCAGGTAGTGCGCTGACTTTATTCACACCCCTTAAACGACTCACAGATGAACCTGAGGAAAGAAATGTGAAATCAAGTTATAATCAGGCTTTAAACATTTCAGGGAGGTGGTGAAGATTTAAAAAATTCAATCAACATACCTATAGATGGTTTCTCTTTGATTGTTATTTCTTTTTGCCTCTGGTGGGATCTCTCCATAAATGCTTTTTTTCTCTTTGTAAATGCTTCTTGTAAGCTCCCAGATACAGGTGTAAACCTTGGAGGACTTTCTGTTGGGAGAAGAAACTTAACGATTAGGCAAAGTGTTATCTTTATATTGGAAGTGTGGAGCCCATGATGTGGAGCCCATAAAAGGCTTACCTGTAGATGCTGTCTTTGGTTTTTCTATGGAAAGTTCTGATACAGCTGGATAATCTGAGCCTTCTGTTTCTGATAAAAGAGGCAGAAACTCACTGACCTAATGATAAGAAAGTTTTATTAAATTTTCAACACATTTCTTTAAAAGGGGGCCTGCTCTGTCGTCAGACTAGAGTGCAGTCACATTATCACAGCTCACTGCAGCTTCAATATTCCGAGTCACTGGGTCTACAGCTAAACCATACCTAGCTAATTTTTGTGTATTTTTTTAGGGATGGGGTTTTGCCACGTTGCCCAGGGTGGTCTTGAACTCCTGGGCTCACGCAATTCACCCTCCACTGCCCTCACACCTCCAGGCTTCTGTTTGGGTAGCATGAGGAAATTCAATGATTTTATTATTCTTATTGCCTCCCTAACTACCCTTGTAAAATCAGCAGTTCCGAAGCCATTATGCAGTATCTTAGAATATGTTTAGATAAAATTTCCAACTTGGTACCATAACACTAGCTGTATAACAAAACTGTTCTGCCAGAGTCTTGCAAAATTGGAGTGTGGATTAAAAGAAAATGTACAGTCGTTGACAGAATGAAGGCTGAAGACAAATGACAGGTGGTGGGGAGGTGTCAGGTCTTAAGGTGTCTACTAAACTGGAGCCCTGAACTAAATTTAAGTCCATAGCAGCATCCCATTGAATAAGTAACATCTGATAATTGAAGTTATCAGGTAAGAGACGGTCAACTGGTTTGCTCATAATGGGCTGAAATATAAGGAATGATTAAATTTACCTGTAAACAGCTTTTTGCTTCATCCTCTCCCTTTTCTTCTAAGGTTAAATTTGCAAAATCTATGTCAGCAATACTGATATCACTGGTGCTTACTAAAGTAAGTTCTGGCTCTTCCATTATACCAAGGCCAGATTCTGTTTCCTGTGAAGCACAATTAAAAGGAAAACCATGTCAAATTAAAGTAGCCTTAAAACAGTAAAAAATGCCCTACATACTCATTTTGTAATATAATGCACAATTTGCGCAAGTGTACATAAATGTGAAAATGTACATTAATGGAGGAAGACAAGCAGTAGTTGGGAAAGACCAAGAGATTTCGTCAGGCTTCCCTAACTACAGCATTCGGTTGTTGGAGCCAACCTTAGGGAGGGGGGTGAAATAGTATGACACAATGATTACAAACCTAAATGTTTGTAGTGTTTGGCAAAAAACAAATGCAGGTTGGCTGGAGCTGTGCAGAACTGGAGTGGATATCCCTGGGTGGCTACCAAATGAGGACAACTGACTGCTAAACACTGAACAAGAAGAAATGCAGCCAAACAGATGTCTTACATTTATTTGTGGAAGGATAAACTGCTAGATGAGAAACAGTTGACTGGTTATAAGTTGGTTGGTATGAGGAACAGTGTTAATAACAGTACTTATTCCAATAATGGATGAATTCACTGCACTGCAATGAGGCTCAACACTGAAAAAGTGCTAAATCATAGGCAAAGCCACCATTTTCCGGGGGTGTCGGAAAATACTCTCAGAAGACAGCCTTCAAAATTTTAGGTTTCTTCATATTGCTAGATATTTGCAGTAATCACAAGCTTGATGGGAATATTTAAGTTTTGCTTGTATTTCAAGTTTTTCTTGCCGGGCATGTGGTGTGTCCAAGCTACTTAGGAATTTGAGGCAGGAGGACCCCTTGATCACAGGAATTTGAATTCAGCCTGGGTGACACAGTGAGATCCTCATCTCCAATATTAAAAGAAAAAATAATTTTCCCAAAAAGGAATTTTAATGTTATACAACACTGATTTCACTTACCCAGACTGGTATAGAGCTCTGCATTGAAAATGATCCAGAACTTGCAAAAAGCTCCGAATGTTCTTTTCCAGATAGTTTACTGGTGATTTTTGGAATGTCTGCTGTTTCAGTAGAATTCTCAGAGTATTTTTGAGTAGTTAAGGAATATGGTGCCTGAACTGAAGTTCCCATCTCCACTGTTCTTACAAAGAATCGAGAATCAGTTTCCTCTACCTGTGGATGTATGTCTAAAACCCTAGAGCTTTCCTTTCTATTATCTTCAGTGAGTCCTTGACTTTGTAACCTAACAAGCCCTCCTTTTGGTAGTTCTTCAAAGCCCACCCTTTCCATTCTGCTTTCTAGTTGGTGTTTTATTGAGCACTCACTACAGTTAGAACCACATGGAGTGGTATGCTGAACATTTAACTGATGAAATACATGAGCTTCATCAGATGAACTGCAGACTGAACTTAAATTTCCCACAGAAAGCTGGAAATGAACACTTTTTTTCCTGTTTTGTACTATTTCAGTATATTCTTCAGAGGGATAGTTCTGATTTGTCATGCCTTGGGAAGAATCTCTTGCTTCAATGCTAAAAATACTTGGTAGATCAGCATGCTGGCTCCCCTCCTTTGAAGAACATTCTGGCAGAAGCTGTTCAAAAGATTGTTCAGCTCCTGTATTAGAAATTTAAAGATCAGTTAGTCACTGTTAAATGTTGTAAAACTTGGATATTGACAGTCTAATAGTTTATCATCCAATTGCAAGTTAGCTACAATTTTAGGCATAAAAGTTTCTCAAACTACAGCTCACACGAAGTTTCTTTTCTTTTTCTATTCATATTTAATAGACTATGGCTACAAACTGAGGCGGTTTTTCTTCCATAAGAATTGAGTATGAGTTTAATAACAAAGACGTATCCCAACTATGTATGTGTGTATAATTTGTACATCCATGTCTATCTCAATTATGTACGTATGTATATATAATTGTACAAGCCAGGCAAGGTGGTTTATGCCTATAATCCCAGCATTTTGGGAAGCCAAGGCAGGCAGATCACCTGAAGTCAAGAGTTCAAGACCAGCCTGGCCAATGAAGAAAAACCGTCTCTACTAAAAATATAAAAGAATTAGCTAGGCGTGGTGGCACATGCCTGCAGTCCTAGCTACTTGGGAGCCTGAGGCATGAGAATTGCTTGAACCTGGGTGGTGGAGGTTGCAGTGAGCCAAGATCTGGCCACTGCACTACAGCCTGGGCAACAGAGTGATACTCTGGCTCTATTTAAAATAAAACTGTGCAAAAGGCTCAAGAGGAATACTTGCTTTTTTAGAGATGAGGGCTTTTCATTTTTTTTTTGAGACAGACTCCATTGCCCAGGCTGGAGTGCACTGGCACAACCTCAGCTCAGTGCAACTTCTACCTCCTAGGTTCAAGCAATTCTCCTGTCTCAGCCTCCCAAGTAGCTGGGACTACAGATGCCATGCCCAGCTAATTTTAGTATTTTTAGTAGAGATGGGGTTTCGCTTTATCGGTCAGGCTGTTCTCGAACTCCTGACCTCAGGTCATCCATCGGCATCAGTTTTCCAAAGTGCTGGGATTACAGGCATGAGCCACCGTGCCCGGCCAAGAAAGGGTCTTTCTGTGTTGCCCAGGTTGGTCTTGAACTCCTGGGCTCCAGGGATCCTCCTGCCTCAGCCTCCCAAAGTGCTAGGATTACAGGCGTAAGGCACTATGTTTGGCCTAAGAAGAATACTTAAACTGGCTGGGCGTGGTGGCTCATACCTGTAATCCCAGCACTTGGGGAGTCTGAGGAGGACAGATCACTTGAAGTCAGGAGTTCAAGACCAGCCTGACGAACATGATGAAAGCTGTCTCTACTAAAAATACAAAATTAGCTGGGTGTGGTGGTGCATGCATGTAATTCAAGCTACTTGAGAGGCTGAGGAAGGAAAACTGCTTGAACCCAGGAGGCGGAGGTTGTAGTAAGCCAAGATCCTGCCATTGCACTCCAGCCTGGGCAACGAGTGAAACTCCATCTCAAGAAAAAAAAAAGAATAAACTATCATACAATGATTGAAGTCGGGAAATCGAGGAACAGAGGCAACACTCTTTATTTGATAATGTTCAGTACTTCTTTTTTTTTTTTTTTGAGACGGAGTTTTGCTCTTGTTACCCAGGCTGGAGTGCAATGGCGCGATCTCGGCTCACCGCAACCTCCGCCTCCTGGGTTCAGGCAATTCTCCTGCCTCAGCCTCCTGTGTAGCTGGGATTACAGGCACGCGCCACCATGCCCAGCTAATGTTTTGTATTTTTAGTAGAGACGGGGTTTCACCATGTTGACCAGGATGGTCTCAATCTCTCGACCTCGTGATCCACCCACCTCGGCCTCCCAAAGTGCTGGGATTACAGGCTTGAGCCACCGTGCCCGGCCTGTTCAGTACTTCTGTAACGTACTTTTTAACATTCAGGATAGGGGTGAAGACAGGAGCAAAGACAAACCAAGAGGTGCTAGGCATAATTTCTAAGGAAATAGAAGTAAAAAAAATCACGAAAAAAATTTTAACTATTTCTAACGTAGTCATACATACCCTCCATATTTTCTGTAGCAAAACTGTGAGCTCCAACATGAGCCAAGTTAATGTCAGGTTGTTGATTCAGAGAAGAATGCACGCCGGTCCTCAACGCTGTGAAATAAATTGTACTTCTGGATGATCCAGTAGCACAGTGGCTTTCAGATGAAGAATCTGATCTCTGACAGGAAACAAAAGGAAAAGGCTGAAATACTGATTACGTATTACCAACTGAATTAATAATCATTGTCTCTTTGTTATTACTCTTCTTTAATTACCACTTAACTGTGACTGACAGTAATGATTTGCTTTTTCAAATCCAGTTCTTTTCACTCAATATGAAAAGAGACTTTAAAATGTCAGGCTATCAGGCCATGGCAGCAAAAAGACCCAGGATATTTAGTCTTGCAAAATTCTATTTACCTGTTTAAATATGTTACACAATTAAAAGTTGTCAAGGCTTTTATGGCATCATACTCCCTAGCTGGAGATAAGATGGATAGGACAAACAATTCTAATGCAAGGTGTTTTCTTTTTTGGGAAGAATCTTACTCTGTTGTCCAGGCTGGAGTGCAGTGGTGTGATCTCAACTCACTGCAACCTCTGCCTTCCAGGTTCAAGCGATTCTCAGCCTCCTGAGTAGCTGAGAATACAGGAATGCCACCATACCCTGCTAATTTTTGTGTTTTTTAGTAGAGACATGTTTTGCCATGTTGGCCAAGCTGATCTCAAACTCCAGACCTTAAGCAATCTACCCGCCTCTGCCTCCCAAAGTGCTGGGATTAGTTATGAGCCACTGTGCCTGCCCCAGTGAAGCTGTTTTCAATCTTGGTTCCACATTAGAATCACCTGGGGAGCTTAAAAAAAAAAAATTAATACTATCTGAACACTCCCAGAGACCCTACTTTAATTGGACTAGGGTGTAGTCTGGATAATAGGATTTTCTCCTTTTTTAAAGTTTTCCATGTGATCCATTTTTCATTTTTTGAAGACAGGGTCTGGCTCTGTCACCCAGACTGGAGTGCAGTGGTAAAATCTCAGCTCACCGCAACCTCCGCCTCCTGGGCTCAAGTGATCCCTCCATTGCAGTCTCCCTAGGAGCTGGGACTACACGTGTGCACCACCACACCTGGCTAATTTTTATATTTTTAGTAGAGACAAGGTTTTGCCATGTTTGCCAGGCTGGTCTCAAACTCTTGGCCTCAAGTGATCTGCCCACCTTGGCCTCCCTAAGAGCCACTGTGCCTGGCCTTCCATGTGATTCTGGGCTTAAGTTTAGAAGAACTCTTGTTCCAGTAGAAGAAATGGCTTAAAACTATTTTTAGATATTCACTGCAATGGGACATTTACTTTAATATACCTGGTAAAAGTCTCTGTTGTCTGGAGAAATCCCAGAGGATGATGACGATAAGTCAAAATCTGGATGTGGTTCTAAGGGTTTAAACAGCTGATGATGCAGATTAGGAAAAATGTGTTCCAATTCTGGAAAGTCAAGGTCAACTGTTGGAATTTTTGAGGGAAAAAAACCATAAATTTATTTTTAAAGTAAAGATTAGAAAAGGAGTAGTAAGAACATATTCATAAATGCTTATTTTCAGGTCACTCCAGTGTAAAAAAAAAAAAACTTCAGTTTTCCCCCCATGATCAGCATATGCTTTAAGTTCTATCATGATTATTTTAAAGATCCAAAAATACGGATCCTCTCAGTGACTTTTTAGGTTTTATTTTTAGAAAAATTTAGCCGGGCGCGGTGGCTCAAGGCTGTGATCCCAGCACTTTGGGAGGCCGAGGCGGGTGGATCACGAGGTCGAGAGATCGAGACCATCCTGGTCAACATAGTGAAACCCCGTCTCTACTAGAAATACAAAAAATTAGCTGGGCGTCGTGGTGCGTGCCTGTAATCCCAGCTACTCAGGAGGCTGAGGCAGGAGAATTGCCTGAACCCAGGGGGCGGAGGTTGCGGTGAGCCGAGATCGCGCCATTGCACTCCAGCCTGGGTAACAAGAGCGAAACTCCGTCTCAAAAAAAAAAAAAAAAAAGAAAAATTTAATTATATTTTTTTAAAAACATTTTTTAAAATAGAAGCAAGGTCTTGGTGTTGTCAAGGCTGGTCTTGAAATCCTGGGCTCAAGCAATCCTCCTGCCGCAGCCTCCCAAAGTGCTAGGATTACAGGTATGAACAAACTTCTGACAAATATAAATTTCCATTTCTACAGCCTTATGAGGCTAATTAGGATCAAAAGGACATATGTAACCACTGCTTCAGTCTAAGCTTAAGAAAGGAAAAAGGCTCACTGTATTCAGTTTTAGTGTGGGTGAAACATTGTGCTTTATGTGTACTATCTCATTTAATCTCTAACATTCCTCTTTTATAAAGATGAAAAAGCAACTTGCCCATGGTTTTACAGCTAGGAAATGGTTAGGTTCTGACTCAAATCCAGATCTGATTTCTGAGATCCTGCTCTTATTTATCAGCAATACTGCCTCAACCCTAATAACTAACTTTGCAATGGTAAAGGAAGATTTGCTAATTAATCTCCTATATATGTGCCTCAGTTGTCTAATTGACTCCAGATCCCCCTTTTCACTCAATATGCCCTCAATATTTTCTTTTTTTTTTTTTTTTTTGAGACGGAGTTTCACTCTTGTTACGCAGGCTGGAGTGCAATGGCGCGATCTTGGCTCACCGCAACCTCCGCCTCCTGGGTTCAGGCAAGTCTCCTGTCTCAGCCTCCTGAGTGGCTGGGATTACAGGCACGCACCACCATGCCCAGCTAACTTTTTGTATTTTTAGTAGAGACGGGGTTTCACCATATTGACCAGGATGGTCTCGATCTTTTGACCTCGTGATCCACCCGCCTCGGCCTCCCAAATTGCTGGGATTACAGGCTTGAGCCACCGCGCCCAGCCAGTATTTTCTATGGTATAACTATGTTGTAGCAGGCCATAGAACATGAAGCTCAAATAATCACTGCATAAAATTAAAAATGATGAAAGGCGAAAATTTAAAACTTAATTTACATAAAAGTATTGCTTTAACATTATTTTACCCTGCAAATCTGTTTTTTCAGGTATCATATTTGCTTCATTAATGTACTTGCCTATCATTTCCTGAAAGTGTGTGTGACCACATGTAGTTTTTTCCACTTCAGGCAACAAAGATTTATGACCATCTGAAGAGTTCTGCCGTTGATAAGTATCTTGTGTTGAAGGAACTATGGAACTTAAAATATTTGTTTCCTCTTCTTTACCAATGGTATATTCTTGCTCGCTATCATCCATGTGCTCTGAAAATGACTCTGAAAATTGAGTTTAATGAAAATATGTAATTCACAGTGACAATATATCCCTTTTAATGGAATATTCCTTACAGACAGATACTGTACTCGGTTACAGACACATTTTAGTGAAGAGGCATGGCAATACATATTGCTAAGAGATCAGTACAACCATGAAATTTGTTCAGATACATTTCCACTGAATGAGCAAATATAATGGCAACTGCTTCTCAAAGTGTTGGTGGTGATCCACAGAACATCCCTGTTACTTCCAGTAACGTCTGGGATACCATACACTCTCCAACGTTTACTGGGTGGGAATATTTTACTTTTTTTTTTTAGACAGGGTTTTACTATGTTGTCCAGGCTGGAGTTCAGTGGCACAATCCTGGCTCATTGCAGCCTTGACCTCCCAGGCTCAAGCGATGCCCCCACCTCGGCCTCCTAAGTGGCTGGGACTACAGGCATGTACCACCACACCTAGCTAACTTTTGTATTTTTTGTCAAGATGGGAGTTCTACCATGTTGCCCAGGATGGTCTCAAACTTCTGGGCTCAAGTGATCCTCTCACCTCAAGGTGCTGGGATTACAGGCATGAGCCACCACACCCGGCCATACTTTACTTTTGAGATTTAGAGAAACAGTCCCCCAACTGTGTATCATGAGAAACCAATGTTTCCTTCCACCACTGTATTGCAACTCAACTGGTGCTGGTCTTTCAACTTATTTATAAACATTTACACATTACCTGGATCTATAAGGCTCAAATCTGTGTTTTCATAACTTAAAAGGCTCCCAGTGGAAACGGTTACTGAAGATAATGGCTCATGAGAAAGTGTTTTAGCCTAGAAATTAAGGGGAATATTAGACCACGATGTAGCCAGTGGTATCCAGGAAAACCCCAAATCACAAATCTCAGCAGTGGTCATTTCCGAGCTCAGGTCAAGTGTAGAAACCTTCATAGTTACAAAGGTCAGTAGTAAAACCTTTTCATCATTGCCCAGAAATGATTAAGCTTTCATAGACATACATACATACCCCCAACCCCCAATCTCATTTATTCCTACAACTGTTATCTATAAACATATGTGCATGCACCCCCACACATACACCCCCACACACCCACACACACCAGACATATGCCCTTATTGTTTTATAATGTTTTATAGTTTTGCTTCTCAGAACTGTAGAGATCATGCATGAGATAGACTGGAAAGCCTTCTGATGTTCAGATTTGGCTAGTTTCATCATTGATCCACTTTGGTAAAAGCAGATCTCAGAGAACACAGACTTTAATGTTATCATACAGCTTCTGGAAACTAAAGAGAATATGAAGCCAAACAGCTCTAAAAATTGAGTGAACATTAAGACATTACTAACCTTATCATCTGGCTTCACAGATGGACCCAAATATGTATGTTCTTCCTCCACAGCATAACTTAACACTGCGTGATTTTCAGTAATAGATTCCTTGACCTTAACTGAAAAATAGATTTCGGAGTTCAAGATGGGGAAAAAAATACAGATGGGATAGAACAAATAAAATTCTTAGTACCACAGGACACCATTCCCTGCTTTCCTACATCTATTTCTTACTTTTCTTCTTAAAGTTGTCTTAGAGCTAACTAAGAAAAAATTCACCTTATTTGTTTAAAACATTCACTAGTCAGCAAAACACTTTTTCCTGGAAAACTGTAGCTATTGTTATTTTATGAATAAAATGCTTTAAAAATATCTGAATATTAGATCTAAAATCTAGAAAAGAACCAGTGTGATGAGAAATGCTTTTGTCTTTTTTTTTTTTTTTTTTTTTTTTTTTTGAGAGAGAGCCGAGTTGCTCTGATGTCCAGGCTGGAGTGCAGTGGTATGATCTCCGCTCACCACAACCTCTGCCTCCTGGGTTCAAGTGATTCTCTTGCCTCAGCCTCCAGACTAGCTGGGATTACAGGTGTGCACGACCACGCCTGGCTAATATTTTGTATTTTCAGTAGAGATGGGGTTTCACCTTGTTGGCCAGGCTGGTTTCGAACTCCTAACCTCATGATCCACTTGCCTCGGCCTCCCAAAGTGTTGGGGTTACAGGCGTGAGCCACTGCACCCGACCATCACTATTTTAAGTGGAAAAGCAAGAATATTAAATCATAAACACCGTATGTCAAAGATGAGAAAAAAATCCATATAAACGAGACAATAATGAAAAACCAGGACCAGGCACGGTGGCTTACACCTATAATCCCAGCACTTTGGTAGGCTGAGGCAGGCGGATCACTTGAGCTCAGGAGCTTGAGACCAGCCTGGGCAACATGGTGAAACCTCGTCTCTTAAAAAAAATACAAAGTTAGCCTGGCACAGTGGTAGGCCCCTGTAGTCCCGGCTACTCAGGAGACCGAGGTGGGACGATGGCTTGTGCCTGGGAGGCAGAGGTTTTAGTGAGCTGAGAACATGCCACTGCAGCCTCTACAACAGAGCCAGACCCTTTCTCCAAAAAAAAAAAAAAACAACAACAAAAAAAAACCAGACCAAAATGTAGCCAGTGGTTGTTTATGAATGGCTTGCACAAGGAGTTATTATTTTTACTTGTACTGTTACTTTTAATACTATTATTTCATTTTTTTAGAGACAGAGTCTCGCTATATTTCCTAGTCTGGTCTTAAACTGCTAGGCTCAAGTGATCCTCCTGCCTTTAGCCTCCTGAGTAGCTGGGATAACAGGCATAAGCCACTATGCCGAGGTTTTTTTTTTTTTTCTTTTACAGCTTTCTAAATTCACAGTGAGCATATATTACTTTTATGATGAATTATCATTCCTAATTCTGTCTCATATTAAAAACTCATGTATTTTGAGCTTATTTTCCTTCTTATTCCAAGTGACCGACACTTGTGAGAAAACTCACCAAGGCATATTGTAGTCTGTGGCTCTGAAAAGTAGAATTAAAACTGCCTCACTGAATATAAACAAAATTCTGCTTCACAATCTTTATATTAAAAGGTATGCACATTAAAGGTATTGAGGTGGGAGGACTGCTTAAGGCCAGTAGTTTCAGACCAGTCTGTGCAACCTAGCAGGACGTCATCTCTACCAAAAAAAATAAAAAATTAGCTGGGCATGGTGGCACACTCCTGTAGTCCTAGCTACCTGGGAGGCTGAGGTAGGTGGATGGCTTGAGCCCAGGATTTTGGGTGAGCTATGATGGCACCACCACACTCCAGCCTGGGTAACAGTGTGAGCAACGGTGTCTTAAAAAAAAAAAAAAATCAGAAAACGAAACAAAGCTGATACCAAATATTTGTCTTTAAACACAACATAATATAATTTTTACATGTCAAGGTCTTGCTCTATCACCCAGGGTGGCTGCTAAAATTTTATAGTGAATTTTTACTTTTTTCTTCTACTCTTAAGCAGCTCATTTTAAAAGCTAATTGGAAAAGGAGAAGTTAATCTGGGTTGTTCAATTCAATAATAATAATTACATTTATTTACTATTACCTGTAATATACCTAGAAGACTCCCTCAGCGGAGGTATGAACGAAGAAGGCAGCATTTGGGTAGTACTAAGAAGTGAAAAGTAAAAGTGAGGGAAAGGAGCAAGATCAGAGTCCTTGAAGATGCTGAAAAATTCCATGGATAGGTCCCTGAAAGTTGGAAGAGAAATAACTGTCCTCATCATTTGGGATGTGGTTCACTGACAACAGTTCCTAAAAAGGGGAACTGACACCATGAAAGTAACACCTTACTGTTATCTTTTCATGCCATGCAGGAAGGCACCATTTCCTGTTTTTCTACAGAGGCAGAGAGTACAAAGCTTGCAGTTAGTGACTCCATCTTAAAAATCTGTTAAATCAAGGTGTTCCACAGAAACAATGGAGTAGTTATAACAAAACAGAGCTTTCTAAAATAGAAACAATCTGGGCCAGGTGTGGTGGCTCACACCTAAAATCCCAACACTTTGGGAAGCCAAGGTGAGGATTGCTCACGCCTAGGAGTTCAAGACCAGCCTGGACAACATAGTAAGACCATGTTTCTACAAAAAAATTTAAAAATTAGCCGGGCAGGGTAGTGTATGCCTGTAGTACTAGCTACTAGGGCAGCTAAGGAGGAAGGATCAACTAAGCCTGGAAGGTCAAGGCTGCAATAAGCTGTGGTTGCATCACTGCATAGCTGAGGTGATAGAGCGAGACCCTGTCTCAAAATAGAATAAAATAAAATTGAAACAATCTGAATCTGGGAGTGATTCCTGGTATCCAGGAGCTGACCTGGCACTATCAGGTTGGGCCTGCTGTTCTGCTAAACATCAACAATTCCGTGGAATGCCAATATCAGAAAAGGCCATTCTGTGGCCATCATAAAGAAAAAAAATGACACACCTTGTAACCACATCTGCACACAGACAAAACCATGAACACTGTCTAAACTACAAGAATGGCCAAGCATTCCTTCATCCTGGCTAACAGGAGTGACTACTCCTGTTTTAGCAGTTGCAACTTTAGCTTCACTCCATTCATACCACCTCCTAGCTAAGAACTTCTCAGGTAATGAAACATAATTACTCCTGCTTCCTGACATCCAGTACTAACAACCAAAGCTGTTTCCTTGAACCTTTCTCCCAATCCCCTAAAAACAAGCCCAAATCCTTTAAGTACTTTCTAAATAGCCATTTACTGAGATGCCTCATGGTTGCCCATGGTGTGCATTCCCCCACCTTGCAACAGGTGAGACACTCAACAGGTGTAGACATTCAGCTACAGGTGCGTTCCTCAGAGTCTTTAGCTAGAGGATATCAACAAGTAGAATAAAAAGAAAACACAAATATCCATTGTGTAAATAAAAAGAATGATGTAGTGGGGAGGTGGAGCAAGACAGACGAATACAGACTGTTTCTACAGACTGTCCTCACCATACAAATTTCAAACTTGGCAACTATCTAAACAAAAAAGTACCTTCATGAGAACCAAAAATCAGGGGAGCAATCACAGTACCTGGTTTTAACTTCTTATCACTGACAACGGCACTGAAGAGCACAGCAGAGAGTCTTGAAATGCCAATACCACCCTCCCCTCATCTTTAGGCAGTGGCCACATGGTGCAGAGAGAGAATCTGTATGCTTGGGGAAGGAGAGCACAGCCATTTTGGGACTTGAAATTGGAACTCAGTTTGGCCAGCACCAGGCAGAACTCAGCCAACGACCATGGAGGGAGCAGTAAGACCAGCCCCAGCCAGAGGGGAAGTGCCCACCCCGGCAATTGGAAGCTGAATTCTGTCAAGTCTTGCCATTGTGGGCTAAATTTAGTGCTCTGGAGTCCTAAATAAACTTGAAGGGCTATTTAGGCCACAAAGACGGCAACTCCTAGACGAAGTCCTAGTGTGTGCTGGGCTCAGAGCTTGTAGACTTGGGGGGTAACACCACCTAGTGAAAATCAGCTACAGTAGTGAAGGGAGTGCTTGTGCCACTCCTCCCCTAACCCCAAGCAGCACAGCTTACAGTTCTAAAAGAGACCCCTTCCTTCTGCTTGAGAGAAGAGGGAAGAATAAAGAGGACTTTGTTTTGCAACTTCAATATCCACTCAGTTACAGAATAATGCACTGGGCAGATCTGTGAGGTCCCCATACTAGGACCTAGCTGTTAGATGACATTTATAGACACACCCTGGGCTAGAAGGGAACCTGCTACCTTGAAGAGAAGGACTCAGTCCTGGCAGAATTCATCACCTGCTGACTAAAGAGCCCTTGGGTCCTAGCCGTGGTAGCCAGGTAGTATATGCCATGGGCCTTGGGTGAGGCTCTGAGACATGCTGACTTCATGGCTTCATGTGTGACCCAGCATACTCACAGCTGTGGTGGCTATGAGAAGAGACTCCTTCTGCTTGAGAAAAGCGGAAGAACAAAGGGGACTTTGCCTTGCAGCTTAGGTACCAGCTTGGCCACAGTGGGGAAGAGCACCAAGTGGGATCTCGGGGGTCCCTGATTCCAGGCCTAGGCTTTTGGAAGGCATCTCTGGATCTACCCTGGGTCAGAGAGGAGGAGGAAGCCCACTGCCCTGAAGGAAGAGTCCCATGCCTGGCAGCATTCACCAAAAGCTAACTGAAGAACCGCTGGGCCTTAAGTGATTATCAGCGGTACCACGACAGTACTCTCCATAGGCCCACGGCGGTGTTAGACAAGGGAAGAGATTCCTTTGCCTAGGTAAGTGGAAAGGACTTCATGGTTTTGGTGCCAATTTAGCCAAACAGAGTACCGGGTAGAGTTCTAAAGATTCCAATTCCAGGCCCTGGCTTCTGGACAACATCTCTGGATTTACCCAGGGCCAACTGCCACTCTAAAGGGAGGGACAACTGGCTTCACCCCCTGCTGACTGTAGAGCTGTAGGGGCTTGAATGAACAAAGGTGGGAGCCAGGTAGTGGTTACAGCGGGCCTTGGGCAAGACCCAGTACTGTGCTGGCTCAGGTCCGGCCCAGCACAGTCCCAGAGATGGTGGCCACAGTGGTGCTTGTGTCACCCCTCCTCTACCTAGCTAAGCACAGAGAGAGAGAAACTCTGTTTGGGAGACATGAAGGTAAAGAATAAAAGTCTCTACTTGGTAGTCCCGAAAATTCTTCTGGATCTTATCCAAGACCACCAAGGCAGTACCTCTATGAGCCTGCAATAACTACAGTGATACAGTTTGATATACAAACTATTATCAATTAGTTTGTCTAATATCAATCCCACTTGTACTACTCTGAAAAACAGAAGAGAAGGGAGTACTTCCAAACTCATTCCACAAGGCTAGTATTGCCCTAATCCCAAAACCAGACAAAGACGCAGTAAAAGAAAATTTACAAGTCAGTATCTCTGATGAATACTGATGCAAAAATCTTCAATAAAATACTAGCAAATCAAATTCAACAACACATTAAAAAGATCATTCAGTCTGACCAAGTGGAATTTATCCCAGGGATGCAAGCATAGTTCTACGTATGTAAAACAAACAATGTGATACCATATCAACAGAATGAAGGACAAAAACCATATAATCATTTCAACTGTTGCTGTAAAAGCATTTGATAAAATTCAACATCGCTTCATGATAAAACCCTTAAAAAACTGGGTACATGGCCAGGCGCGGTGGCTCAAGCCTGTAATCCCAGCACTTTGGGAGGCCAAGGCGGGTGGATCACGAGGTCGAGAGATCGAGACCATCCTGGTCAACATGGTGAAACCCCGTCTCTACTGAAAATACAAAAAATTAGCTGAGCATGGTGGCGCGTGCCTGTAATCCCAGCTACTCAGGAGGCTGAGGCAGGAGAATTGCCTGAACCCAGGAGGCGGAGGTTGCGGTGAGCCGAGATCGCGCCATTGCACTCCAGCCTGGGTAACAAGAGCGAAACTCTGTCTCAAAAACAAAAACAAAAACAAAAAACAAAACTGGGTACAGAAGGAAGTATCTCAACACAAAAAAAACCATACATGAAAGACCCATAGCCAGTATCATACCAAATGGGGGAAAACCGGAAAGTCTTTCCTCTAAGATCTGAAACACAGGAATGCCCACTTTCACCACTGTTACTCCACATATTATTGGTACTGGAAGTCCTAGCTAGGGCAATCACACAAGAGAAGGAAATAAAGGGCATCCAAATTGGAAAGGAAGAAATCCAATTATCCTTGTTTGCAGATGATACGAGTTTATATCATTATCTGGAAAGAAACCTAGAGACTCCACAAGAAAACTATTACAACTCTTAAATTCAGTATAGTTGCAGGATACAAAATCAACATATGAAAATCAGTACCATTTCTATATGCCAATAGCAAATGACTGGAAAAAGAAATCAAGAAAGTAATCCCATTTACAATTAGCTACAAAGAAAATTAAATAGGAATTAACCAAAGTGAAAAATTTCTACAACAAAAACTATAAAAGGTTGATGCAAGAAATTAAAGAGGACATTAAAAAAATGGAAAAATATTCCATGTTCCTGGATTAGAAAAATCCCAACAGTATTTAAAATGTCCATAATACCCAAAGCAATCTCCAGATTCAATTCAATCCCTATCAAAATCCCAATGACATTCTTCACAGAAATAGAAAAAAAAAAATCTTACAATTTATATGGAACCACAAAAGACCCAGAATAGCCAAAGCTATCCTGAGCAAAAAGAACAAAACTGGAGGAATCTACCTAACTTCAAATTATACTACAGAGCTGTAGTAATCAAAGTAGCATGGTACTAGTGTAAAAACAGACGCACAGACCAATGAAACAGAAGAGAGAACCCAGAAACAATTTTATACATTGACTGTGTACTCAGTTTTTAAAGGTGCCAAGAACATACATAGGGGAAAAGAGAGTCTTTTCAGTAAATGGTGCTGGGAAAACTGGATATCCATATACAGAAGAATGAAACTAGACCTCTATCTCTTACCATATGCAAGAATCAAACCAAAATGGATTAAAGACTTAAATCTAAGACCACAAACTATAAAACTACTAAGAGAAAACATTGGGAAAACTCCAGGTCATTGGTCTGGGCAAAGATTTCTGGAATGATACCCCATAAGCATAGGAAACCAAAGCAGAAATGGACAAATGGATCACATCAAATTTACAAGCTTCTGCACAGCAAAGGAAACAATCAACAAAGCGAAGAGACAACCCATAGGATGGGAGAAAATATTTGTAAACCACCCATCTGACAAGGGATTCATAACCAGCATATATAAGGAGCTCAAACAACTCTGTAGAAAATAACCTAATTATCTGATTTTAAAAATGGGCAAAAAATCCAGGTATTTCTCAGAAGAAGAAATACAAATGGCAATCAGGCATATGAAAAGGTGCTCAACATCACTGATCACTAGAGAAATGCAAATCAAAGCTACTTTGAGATATCCTCCCAGTCCAGTTAAAATGGCTTTTATCCAAGACAGGTTTTGCAAAGATGTGGTGAGAGAGAACACTGTTGGTGGTAATATAAATTAGTACAACCATCATGAAGATCAGTTTGGAGGTTCCTCAAAGTAAAAATATTGCTGCCATATAATCCAGCAATCCTGCTGCTAGATATATATCCAAAAGAAAGGAAATCAGTATATTGAGGAGATATCTACACTCCCATGTGGACTGCAGCACTGTTCACAATAGCCAAGATCTGGAAGCAACGTGTGTCCATCAACAAACAAATGGATAAAGAAAATGTGGCATAGCTGGGCGCGGTGGCTCAAGCCTGTAATCCCAGCACTTTGGGAGGCCAAGGCGGGTGGATCACAAGGTCAAGATAACGAGACCATCCTGGTCAACAAGGTGAAACCCCGTCTCTACTAAAAATACAAAAATTAGCTGGGCGTGGTTGTGCGTGCCTGTAATCCTAGCTACTCAGGAAGCTGAGAGACAGGAGAATTGCCTGAACCCAGGAGGTGGAGGTTGCGGTGAGCCGAGATTGCGCCATTGCACTCCAGCCTGGGTAACAAGAGCGAAACTCCGTCTCAAAAAAAAAAAAAAAAAGAAGATAATATGGCATATATCACAATGGAGTACTATTTGGCCATAAAAAGGAACAAGATCACGTCTTTTGCAATAACTTGGATGGAACTGGAGGTTATTATGTTAAGTGAAATAACCCAGGCACAGAAACTTCACATATTCTCTTATTTGTGGGAACTCAAAATTAAGACAACTGAACTCAAGGAGACAGAGAGTAGAACGATGGTTATTAGAGGCTGGAATGCTTAGTCAGGGGTTGTGGGAGAGTGGGGATGGCTAATGGGAACAAATAAGCAGTCAGATAGAATAAATTATAGTATTTGATAGCATAAAAGGGGACTAGAGTGAGTAACTTCATTGTACATTTTGCAGTAACTAAAACTATAATTGAATTTTGTTTGTAAAAAAGTATGAGTGCTTGAGGTGATAAATACCCCATTTACCATGATGTGAATATTACACACTGTATACCAGTAATCAAATTGTCCCATATACCCATAAATATATATACCTACTATGTACCCACAAAAATTAAAAATTGAAACAAAAGAACAATGTGTTTTATTTTAAAAAGTAAAAAATTATGGTTCACTGAAAATTATACCCTCTACAAGTTATTTTAATCCACAATTTAAAGAGATGTTAAAGTCAATCTTTTTTATAAACCCTCAAAAGAATATCTTTCTTTCATCCCTTGTTCCACTCAACTATAGATAGAAGTTATCAATTATCTATGTAGACATACAGCCAAAATAAAAATAAATCTGGCTAGAAACTGTAACTTCTTAAAAGATGCCTTACAACTAATGAACAAGTACTACAACTATGCTCTGTAGGATCAGTACAGAAGATTACATATAAAATATCTTTTGTGCTACATATTTATATATATATACACACACACACACACACACAAATTCAGAAGTAAGAAGATGAACATTGGCTGTCTTTCGGTGTTGGGATTAACTGATTTAAAGATTTCTCCTTGTAATTATCTTTATTTCCAAATATTTAAAAATAAACATATAACAGCTTATTTGGAATGCCCACAGACAGAACTTTTAAAATATCTAACAGTATTTAATTAGATATGGATTGTTACAAATAGGCTTAAACATAAATTTATACATGTTGCCAACTGTATAAAAATTATGTCTTGATAAACTTATTACTGGGATTTATTTAATAAAACAATTTAAAAGCAAAATTACTCCTTTAACAACTGCATAGAACACCACAGTATGGGTGCATCATAAAGATGCCATTAACAGCAATAATTAAGGTTACCATTTTTCACCATTACAAATAACAAAGCAATAAATATCTTTTGTCCACATACCCTTGTGCATACAATTCCACTTTCCATTTATTTCTTACCTGCTTCATCATGGTCACCACCACAGACATTCTGGCCAACCGGTTGAAGACAACTAAATGGATCACAGGCCATTGGGCTCACAAAGAAATTTTGTTCTCGGCTTATTGAGACTCTCAAAGGGTCTCTTTCTTGATAAACACCCGGCTTACCTGGGGGGAAAAAATGGAAAAAAGATGGAAAAAAGATTTCCACTTCAGTTTCTCGAACTATTAATAGCTAAAACTAAAATGGCAATTTAGATTATGGGTAGAAATCTAAACTCTTAAAGACTTAATATATATAGCAAGAAAATAATAATTACTTATCTTTCACAGTCAAGCTTTTACTTTATTTGTATTTAATCTTACTAAGTTTTTTTTCTTTTTGAGATGGAGTCTCACTCTGTTACCAGACTGGAGTGCAATAACATGATCTCAGCTAATTGCAACCTCCTACTCCCTGGTTCAAGTGATTCTCCTACCTCAGCCTCCCGAGTAGCTGTGATTACAGGCATGTGCCACCATGTCAGCTAATTTTTGTACTTTTAGTAGAGATGGTGTTTCACCGTGTTGGACAGGATGGTCTCGAACTCCTGATCTTGCAATACACCTGCCTTGACCTCCCAAAGTGCTGGAATTAGAGGTGTGGGCCACCAAACCTGGTCTAAGTTTTTAATGATGCTGCTACCTCCCCACATCAGATTATGGCTCAGTATTCACTAATCACAAAAATAAAATTTCTAGAGAATTTACCATTCATTATAACATGCATTCAAAATTTCTATATAAAGTTCAAAAATAACCACAATTTGTGGTATAAGAATCAAGATATGGTTTAGAAGAGGGGACAATAATTGGGAAGGTACAAGAGAAGTGTTTACTGGGTTCTCTAATGTGCCACTTCTTGACCTGGTGGTGCTTACACGGGTGTGATTATTACAGTGATAAACCACTGAAACAAACGTGATTGGTCCACCTCTTGGAAGGTTATATTTTGATAAAGCATCCAAGACAAACTTGGTAACTAAGGGCACTGGTACTACAAAAGGAATACAAGCAGCAGGAAACTAAAAACAGAATATCTACGACTATGTACTTGGAAGAGTTACCTCCCTCTCCCGAGATCCCTGTCCATCAACATCATCCCCCAAAGAGATTAAAGGTTTATTCTCTGGAGAAAGTGAATCTGATATACTCTGGATTCCAGGAGATCAGGCATAGAAAGGAGGCAAGAGTGGAAGGGGTGACAGAATGCCATGAGGAAATCAGAGGGTATTAAAACAAAGTCTGCATCCTCAATCCAGATCTCCTAGGTCTGGCTCCGTAATATCAACAGCCAGGCTTATATAAAGCTTAGAAGGTATTTCTTTAGAGAAACTAGTAAGCTCCCTTCAAGGAATCAAACTGAAGATACTACAGTGATAGTCCTCACTACAAAGCCATACTTTTTCCAAGGAAGTCCAAAAGCACATATGGCCCCTCACTCCCACAGAACCTCCAACTGGCCTTTTAGCAACCTGTTCAAATATGAAGATATTAGAAGAAAGGTTCTAAAGTATAAGACAGAGACAACAAAAAATGAAACAAAAGAACTCAAATAGAAATCTAATACAAAAAAAAACCCAAACAAAAAAACCCGCTACAAATATTTTAAGTAGATAATATTCTGCATCCATGAAACAATAGCAGGATGCTATTAAAAAAGGAAAATAATCAGAGAAAAAGAGTAACCGCCGGGCACGGTGGCTCGAGCCTGTAATCCCAGCACTTTGGGAGGCCGCGGCGGGTGGATCACGAGGTCAAGAGATCGAGACCATCCTGGTCAACATGGTGAAACCCCGTCTCTACCAAAAATACAAAAAATTAGCTGGGCATAGTGGTGCGTGCCTGTAGTCCCAGCTACTCAGGAGGCTGAGGCAGGAGAATTGCCTGAACCCAGGAGGCGGAGGTTTCGGTGAGCCGAGATCACGCCATTGCACTCCAGCCTGGGTAACAAGAGTGAAACTCCGTCTGAAAAAAAAAAAAAAAAGAAAAAAGAAAAAAAAAAGAGTAACCTTTTAGAAACTACAATCTGACAATCAAAAGTTCAAAAGAAGAGTTAGAAGACACACTTAAGAAAATTTTCCAGAACACGAAACAAAAAGAAAAAGAAATGAACTATAAGGAAGAGAAGAAAAAAACTGGAAGATTAATGTAGATCAGTATTTCTCAAAATTATTTTAATCATCCCTTAAGGAGTCTTTTTTTTAGACTTTTCAAATTGTCCCTACCTCCATTCAGTTTTAATAAACACAAATACACTATATATCTGCTTATGTATATTTGTGCTTTGTACATACAAATAGTTTTTCCCACCTCCCCAAGAGCTAATTTTTATCCCCTTGCAAGAAATAACACCCTAGTTAAGAATGCATAGCACGGTCCATACGACTTCCAACTAAAAGGTGTTCCACAAAAAGAGAAAATAGTGCAAACTACCTAGAAAACTATATTTAGAGGTATTTAACTGAAGTAGTAGAAAAAAGAAAGACATTTTAAAAAACTTTAAGCAAATGAAATAAAGAAGATAATTTACTACACACAAAAAAAGGTTTACACAAAGAAAATATAATCACATAAAATACTAATGGACTCAGCAGCGAAAAAGATCTAAGTATTACCATGATGACAATTTACCTTACTTTTTGCTTAAACACACTGCAACTAGGGAAGTAAATTCAAGAAGAAACACTTAAAAAGACTTGAAAAGTAACTGCCTCCAGTGAGTGGTATTAAAGGGTGTTGTAAGGGGCAGGAAGAACTGCTGTTTCATGTTATATCTTTGAGCACTATTTCCCTTTTTAAATTACTTGCATGTAATGTGATGAAAAAAAGTATCACCCTAAGAAATATGCTAAAGGCTACGATAACTCCCAAGACTTCATGAGACGGAAACTTATAAGAGTTTACCAAACAAATGACACTAAGTCTTGAAGGGAGGAAGAGAAAGATCATGAGGGCCTGGCAGTTCCCCTACCAGGGGTTTTGGTAGGGATTTTAGTTCACCTACATAGGGATTTTTACTTATTTAGACTTATTCCTAGACTTAAACGATTGCAGTTTTAAACAGGGAGAAACAGAGAGAGATTACTCTGAATACACCACTGAAAAATGGATTGCAGTAAAGCAAGACTGGAAATAGGGAGACAATGGGAGTGGTAGCAACTATCCAAGAAAAAAATAATAGCCTAAATTAAATAAATGGTATTGGGAATGGAAAGATGTGGACATATTCAGGAGTTCAAAAAGTAGATTTGGTGACTTATTTGGTATTAGGGAAGTAATAAGGGAAGGGCCAAAACTTGACATCTGGGTACTATTCACTGAAAAAAGAAGGCTAAAGTCTAAAGGGGTGAAGGTAAGGGAATATACGGATTTCCCTTTTAGACAAAGTGACATTATTGCAGTCTCAAACATGATTCATTAAATGACATGAACCAGTGATGAGAATTTCCCAATGCTCATTCCGAATTAGGGAAAGTATTAATCAATTCCTTATCAGTTGTGATTTGTTGAATAGTACGACAGAAGAAGAGCTTCCAAAGCCTAGTAATAAAGGGGATATTTCTACCTTCTTTAATTCTTTAATTTTTAAAATTTTTCTAAATCGTTTGCATTCCTATAATTTTTTTTTAAGACACAGTCTTGCTCTGTTGCCCATGTTGGAGTGCACTGGTATGACCACAGCTCACTGCAGCCTCAACCTCCTGGGCTCAAGTGATCCTCCCACCTCAGTCTCCCAAGTAGCTGGGACTACAGGCAAGTGCCACCAGATGGGGTTTCATCGAGGCTGGTCTCAATCCTCTCATCTCAGCCTCCCAAAGTGCTGGGATTACAGGTATGAGTCACTGCACCTGGCATGCCTCTCTTAATTCTTTCAAATGCTCGGAAACACAGGTACAGTATTTTATAGCTAAAGAAGAAAACAATATTAACATTATAACTTTTTTTTCAACTAATATATTAATGAGGATATAACTTCTATGTACCTTTCTATTGACAAAGCTAACTTTCCCCATTAAAAAATAATTTATCTTGATAAATTTGATTGAGAAAATTATTTAGTGAATCTGAATTCTAAAAATAATTATGAAATTCACATAAGACTTTTTATTAAAAATTGCACGGATGGGTGTTTTTTCTTCCTGACACCTGGATGTAGAAAGTAGTACAGTGAAGAAACGTTATCTGTTGATACCGACCATAAAGCCAGGATATAGGCATAATAATCCTATAAAAATACAAGACAAGAGCAGTGAAGATAGGAAAGTAGAAGGTGACAAAGGGAAAGAGAAAAAAACCTGAGTGTATCCTAAAGAAACACATTTAGAAGACAGATGTTAAAGGAAGAAGAGGGAATAACCGTCAGAACATGGAAAATCAAAAAAATTTTTGTCTACAATAAGTTGGTTTCACCATATAAAAGATAAAGAAATTACACAGTCATAGTTATTACCAATGCCACATTTAAGTCCAACTTTTAAATATGGTTTACAAAAACCATTTTTTCCTTTTCATGAAAGTCAGGCTAGGTTTCTTTGTCCTTTTTTTCTATCTTCCTTTCCTGCTATAACTTAACAAAAAACATTTAGCACTCTGAAAAAACGTAGACCAGGTGCGGTGGCTCACGCCTGTAATCCCAGCACTTTGGGAGGCTGAGGAAGACAGATCACCTGAAGTCAGGAGTTCAAGACCAGCCTGGCCAACATGGTGAAACCCTGTCTCTACTAAAAACACAAAAATTAGCTGGGTGTGGCGGTGGGCATCTTCAATCTCAGCTATTTGGGAGACTAAGACAGGAGAATCACTTGAACCCAGAAGGCGGAAGTTGCAGTAAGCTGAGATCACGCCATTACATTCCGGCCTGGACAACAGAAAAAGACTCCATCTCAAAAAAAAAAAAAAAGGTAGAAAACTGGCAAATTATTTAAAATTATTGTTTTATCAAACCACCTATGTACCTAGTATAGAAGTTCTGCCACTTGCTGGTGACTCTGCTTCTTGTATAGCACTAAGTTCATGCTGTTTTAAGTCCAAACCGTATTTCACTTTTGCTACAGGTGGCTTTGAGGATCTTATACCCAGTTCTTTCTCCAGATGCTCACCTGTTAAGTCAATGACAAAGTTGGGTAAAATAAAAAAATCTATTAACATACTTTTAACTTTTCTTCAACTAGCAAGCTACAGGGGACGTAAACAAGGAATAACCAGTGGAATAATAACAATAAAACACAATTATCTTACCACTTTGCTTGGCACTAGAATCTTCCGAAACCAGCTGATTATCATCAGAGTTGTTCCTATCTGCATGCCTAATGTCTTCCTGATCATTTCCTACTAGGTCTTGTATATTAGGAAACCACTCTTTGAGCTGCCCCATCTTCTGAGTTTTTAAATCATTTCCAACTATGGGCTTACTTATCTGAAAAAGTGGAGATGAGGGTGGGGAAACACAAGTTGGGGGATCATGTGATGAATTCTTCATTAGATTTATATATCCTGGCTGGACGTGGTGGCTCACGCCTGTAATCCAAGCATTTTGGAGGCCAAGGCGGGAGTTCAAGACCAGCCTGACCAACATTGGTGGAACCCAGTCTTTATTTATAAAAAAGATTTATATCTCTCTTCTTAAATTAGAATGTCAACCAAATAAACAGTTCCATCAATCACACTTTACAATTTTATCTATATATAAAAAATAAGATGTACTTCTAATGCCAAAAGGATAATATTTCCACTGAAAATAAAACCATTTGGCTGAACACAGTCACTCATGCCTGTAATCCCAGCACTTTGGGAGGCTGAGGCAGGCAGGTTACCTGAAGTAAGGAGTTTGAGAAAAGCCTGGCCAACATGGTGAAATCCCGTCTCTAATAAAAACACAAAAATTTGCTGGGCGTGGTGGTGCGTGCCTGTAATACCAGCTACTCAGGAGGCTGAGGAAGGACAATCACTTGAACTGGGAGGTGGAGGCTGCAGTGAGCTGAGATTGCACCGGTGTTCTCCAGCCTGGGCAACACCGCAAAATTCTGTCTCAAAAATAAGGAAAAGAAAGAAAATAAAACCACTCACAGCCTTGGACTTAAAAACTCAGCCTCTGGCCAGGCGCAGAGGATCACACCTGTAATCCCAGCACTTTGGGAGGCTAAGGTGGGCGGATCAAGAGGTGAGGAGATGCACACTATCCTGGACAACATGATGATGCTGCGTCTCTACTAAAAATAAACAAATTAGCTGGGCATGGTGTTGCTTGCCTGTATTCCCAACTACTCGGGAGGCTGAGGCAAGAGAATTGCTTCAACCAGGCAGCTGGAGGCTACAGTAAGCCATTGCACCACTGCACTCCAGCCTGGCGACAGAGCAAGACAGCAAACAAACAACAACTTAGCCTCCATTGCATCTTTCCATAAGAGATTACATTTGAGTATCTCCTTCTGTTTTTCTTGTCATTACTTTCCCTTTAAATGACCAGTAAATGTCTGGATGTCAAACCTTCCTGAACCCAACTGAAGCTTCTTTTCGATATCAAAGGTTTTGTAGAATTCTACTTAGACTAAATAATAAATTTAGGAAGTGGCCTTTTATTTATTTTTTTGAGATACGGTTTCCCTCATTGCCCAGGCGGAAGTACGGTGGCATAATACGGCCAATTGCAGCCTCAACCGCCCGGGCTCAAGATATCCTCCCACCTAAGCCTCCAGAATAGCTGGGACTAGAGCTACATGCTACCACACCTGGCTAATTTTTGTATGTTTTGTAGAGACAGGGTTTTGCCATGTTGCCCAGGCTGGTCTCAAACTCCTGGGCTCAGGTGATCTACCTGGCATGGCCTCCCGAAGTGTTGAGATTACAGGTCTGGATCACCACGCCCAGCAGAAGTGGTCTTTTAAAATAAAATGGATACGTTCAAATTTAGAACATATTCATCTCCCAGGTAGAACAACTATGAATGAGTCACTGGGCCAGAGTCTTAAGAACAATTCGGATACAAGCAGCAGGTCCAGCTGTACGTCAGCCTAAAATCATGCTAGTTTTGCAACAAGTAATAACAGTGTCACTTGAGAAAAAAGATAGTATTGATGCAAATTTGGATATAAATGTCAGCAAAGAGCACAATGTCTGCAGCTATATAAGAGAAATTCTGCTAACGAGTTATTTTTATAATTTTAATCTTATAGTAAGCTTAAAATCCATTAAAACAAAATTCCAAAATGAGAATCTACACTGTTTTGTGGTATGTTTGCATTTGAAATTAATTGAGCTTTGGGGCATGTGTTGTGGCTCACACCTGTAATCCTAGCACTTTGAGAGGCTGACGTTGGTTAGGGACTAACCTGGCTGACATGGCAAAACCCAGTCTCTACTAAAAAAATTACAAAATTTAGCCAGGCACGGTAGCACACAGCTGTAATCCGAGTTACTCAGGAGGGTAAGGCACAAGAATCACTTAAACCCAGGAGACAGATGTTGCAGTGAGCTGACATAGTGCCACTGCACCTCAGCCTGGATGATAGAGCAAGACTTTGTCTCCAAAAAAAAAAAAAAAGTAAAAGTAAAAAAAATGAAATTAATAAGGCTTCATGTAACTATTCACCTCATAAACACCATGTGGATGGATCAATTTTTGTTTTAATTTCCACATTATTTAGGGTAGAAAATCAAAGCACAGTTGAGGTCAAACTACTTATTCTCAATAACTAAAAACTTGTAATCCTATTATTAAAAACTAATTTGGGTTTAAACTTCTATTGTTTCATTATTATTCAGGTTTAAAACATACCTGACTGTCTTTAAGGAAATCCACCAAAGTCTCCTCGTGTTTCTGTATCTGCTGCTGCAATGCTGTTTGTCTCTGTAAATGCAGTTTTTCTTGGGTTTTCTGGCTACAATGCAGAACTTCTCTTTGTAGTTCCAACTGCTTCTGAAGTCCCAAGTCATCTTGCTGGGCTAAGACAGGCTGTGAAAAACTCAAGCGTCTATCTTGAAAAGCTGGGATCACAGGATCACTTGGGGGAGCTGCATGTTCATTATGGGATGAGTATAATTCACAAGTGCTTTTAGGGTTAGTTTCTGCAAAAGGTAGTGGAATAAACGAATGCTCTGTTTCCTGGGGTAGAAACAAAGAGGGGACAGTATGCTCGGCAGATTCACTTTTGCTCAACTTCGTTTGTTTGTTTAAAGGCTCTTCCTGGAGTTTCTCGTAAGAGTACATCACTTCCCTTTGTACATCCAACTGAGCTGTCAAATTGTCTTCCTGAGGCAGAACAGGCTGTGACAAACTCCAAAGTCTATCCTGTAATCTTGGGATCTCAGGATGACCTGAGAGAACAGTATCATTACTTTTGGTTGGGAGAGACTTCTGGGTTCTCTCAGAGTCAGCAACAGGCAGTACTATCTGGGACAGAAATGAAGAGCAGCTAATTTGTTCAGATGATACTCTTTTCTCCAATTCACTTAATCTTTGCAAAAGCAATTCTTCTTGGACTTCTTGACTAGATCGAATGGCTTTCTTCTGTGTATCTAACTGCTGCTGAAGTGCCTGCAAATCACCATGGTGAGACTGGATAAAATGCTCAGGAGATACTTTTTCCTCAAATGTACATGCTTTTGACAACATCAATTCTTTCTGGGTTTTCTCAGTAGAAGGAAGGAAATCTGTCTGTGCACGCAAGTGTTCTTCAAGTGCAATCAAATTATCTTGTTGAGGTAAAACAACATGTGACAAACCCAGAAGCCCATCAGGCAATCTTGGTATCTCAGCGTGACTTGAGGATACCATATTAACACCATTAATTGAACATGGTTCTTGGTTTCTTTCAGATTCAGTAAGAGGTAATGAGGCGAATGAATGCTGTGGTATTAGCGGTAAGGAAGAGGTGTCAACCTGCTTGGGAGATATTCTTCCCTCCCATTCACTCTGTTTATGTAAAAGTAATTCTTCCCGAGCTTCTTGTCTAGCTAGAATTATGGCTTCTCTCTGTGTAGCTAACTCTTCTTGAAGTGCCTTCAAATTATCTTGTTGAGGCTGGATAAGCTGTGATATCCTCGAAAGTCTATCCTGCAACTGTGGGATCTGAAGATGGGTTGAAGAAATTTTACTTTCACTTTCTGTTGAAAGAGGTTCCAGGATTGTGCCAGACTCAGCTGAAGCTAATGAAGTAAATGAAACCTGTACCAACTGGGGTACCAATGATGAGCCAGTTTGTTCAGAAGATGTATTTTCTTGGGTTTTCCAGCTGAATTTCTCTGTGTCTAGCGATGCTTGGTGTTCCTCCAAATTATCTCGTAGAGGTACTGTATGTTGTGAAACTCTCAAAAGTCTTTCCTGAAATCTTGGGATCTTAGAACAGCTTAAGGGAAGGATATTGTCACTCTTGATTGAAATACATTCCTGGAATCTCTCAGATTCATCTACCTGGGAAAGGGATGAAGAGGTACCAGTCTGTTCAGAAGAAATTCTTTCCATCAATTCACTTTCTGTGTGTACGAATTCCTGAGTCCCTTCTTTAGCACCAAGTATTACTCTTTGTATCTGTGACTGTTCTTGGAGAATTGTCAAATTTTCTTCCTGTGGCAATCTACGCTGTGGAAAACTAGGAGACTTATCTTGAAATGTTGGAATTATCAAATGACTGGAGGGAACTACATTCTCCTTCTCAGATAAATAAAGCTCCTGAATTCTCCTAGGCTCAGCTTTAGCAGAAGCTTGTGAAGTAACTGAATGTTGAACCACCATTGGTGAGGATGAAGAGCTCACCAGCCCGGACTTACTGTCTCCTGAATCTCTTTGTCTATGTAAGAGTAATGCCACCTGAGCTTCATGCCGAGCCTGAAGGGTATCCCTCTGTTTAGTCAATCGTTCTTGGAGCAACTTCAAACTATCATGTAGAGGTAGGAACTGCTGTAGGAAACTCGAAGACCCATCCTGAGATTTGGGGACATCAGATTGGCATGAAACAAGTCCTTTCTCGCTCTTAGATGAATACTGCTCCTGGATTTTTCCAGGTTTTGTATCAGCAGAAGGTAGTGAAGTAAACGTATGCTGAGCTACCTGAAAAGGGAGAGAAGAGGGCTCAGACTGTTCAGAACATGCTCTTCCATCCAATTCACTCTGTTTATGTACACACAATACTTCCTGGGCTTCTCGCCTAGCCTGAAGGCTATCCTTCTGAATATTCAACTGCTCTTGGAGAAATTTAAAATTATTTTGCTGTGATAAGACAGGCTGTGAAAAATTCAAAAGCCTGTCCTGAAGTTGTGAGATCACATGATGGTCTGAGAAAATTGCAGTATTATTCTTGGCTGGTGACGATTCCTGGATGCTCCCCAAATCAGCTTTGGCAGAAGGCAATAAAGCAGATGAACTGGGAGTTACCAAGGGAAGGAATACCGAGAGGCCAGTTTGCTGTTCCAATTCTCTCTGTTTGCACAAAAGCAGCTGTTCCTGAGCTTCCTGTCTCGCCTGAAGAACTTTCTTCTGTAGGTCTAACTGTTCTTGGAGGGCCTTCATATTACCTTGTTGGGCTGTGATATTCTCTGAGGGTAGCAAATACCTATCAGGCATTTGGCTGATGATGGAATGGTTTGTGGAAACTGTACTTTTCCTTATGGTTGAAAAGGGTTCTTGCATTTTTCCTGACTCAACTTCAACAGGCGAAGAACTAAAAGAATGCTGAGGTACTAGTGGTACAAATGAAGAAGGATCAGTTGGCTTGGAAGACGTATTTTCACTATTCTCTGAGAACATCTGTTGGGAATCTAAACTTTGAAAAGTTGTTATCCTAAATGTTTCAGATATTTTTCTAGCATCCTGTGATATTAGCTGCCTGTCATGTGACAAAGTCCTTGAAAGTGTCTCAGAATCTTCAGGGACCAATTTATAGTCTCTTTGTTGTGTTTCAGTCTGAGAGAACTGCATAAAATGTTCTTGTGATTTTAAAGACTGATTGGTTAAAATATTTGAAACACCTAATGTTTCTGTTGTTTCCACTTGTCTTTGTGGAAAGTGATTTTGTCCAGCTACCTGAAAATGACCTTGTTCTAATTTGGAGGTCTGTATAGGCTGTATGGGTTGGTATTTGTTAGGATTCAACTTGAGTCTCTGACCTTGATCCCAATGCTCTGATACAGCAGTTGGTGTCTCAGATTTCCATGATGGCATTGATATAGTAGAATCAATTATCAATGATGGAGCTGACATCGATGGGCACCTTCCTTTCAACACAGTTTGATATTCAAGTAATCGTTTCCTGGCTGTTTCAACAGACTGCCTGTGTAACCTAACAAAAACAAAAGAAAACAATTACTCTTTTTTAATGAAAAATGAAAGCCCCATATCTATACATTAAATTTAACAAACAGTAATCTAGGGTTGGCAATACTCATGGTGAGAAGAAATTACACTCACATTGTCCTTTAAGAATGGCAGTTCTATATGCCATAGTTCTAAGGAAATCCAAATTAGATCATCATATAAACAAAATAGTAAATCTTAAAATTGTAGCCACATACAATCTCATATAAATTATACCCTAGCTAATACCTGTTTTGTTGTAAAAGCTGATGTTGATAGTTACGAATCAATTGCCTATGACTATCTTCATCAGAAATTACAGAGCATGATGCTGGAACAATGCCAACCTAATAAAAGACAAAGTTACTAATTAAAAGGCAAATTTAGAAATAAGTACTAAAGTATTTTTACATACAGTTCTATAATGGTAAACGTCTATACAGCTTCCATCAGTAAGAAATAAACTAATCTGTCATTCTTTAGTGCCCATTCAAAAGCTCAATGTACTCATTACCTATAAACCATGGTCATATCTATTAATATCCTATAGAAACTGAAAGATGAAAGCCATAACTGGGCACATTTATTATGTATACATACATTATATTAAAAAAAAGACCAAATATGAATTACAGAGGCATTTTACTTTTCGTTTTTTGAAATGGAGTCTCACTCTGCAACTTCTACCTCCTGTGTTCACGTGATTCTCCTCCATCAGCCTCCTGAGTAGCTGGGATTACAGGCATGTGCTACTATGCCCAACTAATTTTTCTTTTCTTTTTTTTTTTTTGAGACGGAGTTTCGCTCTTGTTACCCAGGCTGGAGTGCAATGGCGCGATCCCGGCTTACCGCAACCTCCGCCTCCTGGGTTCGGGCAATTCTCCTGCCTCAGCCTCCTGAGTAGCTGGGATTACAGGCACGCGCCACCATGCCCAGCAAATTTTTTGTATTTTTAGTAGAGACGGGGTTTCACCATGTTGACCAGGATGGTCTTGATCTCTTGACCTTCTGATTCACCCACCTCGGCCTCCCAAAGTGCTGGGATTACAGGCGTGAGCCACCGCGCCCAGCCCTAATTTTTTTATTTTTAGTAGAAACGGAATTTCACCATGTTGGCCAAGCTGGTCTTGAACTTCTGACCTGAACTGATCTGTCTCGGCCTCTCAAAATGCTGGGGTTACAGGCGTGAGCCACTGCACCCAGCCAACCATTTCACTTTTCTAAATGCTACAAGTGCTCATATTTTCCTGCCCCCGTCACCAAAAGATTTATATGGTGATGAGATTTTCTGCATCCTACCCCAGTCTGTTGAGCAGTTTTTTTTCTTTTTTCTTCTTCCAGCTGAGCCCTGAAGCAGTCAGTTTCTAATCTTAATTTCTGCTGTTCAATTTGTTCAAGTAATTCCAACTGCTTTTGCTTCTGCTCTTCTATTTCCATTATCTAGGTAACAAAAATACTATTGATCTATTAACAACGAACTCATACAAAGGGAAAGCTAATACATATTCCATTTAAAAGAAAGAGGTTTCTTCACCAAGTGTACCAATTTTCAAAGAAGTAAGTAGTGACGCTTCGTCTCTATTATTGTCACTGACAGACTGAGGATGGGAGTAAACGATGGGAAAAGTGAAAAAGAGAAAAAGAGAGAAGTAAAAAAAGGCAGAAGGAAACAAAAGCATAAATACATTAACTATTTCTACTTTCTGAGAGCACTGGGAAATCCTGATCACCACTGAAGAACTACTTTGAAGCAGCAAATGATGTACAGCCAAATTCTATCTTCACACACTTAATAATATAAATAATGAGTACAGAAATTAAATATCAGGGCCTCCTAAAATACTTTAATTTCTTAGCTATACCCATTAAGAGGTATAGTTATATAGAAGCAATGAAAAACATTCTGTGTCTTTTTTGTCAGGCATGGAACGGAAGAAAATGGCAGAAAGATAACACAAACTCTAATATTACATAAGCATACATACATTCTAAGTAATATGAACATGTTTGAGTAACTATGAGTTTCATGAGGACAAAACTAGCCTGCCAAATCTAGCACCTTAGTCCCTTCGTATCTGCAATTTAGCTTTTGTGGTTTAATCACTCAGGGTCAACAGCAGGCAGAAAATATTAAACGGAAAATTCCAGAAATAATTCATGTTTTAAATCATGCACTGTTTTAAGCAGTGTGATTAAATTTTGCACTGTCCTGCTGAAACAAGGATGATCCCGTTGTCCAGCACATGCCATAAACTCGATCAGGCCATTTGTTACTTAGTAGCCATCTTGTTTACAAAAACTTGCCTGTTGCAGCATCAGTGTTTGTGTTCAAATAACCCTTGTTTTACTTCACAATGGCTCCAAAGCATAAGAGTAGTAATGCTGTCGATTCAGATATATCAAAGAGAGGCTGTAAAGTGTTTCCTTTTAGTGAAAAGTTGAAAGTTCTCAATAAGGAAAGAAAAAAAATTGTACACTGATTGCTGAGATCTATGGTAAGAGTAAATTTTCTATCAGTGGAATTATAAAGGAGGAAAAAAATTCACCCATACAATATACAGGAATCAATATTATCTGCAGTTCAGTACTATCAGGCACCCTCTAGGGGTCTAGGAACATATACCCTGTGGATAAGCAGGGACTACTATACAGTCCTTGATAGATAAAATATTTATTAAGTAAAAAAAGGAATGCACATTAAGTTTTATTATATAAAGAACAGCAATACTACTAGAGATGATGAACAATGATCTTGTTTTCAAGAAAAAAAGCCTCGACCTGATTCTTTGCCTATTCCTAATTAGGCAACAGTGGCTTCAACTGAGTTCCTGTCTTCCTCTTCCTTACTTTCAAATCTCACTCATAGGAACCCCTGAATTTAGACTGTTTACAGTTCTGTAGTACATCTAGAACCATACTATCCATACAGTGGTTACTAGCTATATGTGACTACTTATATTTAATTAAAATTAAATAAAACTTAAAGTCCAGTTCCTCAGTTACACTAACATTTTAAGAATTCAACAGCCCATGTGGCTAATAGATACATGCTAGACATAGAGAACATTTCCATCATCACAGAAAGTGCTATTGAACAATACTGTTCCAGACTACTGATGAGAAAATATTTTTTCTTTTTTTAATTGAGATGAGTTTCACTCTTGTTGCCCAGGCTGGAATACAGTAGTGCAACCTCAGCTCACTGCAACCTCCACCTCCTGGGTTCAAGTGATTCTCATGCCTCAGCCTCCTGAACAGCTGGAATTATAGGCGCATACCACCACACCCAGCTAATTTTTGTATTTTTAGTAGAGACAGGGTTTTGCCATGTTGGCCAGGCTGGTCTTGAACTCCTGACCTCAGGTGATCCACCCACCTAGACGTCCCAAAGTGCTGGGATTATAAGCATGAGCCACCGTGCCCAGCCTGAGAAAATATTTATCTGACAAGAAATACTGGCATACGGAATTCTCACTCCCCAGCTGTATTTTTGAAAAACCTAACTAGGACTATAACCTGACTTGCTTAGTAATAATTAGCCTCCTTCTAGGTAAGTTAGGTTGAAAAAATCTTTTATTAAAAGTAGATGAGACCTGGGCCGGGCGCAGTGGCTCAAGCCTGTAATCCCAGCACTTTGGGAGGCTGAGGCGGGTGGATCAAGAGATCGAGACCATCCTGGTCAACATGGTGAAACCCCGTCTCTACTGAAAATACAAAAAATTAGCTGGGCATTGTGGCATGTGCCTGCAATCTCAGCTCCTCAGGAGGCTGAGGCAGGAGAATTGTCTGAACCCAGGAGGTAGAGGTTGCGGTGAGCAGAGATCACGCCATTGCACTCCAGCCTGGGTAACAAGAGCAAAACTCCACCTCAAAAAAAAAAAAAAAAAAAAAAAAAAAAGTAGATGAGACCAAAATTTTATGTTTAGGAGGATTTTGTTTTTCCTTTTTTTGAGATGGGTCTTACTCTGTCACCCAGCCTGGAGTGCAGTGGCATGATCTTGACTCAGTGCAACCTTCGCCTCCTGGGTTCAAGCAATCCTTCCACCTTAGCTTCCAGGGTGGCTGGGACTACAGGTGTATATCAGCATACCCACCTAATTTTTAGTAGAGATGGGGTTTCACTATGTTGGCCAGGTTGGTCTCAAACTCCTGGACTCAAGAGATATGCCCACCTCGGGCTCCCAAAATGCTAGAATTTCAAGCATGAGCTACCACGGCTGGCCTAAAGAGGTTAAAGTTTAACTTGGGCAACATGGTAAGACCTCATCTCTACTAGGGAAAAAAAAAAAAAAAGCTGGATATGGTGGCCCATGCCTGTAGTCCCAGCTACTGAGGAGACTAAGGTCAGAGGACCGAACTGAAGAGGTCAATGCTGCAGTGAGCCATGATCATGTCACTGTACTCCAGCCTGGGCGACAGAGCAAAAACAGGGGGTTGTATATTAAAAAATTTTCCTCTGGCATGGTGGCTCATGCCTATAATCCCAGCACTTTGGGAGGCTGAGGTGGGTGGATCACGAGGTCAAGAGATAGAGACCATCGTGGTCAACATGGTGAAACCCCGTTTTTACTAAAAATACAAAAATTAGCTGGGCATGGTGGCACGTGCCTGTAGTCCCAGCTACTCGGGAGGCTGAGGCAGGAGAACTGCTTGAACTCAGGAGGCGGAGGTTGCGGTGAGCCAAGATCGTGCCATTGCACTCCAGCCTGGGTAACAAGAGTGAAACTCTTTCTCAAAAAAAGAAAAAAATTTTTTTTCCTCTGAAATACATTTTTCAAAAAAACTTGGATTACAAAGCCCATCTGAGTGTCTAATATTATGATAAGGACTTGTTAATTCAACATTTATTGTATACTTAGTATGTACAAAGCATTGTATCAGAAACTGTGTAGGATAAAAATCTTTTAAAGAAGATAGTTTCTGCTTTTTAAAAGCTAATCAGTTTTATAGGGAAGGTAAGACCCATACAAATATATAAAATATAAAGCAGACACAGAAAGGACTGAAGGAGTAGTATGAGCAAAGACAACATGCATTCTATCAGCTGAATGTCTGTGTAAGACAATGTCAAAAACATGATATCAAAACTAGCCAGACATGAAGACAAATGTCATTAGTCAAACAAAATTATGTAAAAGTACCGAGCCAGGGTCGGGTGGGAGGGAATAAACCTTGAAAAATAAAAATTCAAATTACCTGTTTCTGCCTTGCTGACTTTCTAATCCTGGCTGCTTCTTCTTGAGGATGAAGTAGAACTGAACTCTGAGCTACACTTGTGATAGGCAGAGTCTCTTTTATTTCTAGGGGAATGCCCCAAACAAAAATTAGTTTAAATAATTTAGAATTGTGACACCATTATAATGCCCTTTCTTAATATATCACATGTAATTTTATTACAAAAAAAAAAAAAAAGATGTGAGGAGTCAAATTTAATTTGAGGATGTGATAAAAAGAAATACCTTGTTCTCTTCCAGAGTTTGTACCACAGGAAAGTGATTTATCTTCACTAGTAAGTGGTCCAGACTCAATTGTTAGTGTATCACTTTCAACAACTGTAATAGATAATACCACTGTTATTATGAATATGTCATCATTGTCAAGCTTAAATCAAAGCAAAATAACAAAATTCTGGCATTAACAAATTCAATGTAGGGCCATCTGAATATCTCATTTAGTTAAGACCCAGTCACCTTCCTGACGATCAAATATATTTCTCATTAAACCCAAGCCTAATAATAAGACATGAAAGACTGAAATTGTGAAAACGCGAAGAACTGATTTAAAAGATATGCTGATAAGGTTTCAAACACAGTGGAAAAGCATAACAAGAGTGAAAATAACAAGGAACCAAAGTTAAAAAAGAGAAGCTAACGAAATGTCAATGTATCTTTAATATACCTAGATGCCAGAGTTTTTTTTTTTTTTTAAAGTAATTTGTGAAACCAGAGCAGAGAAGGAAGTTAAAGCAATTTGTTCTGATCATATTTGGGTAGCCAGATACTCTGCATGGAGCAGCCGTTTCTGTTCACTTACTTATTCATTTGGCACCTACTTATGTGGTACATGGTGGGGATACCACAGTGAATGAGAAAAGCCTTCAAGGAGGCTTACAGAGTAGATAGCAGAACCAACATATAATTATCCCAGAAAAAATAAAGCAGAAATTGTGACAAGTACTATATAAGAAAAGTAAAGGGTTATACAATAAAGTATAATAAAAAACAACTTTCTGGGCAAGATGAAATTTCTCTGAGGAAATGACATTTAAGCAGACACCTGAAAGGTAAGGAAGAACCATCCAGGTTAACTGTGTGAAGATGTATAGGAGACTTTTCCAGACAGACCAACAGGTATAAAATGCCCCATGAGGATAAAGAAACAAACCTTGGCCCATTCAGGGAAGTGAAAGATCAGTGTGCATGGGCTGTAGTCAGACAAGTGGGAGAATAAAGCAAGATGAGAATGGAGAAGGCCTCCTCATTACAGGCCCTTTATCAAAAGAACTTGGTCAGGGATTGAATATGAGAGTCCCCCTTTTTGGATTCCAATACCACACTCTCCCGAACTTCTCTGGTCACTCCTTTCACCGACTTTGCTATTTGCCCTTTCTCTAGCCATCTTCTAGATGCTAGAATCCCTCAAATAGTCTTATATGCCCTCTTTTCACTGAATTCTTTCCCCTCCAAGTGGTTTTCTATGTCCATGGCATTAAATATCCTATATATGTCTAGATTCCAAATTTACCTTAATTCAACAAATGTTAACTGAGCACCTAATTTGTACAAGGCAGTACTCCAGGCTTTGGGGACACAGCAATGTAGAAAATCAAAGCTCCTATCCTTATGCATAGGTGGGGCAGGCATTAAGACAATAAGCAAAATAAGCATCAAAGTCACTTTACTGCCCATCAGATATTGATAAGAGCTATGGCGAGGGAAAGCAGGGTAAAGGGGATAGGAAGTGAAAGGTGTGGAAGGTCGGAGTAGAGGTAGGGAGGGGTAGAAGCATGCCATTTTATACAGTCAGAAAAAACCTTACTGAGAAAGTAATTAGCTGAGTAAACATGTAAAAGAAGTGAGGAAGTGAGTCAAGGAATACCCAAGAAGAAGAAAAGTTTAGCCCAAAAGACCAGCAATTGCTAAGACCAGGAGCCCTATGTTTGCCAGGAGCCCTATGTTTGCTATCTGAGAAATAGCGAGGAAGCTGGCATCTACAGTGCAGAAGAGGAGAAGGGAGGTGTGGTAGGAAAATGAAGTCAGAAGGGTAGTGAGTATGAGAGGAGCAGTGGGGGAGGTGTACATGTGCAGGTCATAGAAGGCTTTGACACCACTATACACTCTCTGGTTTTTACTGAGTAAAACTGACAGTTATTGGAGGGCTTCACCCAGAGGAATAACATGAGATTGTTTTTAAGAGGCATGTTAATAGACCATAATAGGTAGGTGCAAAGGCTGATGATAGCAGGCTACTACAAGAATCTACCCTAGAAAATGAATGTGGCTTAAACTAGGATGTAGATGGTAAGAAATGGTTGGACTATGGATATATTTCGAGGGTAGGATCAACTGGATCAGCTAATAGTTTGGATGTAAGATATGAAAAGAGGGAACCAGGATTATAAGCTTTTTGGCTTGAGTAAGGGAAGTAAAATATTGCCAGATGCTGAAATGTGAAATACTGTAGGAAAAGCAGATGTGCGGTGGGAGGGGATATCAACAGTTCACTTCTGAACACACTTAAGATACTGTTAGATATACAAGAGATGACAAACAGTTAAATAAGTAAGTTGAGTTCAAACAGAAGGCCAAGACTTGACATACACCCTTGGGAGACATCAGTATATAGATGATAATGTAAAGTGTGACGTTTGAGATCATCTAGGGAGTTTTGGCACAAAGAGAAGGGACTTGCAGAACGAGCTCCAGGGGCAATGGTTAATCATTGTGGAGATGTATAAACAGCAAAGAAAATGAAAGAGGAAACAGTAGAGTAGGAAAACTAAAGGAAGGGACTGTCAAGAGGCCAAGGGAAGAAAACACTTCAAGAAGGCTTCCTGTGGGACTCAGGAAAAATCCGAAACCCAAATACAGACCACAAGTCACTTTTCTCAAAAGCACAGAAGCAAAACATTTCCATACAAATACAATCACATTTTTTTTTTTTTTTTTTTTTTTTTTTGAGACGGAGTTTCGCTCTTGTTACCCAGGCTGGAATGCAATGGCGCGATCTCGGCTCACCGCAACCTCCGCCTCCTGGGTTCAAGCAATTCTCCTGCCTCAGCCTCCTGAGGAGCTGGGACTACAGGCACGCGCCACCATGCCCAGCTAATTTTTTGTATTTTTAGTAGAGACAGGGTTTCACCATGTTGACCAGGATGGTCTCGATCTCTCGACCTCGTGATCCACCCGCCTCGGCCTCCCAAAGTGCTGGGATTACAGGCTTGCGCCACCGTGCCCGGCTTCAATCACATTTTTAAAAGAATCCCCATCAAGGAGATACTTGAATTGTATGTGAACAGATACTTTATAACTTCTGGAAATATATTTAAGAGACTATTTTTCCAATCAAAAAATTATTTAAAATTAGCAAGTAACAAACCAAATATCTGGTGGGAATACAATATGCTTAAAACCCACTAACATGCTCATATATCCTTTGATCAGGAGTTATTCTTTCAAGAGTTCTTCCTCAGAAGTAAAAATGTGGCCAAAGACTTCACTAAAAGGATGCCCACTATAGCACAAAAACACCAAGAAAAATTATAAAACAGCCTAAACATCTCATTAAGGAACTGGTTAATTTTGATTCATTGATTACATTGGAATAAATATATATAAATAACAATACTACATTAAAAGTGTTCTGTAAGAAGATTCACTAAGGCTTTTAATGTTTCTTTGTCACTTTTACTTAGCAGGATTATATTTTGTTCCTTTTAACCTCCATTCTTTGGTTTTTCAGGAACAAACCTACTTTTGAACAACTTAAAAAGGGTTTACATAAAATGAGACTCTTGGAGAGAAATACCTTGTTCCTGCCCAGAGGATAGCATTCTCTCTTCACTGGCAAGTGTTCCTGACTCAACCGTTGGTTCTTTACTATCAATTTCACTAACAGTCGTAATCATTTCACTTTCATCCTCAGACACGGACTGAATTGTCCAGAGAGATTTTTGGCTTCTGATCTTATTTAACAACTTTTTAAAAAGAACTTTTGAAGGAATCTGTTGGGTCTTCATTGCCAAGGGAACTAAAAGAAATAAAGAAAAAAAAAAAGGGGACTGTGATATCATTCACTAAGATAGCCAAAATAGGTAGAGAAGGTTTCAGTAGGCAAGAGAAGATTATAAATTTATTGCTAGACATGGAGTTTTAAGTAACTATGGGAAAGCCAAGTGAAAAAGTTCAGAATGTTGGAGACAGAGATGTTTTAAAGATCAAAATTTGTGCTACCCATCATTACACATGAAGTATCTAAAAATAACTGAATACCAGTAGGATCTCTGATGATCTGACAAGTCTGTGCTGACCTTTGTTGTGCTGAACCTCTACTGACTCAAATGGAGATGGCATCAAGTTCAAGAGGCCAAATAAGAGATTCAAAGCTAGCCAATGAGCTATGCGGTTTCACTGAGGGAATACATACAAGGGAGAGTCCAGTGGCAGCAGGCTGGACGGAAGAACTGCAAAAACCATGCAGTTTAAATAGCATTGTCACTTAGTACTCTTTTCCTTATGACCTCCAATTGACATCCTTTACTGAACCCAAAACTTGATGCCTTGATCCTCTGTATGGCTCATGTTTCACACAAGACAGGGGCTCAGATGTTCCTCACAGACAAGAAACAAATCTCCAGGTTGGCCACTCCCAGATTCCCTAGCTCAGAACCACATTCAGGTGTGCGTGCCACACAGGGTCATTCTCAGGGTATGCTTAAGTTATTGCTATCAGGTATGTCAACCATGCAACCTTTCAAATGAATTCAGAATTGAGCACCTAACTCAAATAACTTAAAAATATTCAGATCGTCTGTATGTATCAGTAAAATTTCCTCCTGCACATATGAAAAAGGATCATCAATGATGGAATTATGAAACACTGTTTCCTTTAGCTACAATTCCCATCAGTATTATTCATTGCTTGCACTTAAATCAAGTCGGATTTTCCTAACTGTTGGCTAAGGATCAGCATTTTTTTTCTGTGAAATACTGTAATATTTAGAACAGAAATGTTTTTACCATCTGTTTCACTAGAACATATTATTTCAGCTTCTGTCACTGGAAGGTCTTCAGCTGCACCCAAATTTTCTTGTTCCATTGAAAGGTCCAGCTCTTCATCTTGGATGTGATCAGTCACAGTGGGCAAGGGCTCTGGTTCAAGGTGCAAAATCAGATTCCCTTTTACCTCTTAAAAAAGAAATATAGAGACATGTTTGCATTCCAAAATGATTAAAAATAACTGGATCACAAAAATGTAAAGGCCACTGTAATGCCTTAATCTAAAATATGGAGGTCTCCTCCAAACTGAGACCCCATTTCAAAATAAAAACTGCTTTAACATTACAAACATATTTTCCCACCAAAATGTTTAAAACCACTACTGAAAACCCTACTGAAAATAACTTACTCCTGTCTGCACTGTACATATCTTCAAAGGCAAATTCCAGTTCTCTCTGCCAGTCTTCCTTCATTTCACTGCGTTTGTATGGAAGTTCAACTAGTTGTGGTGGCATTTGTGCTACAGTCTGTCTCCTACGTGCCAGGTCCTCTTGCTGTAGCTGTTTGAGTTCTTTCATTAGTTTCTCCTGATTCTTCAAGAATAAAGAGAACAAAAACCGAGTCACAAACTTTGTATGGTAGTATTAACAGTGTTGTGGGTAGGGGAAATGAGTGTCAGGGTGTAAGCTTCTCTATTCTCTTCTATCATTTATTCAGTCAACAGACAGACGTTTATTCATTCAACAATTATTTGCTGACTACCAGATACCACATTAAGTACTAGGGACACAATCTTTACCCTACCCTAGTAGTATAAGACCCACAAACGAGTAGTATTATGTTAGTAAGTACTACGAAAGAGTTAGACCATAAAGCTTCAAAAAGTGCCTGCCAGTTACAGTTTTCCTTTCTGAGGAAAGCAATGAAGTTAATTTCTGTATAAGTTGCCATGGCTCCTGTAATGTACTTTGTTCCAGTTCTTCATGTACCTGTCTCAGGTAAGCACCAAGACCCACAGTGACTATGGCTGTACATAGAATATTTCTTGTTATTTCATACTCTTATGAATTTCCATGATTAAACGAGATCTGAATGTATTTCTTTAAGCTTAAAGAGTGTGGCTATTAGGAAAGTTTAATCAGTGTTTTAGGGAGGTTATCTAACGGAATTTTGGTGGTGGGAGGTAAGGACGGAGAACAAGGAAAAACTTCTCATTCCTCGGGATAAGGATTTAACCAGACAAAAGTTGGTGAAAGAAAACGAGTACATGCAAGAAAAAAACTGCAACACAAAGATATGGAGATGAAGGCACAGTATAGTCAGAAAATAGCACACTGTTCATCACAGCTAGTGCATGGAAGGCAAGGATGATTAAGGAAAGAAGATAAAACTGGAGAAGCAGGTAGAAGTCAAATATTAGTTAATATAGACACTGGAAGGAAATAGGGTCCCAGGCCATAATATAGTCTGCAGCAAAAAGGTTCAGACGGGAAAAATGAAATCCTTTATTAGCAGTGAGATTTCGTGGTAGAGAAATCCTGCATTAAAAGTGGTAACAGGCCAGGCACAGTGGCTCACGCATGTAATACCAGCACTTTGGGAGGCTGAGATGGGCAGATCATTTGAGGTCAGGAGTTCATGACCAGCCTGACCAACATGGTGAAACCCTGTCTTTAATAAAAACACAAAAAAATTGGGCAGGGCACGGTGGCTCACACCTGTAATCCCAGCACTTTGGGATGCCGAGGCAGGCAGATCATGAGGTCAGGAGATCCTGGCTAACGTGGTGAAACCCCAACTCTTCTAAAAATATAAAAATTAGCCAGGTGTGGTAGCACATGCCTGTAGTCCCAGCGACTCGGGAGAACAAGGCAGTAAAACTGGTTGAACCCAGGAGGCGGAGGTTGTAAGTGAGCCGAGATAATGCCACTGCACTCCAGCCTGGGCAACAGAGCAAGACTGCCTTAAAAAAAAAATTAGCTGGGTGTGGTGGCACATGCCTATACTCCCAGCTACTCAGGAGGCTGAGGCAGGATTACTAGAATCCAGGAGGCGGAGGTTGCAGTGGGCCAAGATCCCCCCACTGCACTCCAGCCTAGGCGACAAGAGTGAGACTGTGAAAAAAAAAGACATGAAACAGAACACAGAGAGGTTAACTAATTTGCCTGAGATCAAACAGCTGACTGGCCAAGAAGAGAGAGAAATCCTGGCAGAATGGCTATGGAGCCCACCTGCTTAAACTACTAAACACCACAGCTTTTATAGACGAATCTGTTCAATTTATGACTGCTTTTTGTGTCTGTTTTACTGTAAGTTTAAACCTAAGATGGGGAGAATTACTGATAATAATTCAGACATTCAGCTATTTTAGTCACAGTTCACTCCTAGTTTACAAAAGCTAAAAATTTAGTTCAAGCTAAGATGAATCATTTTTATGTCATGTTTCAAGGCTAAGCACTAAATGAATAAGCATGACAGAAGTGAAGCTAAAACTATAAAGTCAGCTTTCATTATAATATTTTGCACATTTATGACAGTCACTACTGATTGAGTGACACAATCTCACTCTGTCACCATGGTAGAGTGTAGTAGTGTAATCTCGACTCACTGCAGCTTCTGCCTCCCAGGCTCAAGCAATCCTCCCAGCTTAGCCTTCTTGGGAAATGGGGTCCCGGGCCACAATACAGTCCCAAACTGGGATTGGCTGTATTGCCACCAGGCCTGGCTAATTTTTGGATTTTTGGTAGAGACAGAGTTTCTGCATGTTGCCCAGCCTGGTCTTGAACTCCTGGGCCCAGAGCAATCTACCCACTTTGACCTCCCAAAGTGTTGGGATTACAGGCATAAGCCACCTTGACTGGCCTTGACAGTCACTTTTTATTTTATTTTATTTTTTGAGACAGAGTCTTGCTCTGTGGCCCAGGCTGGCATGCAGTGGTGTGGTGTGATCTTGGCTCACTGCAACCTCCTTGTCCCAGGCTCAGGTGATCCTCCCACCTCAGCCTACCAAATAGCTGGGACTACAGCCACACACCACCATGCCTGGTTAACTTTTCTGCTTTTAGTAGAGACGGGGTTTTCCCGTGTAGCTGGTCTTGAACTCCTGGGCCCAAGCGATCTGCCCACCTCGGCTTCCCAGAGTGCTGCGATGGCATGCATGAGCCACTGTGGTCAACCTATTGATGGTCATTTTTTAAAAGTTTCAATAGCAAGGATCATGACTTTACTTTTGAAACAACATTCTGCAAAGCCAAAAAGTGCTTTGCTCAATACCTATTTAATAAACTAAATACTCAAATTTATAGAGCACATATGTTATACAAAAAATTGAATTAGAAAAGTGATTTTTCCTTAGGCTGTTTGGACTTATTAAAATATTAAACTTTTAATAAATTCGTTTAGTAAAATTTCTAGAAGAGCAATACACTGGGAGAATAGCCTAACCCAATCAGAACTTGAAATGGGAGGGCAAAGAAAGTTGGGAAACCTGAAATCATATGAATCAGACTACACTGAACTCTACCCTTCCTACTTTTCTTTGAGATCATTCACTAATCAGTCTTGCAATGCTATTATTAAGTCTATCAGTAATGGTCACAAGTAGAATTTAAGTCTTACTTGAGCCAAATGGATCTTCTTCATTGCTTGGAATCCCCGTACATGTGCCTTTTCAAACTGTTCCATTCTCTCTCGTGCTGCCTGTTTTTGTAGCTCTTCCAATCGTTTAGCTTCTTCTTCAGCAGCCAAATGAGCATCTGGCTAGCAGTCAATAACATTTTAGGCGAAATTTTTAAAGTGTGAGACAAGCAATAACTAAAAAACAAAACAACCTTAAAATCGTATTTTCTACATATATAAAATTAAATATAAGGAGTTATATTTTTAAATGTCCACAATTATTAACAGCATATATCTATGAAAGGGATCAAACTGATGGTATAAATTTTTACTACTCATTTTAAAACAGATTAGGTTATATTCCTCCAAACACATTTCTCCATCACTTTGTAAGTAAAGAAATCTTTGCTTTTTTTGGGAAGCCAAGGCGGGCGGATCACCCAAGGTCACCCTGGCCAACACAGTAAAACTCCATCTCTACTAAAAACACAAAAATTAGCCGGGTGTGGTGGCGGGCACCTATAACCGCAGCTACTTGAGAGGCTGAGGCAGGAGAACTGATTGAGTCCAGGAGGAGGAGGTTGCAGAAAGCTAAGATTGTGTCACTGCACTCTTGTTTCGAAAAATAAAAATAAAAATAAATCTCATTAAAATGACAGTATTGAAAACTAAACACCCACAAATCTCATTAATGTAACACACACAAAAAGAAAGGGGTACACAGCCTGGATTTACTTTTTTTTTTTTTTTTTTTAAAGAGATCAGGTCTTGCTTTGCTGAGCAGGTTGCTCTCAAGCAATCTTCCCACCTGAGCCTCCTGAAGTGCTGGGATTATAGGCGTGAGCTACCATACCCAGCGTGGATTTACGTTTATTATCTGAACATTCACTTTTAAGTATAGGTAAATAGTCTAAATGTAACCAGCAGTAAAAGTCTTTTTCTGTCTTTCATATGTAGAAATTCTGCCAGCCAGTTGAAACAATTAATGATGACCAAGACAGCTATTAACTTCATGTGTAAAATTTTTAAAAATTATCAAATAGTGAGATAAATAGGTAAAGAGATTGATACTCTGTTAATAAATTAATAGAGTATACTGGACAAACAAATTTATTAGAAATATACCCCCTGTGAGCCACTAAATATTCATGTAAAACTAAATAACATCAGGGAAGACAAAAAAAGTTAGATTAAATCAAAATTATAATATGTACATTTAGTTATCAATATGTATGATATTAAATAAAATATCTTAACAATATTTCAATCAATTTCAACCATGAGGTTTTCGAGAAAAAAGTTGTTTATGAATTCATTTGAAAAAAGTGCTATGTAAGTGTTACTGACAAGGAATACACCTGATGAAGGCTATGAGTAAGTAATGTAGGACTTTCATGCATATCGTGTTTTGTTCAGTTCTGTGTAGAGGTAGTGAATGTAGCAAAACATAATGTAGAGACTTAATGGCTCTAAGTACAACTACAGCAGGCCACTTTGATAATTCTTCTTCAGCCAAAAATAAATATTATGACATACAAGAGATTTTTGGAATTACTTCATCAGGATACTAAACACACACACACACACACACACACACACACACACACACAGTAACAGCTCTTAATGTGCTAAAAAGGCTGACTGAACAAATGAAAGTAGTTTATTTGCAGAAAGCTGTTAAAGAAAAATACCCAAACAGATATGTCAAGAGTGCAAGTATTTTTCATATGATACTTGCTGTAAAGATAATATCGTTTTTCTCCAGGGAAGTTGCTAAAATTATTGTGCATGTGATATAAGTTGAGTGCAGATGAAAATTCAGAGGTAATTTTATTTTGAAAGCCAAGCACATTGATCATCACGTTTTAAATCCAAGATTTAAGGACAGATTTTTCCTAAGTAATGGAGTAAAGCAGCAAATAGAAAAAAATACGAATAAAAATGTGTACAGTAATAAATCTATTTCTGAAAATATTCAGAAATCATATCTTCAGTCAGTACACAAAGCTCAGAAAACTGCTAGAAACAAAATCTGTCTGTGGTCCCTGGCTTTTGTCTAACCCTTTATCATTGTAACTACTAATCTAATTTTTTAGCCCCAAAATTGAAAAGGAGTTAGGTCTTCTATTTACTCTCAAAAAAGAAAGCTTATAAATGTTAATTTAATACCATCAGCAGCACCATATGCTGATGGAGTTCGGGGGAAAAAATTCTTCATCACTCTTAGTTAAAAGGTAACGTCTTTTTAAGATCACAAAAATGCAGTAAACAGTAAAGCAGTTAGCAACAAATTAAGTTAGTGTTCCTGCATTATAATACTGAAATTATAATATTATTTTACAATTTTAAATAAATGTCATTTACTCTTGCATCTTAGAAGTTCATTCTGTGATGATATTCACTTTAGTTCTTAACTGAATATTGCTTTTAATACCTGCTATTAAGCAGTCAACCAAAATGCATATTTGCTGCATTCTAAATGCCACAGGAATGCTATAAAGTTTATTTTCCTAGTAGCCAAATATATTCAGTAAGAGGAAAAAAATTAAAACCCACTGACGCACAGAAACAGCAATTATAATAACAATATATTCGTTACTCTTAAGACTGGCAATAATTTTTTTAAACATAATATTCTGTGCAGACAAGGTTATGGTAAGCTGGCCATTCTCATGTTGCTGATGCTTTTTAAAAAGTAATTTAATTATCTGAATCAAGTGTTACACAGTTTGGAGCCAAAAACTTTCTCTTTATGCTAACATTACTTACAGAAAGAAAAAATAAAGCAATGGTTAAATAAATGCTATGCAAAATATTAGGTTGCTACTAAAAATAATGTTTTGAAAAGTTTGTGTATATGTTTATATTTAAATAAAGGTTATAATGAATTTATTAAAACATTACCCATATTCCATTTAGGTGACAGAACTGGTGTTTTTCCAATTGTTTATGCTTATGTGTATAGTTGTAAATTTTTCACAAACAGCATGTAATATTTTATGACAAAAAGGTCTTAAAATCTGCTATTTTAAAATATAACCATTTAAATAGCCAACTAGTTTAATTCATATTAAAGCAACATGAAAATTCAAAGCATATTTAAAAGATTTTTTATAATTACCAATTGCCCAAATCAATATTGAAGTCTGGGAACACCATACATACAACTAAGATATAATTCAATTCGATGCACACAGAAATAAAAATTTCTGTTGTTCATGAGGGCATGAACAAACAATAAGTCAATCACCTGTTTTGTGTCTATCTCTCTATTCACAAATGTATGAAGATGATGGTAGGTAGAACTGTTGGTTTTGACTGCAGAAATTCTTTTTACTTCAATGTTCTGGATATGAGAACATAAAAAAATAGGTTAAAAGTATTTTTATTTAAAGCTGAATCCAATGCAAAAAAAGTGATTTTGTATTTTAATGAGTTCTCCTCATCCAAAACAAGCTAAAAATCTGCTCATAATGAAATCAAATTTTTACAGAGTTAAATTACTTCAAATTTTAATAAAAGTACCAGATTCATCAGTATTTCAAATTGTCTTCAAGGTGTGGCTAACTAATCAATGTGTTTTATTCATCACAACTTTTAAGTTATTTATAGAGACATTTCATCTTTAAATTTTCTGAATATAGAAGAACTTAACAAGCCAGATCAAATAAAATGAAAAGCACTTCATTGTATTTATAAGAAGACAACATGCACCATTATGTCCTCTTCCGTATCTAATCACAAAAATTCTACTATAGTTCATACTAGTCTTATTTTCTGCACGTTTAATGATGTATTTGAGTTTTGGTCCCGAAACACTTGCCAATATTTAAATTACCCTTATTCCAGAATAAAACAACACTGAAGAATGAAAATAAACTACCTTCTCCCTTACCCTTCATGTATCTTGTAGTAAAAGTAGATTCAGTCCATCACAACCTATGACACATTGATGTTTAACTAATTAACTAAACTGACAAAGAATATTAAGTGCCTACTATGTGTTAAACATTATACAAAGCACTGTGAACAACAACGAGAAGTAAAATAAAATAAAGGCCCCTGGCTTCAAAGAACTCAGAGTAACAGTTCTTAACAACTAGAAGTTCTAACAATTAGACGTAAATAATAACCGTGCATTTTACAGGTAACATAAAAAAAATTCACAAAGAAATGCTAACACTTCCACTGGATCTCTTCTGTATTATATCCTAGTAGTGAAAACTTAGCAAAGTCCCTCAGCTTTTCCGTCCCTCGGCTTTCTCAAGAAAAGTGGGTTTACAGCTATCACTATACCATATAATCATTGTGACAGTTACTGTAAGAATTGATTAATGTATAAAAAGCACTTTTAATTTTTTTAAGGCCTGTTGACAAGGCCAGAGTACAGTGGCACGATCGTAGCTCACTGCAACTCCTGGGCTCAAGCGATCCTTATGCTTCAGCCTACCATGGCTAGGACTACAGTATGTACCACGATGCCTGGCTTATTCAATGACATCATGAATGCAACACAGGTTGAAAGAGAGAAAAGTTTAAGTAAGAATAGGTTGAGAATTAACCAAAGTTTTAGCTATAATATATATGAGTGTGGAATGACGAGGAGGATTCAAGTGGAAAGAAAACAAACAATATAAAAGACAAGAAGCGGCTGCGCGCAATGGCTCATGCCTGTAATCCCAGCACTTTGCGAGGCCGAGGCAGGCAGATCACTTGAGTTCAGGAGTTTGAGACCAGGCTGGCCAACATGAAGAAACCCCTTCTCTACTAAAAACACAAAAAGTAGCACATGCTTATAATCGCTGCTACTAGGGAGGTTGAGGCAAGATAATTGCTTGAATCCAGCGTTTCAGGTTGCAATGAGCTGAGACTGCGCCACTGCACTCCAATCTGGGCAACAGAGAGAGACTCCATCTCAAAAAAACAAAACAAAAAACAAAAAAATTAGAGGAGATTAAGAAAATCCAAGTAAAAATGAACAGCCTGACGTTAGCAGAATTATCTGAGTAGTTTTTAAGAACTGCTCATGTCTTGGTCCCACACCAAATTAAAATCAGAATCTATGGAATAGAACCCAGTATTAGTATTGTTAAAAAGCTGTGGCCAGGTGCAGCGGCTGAAACCTGTAATCCCGGCACTTTAGGAGGCCAAGACCGGCAGATCACTTGATGTCAGCAGCGAGACCAGGCTGGCCAACATGGAGAAACCCCTTCTCTACTAAAAATACAAAAATTGGCCGGCCATCGTGGCACACACTTGTAATCCCAGCTATTTGGGAGGCTGAGGCAGGATAATCGCTTGAACCCAGGAAGTGGAGGTTGCAGTGAGCTGACATCACATCATTGAACTGCAGCCTGAGTGACAGAGCGAGACTCTGTCTCAAAAACAAAAACAAAAACAAAAACAAAAACAAAACAAAACAAAACAAAAACTCCACAGGTGAACAATGTATAGCCAAAGTTGAGAATTACCTAGATTAGTCAGAAAACTAATTGGCAAGTACCTGAAATACATCCAGATATGTACAACAGAGAGACCTTATTCAGGATCTTAACATTTAGGTAAAAGATTAAACTGACAACTAATGAAGACATTAACTAGCATATAAATATTTGAGACAGGGTCTTGCCATGTTGCCCAGCCTGGTCTTCAACTCCTGGGTTCAAGCAATCCTCCCACCTTAGCCTTCTAAGTAGCTGAGATTAAAGGCAGGTGCCACCAGACCCAGATTTAACTAGTTAATATTAAAGTTCAGTAAGAAACTGAAGTCACTCAACAAAAATTCAGAGATGGTAATATACATCAGAATGTTTCAAAGAATCTTAGCGGCTTTTAAATCAATGCCTTGGGAGGCTGAGGCAGGCGGATCATGAGGTCAGGAGTTCGGGACCATCCTGGCCAACTTGGTGAAACCCCGTCTCTATTAAAAAACACAAAAATTAGCCAGGTGTGGTGGCAGGCACCTATAATTCCAGCTACTTAGGAGGCTGAGGCAGGAGAATCCCTTGAACTGGAGGTGGAGGTTGCAGTGAGCCCAGACTGCTCCACTGCACTCTAGCTTGGGTGACAGAGCGAAACTGCATCTCAAAAAAAGAAAAAAATGAATCAATCAATCAATGTCTTGAAAAAACTAACCGTAAGCTTCTTGACAAGGAAGAACTCTGAAGAAAACAAGTCTCTAAAATTACATAACTTGATATAAAAATATGATTCAATTTACACACTTTAAAGTACCAGTACTTCCAGAGTAAAGGCAATTATGTATAGATTGAATTTTGAATCCTCCCAAAATTGGGATCACAATTTGAGATTTCGATTACTATGAATCCTGTCTGATTATAAGAAGATTTCCAGTGAATTATACCTAAGTGTTTACTGAAATCACTCCTTAGCCTGGCAGAATTAGGATGACCTGTTAACAATTTAAAATCACTCAATTTGCTTCCTGTGTTTTATCTTCTAGCCTTAGTTTTGTTCCACAGTGACTATTTCTTGCCTTATCTAGCCATGTACAGGACAAAACCAGCTTTCTACTCTGAGTACCCGACACTGGCTCATGCAGCAAAGGAAAGGAAGAAAAAAAATGCCAGGCACTGTGGCACATGCCTGTAGTCACACCTACTCAGGAAGCAGAAGCAGGAGGAATGCTTTAGCCCAGGAGTTCAAGACTGCAGTGAGCTATGATGGTGCTGGTAAAGAACCACTGCACTCTAGCCTGGGCAACATAGTGAGATCCCATCTCCAAAAAAAAAAAAAAAGAAGGGTATAAGCAAGGAAAGAAGTAAAAGAAGGCTCAGTTTCTCTTGCATCTAGTATAATACATAAGATATCTTCATAGCGTCTCAGGGTTTTCCATACAAACTTCATTCTTTAACAGCCCTATGAAAAGATTGTGGTTGTTTACATTTGTAGACTTTAGTGTCTAAACAGTTAACTAGAACTCTGAAGAAGTATATTCGTGGGAAGCTAAGTGTCAAACTAAAAAGATCATGAGCTTTATAGAATTTGACCTTGACATAAATTCTGGTTCTCACACTTACCTATTATAGGACTTTGGACATATTACTTAACCTCTGACCTTCAATTTTCTTCTTTTGTTAAGTGGAAATATCTACCATGCAGGGCTAAAGTGATTAAACTAGTTATGAATAAAAAAACCTGACATAACTAAATTCTTAGGTACACAACAAGTATCCATTCTCTTCACCATGTAAACACCTGTCTCAAAAAAGAATATTTTCTTAAATTAAGAAAAAACCTTGATTTGAGAAGATTAAATAGTTTAGGTTTATTTTCCCAGGCTTTTCAGCATTTATATTTTTATCTGCTGGGAGAAACAGTGATACAGATGCATCTATATCCTGTGTGTGGGACATAATGTTCTTACATGGTACATTTCCCTGGCCCGAAAATACCCTACAACCTAGCTTTTCTTAAACCAAAATCCTGTCCCTCCCTTCTATGACATACATTCACAACCACCTTAAGACATTCAGAAACACTGCCTCATCTCAAACACCTTTACTGGCTTGGGTAATGAATTTTTCTAAAATAATGCCTTTTAGTTAAACAAGAATATAACCACCCAGATCTTAGTTATAAGTAACATTTCTCCACTAAAGAGAACCAGGTGTCTTTGGAGATACCAGATGTGGGACATGATAAATAAGCCTAGGTCATCTGCTGGGCCACAGAGCAAGGAAATGCTCATGGAGTCACAGGGATGCAGAGACAATTTCAAGAGTCTCCTGCTAACCAAATTTCAGATACTACGAACGTCAGTCAGAAGAAAAAGAATGACTATAACTGACTATGTAATACTGAGTAAAAGAAAAACCCCACAAATTAACAGTGATATTCACAAAAGAGAAAGGAAAAAAAAACACCCATTTACTATCTCTGGTATTAATTATTACACCAACCCTTTACTCTGAAAACTGGCAGAGGAACAAACGAAGAATATATCCTGTTTGCTTAAAAGGAACTATGCCAGGTGTGGTGGCTCATGCCTGTTAACACTACCAGTTTGGGAGCCTGAGGTGGGTGGATCATGTGAGGTCAGAAGTTCGAGACCAGCCTGGCCAACATAGTGAAACCCCATGTCTACTAAAAATACAAAAATTAGCCAAGAGTAGTGGCAGGCACCTGTAATCCCAGCTACCCAGGAGGATAATCGCTGGAACTCAGGAGGCAGAGGCTGCAGTGAGTCAAGATTGCGCCATTGCACTCCAGCCTGGGTGACAGAGTGAGACTCTTGTCTCAAAAAAACAGAAACAAAAACAAAAACAGGAGAAGAAACTAAATAGTCTATGCTCACTGATATAACTCATGCTTCTCAAAGCACGAATACAGTTTTACTTGCTTTTTATAAATTTTTGACTTTCGCTTGTTATAAATATTAAGAATTAAGACAAATATAATCAAAAGGCATCATGGATAACATACTGCCTGACTCTCATCATCTCACTTTGTTACTGAGGGAGTGACTGCAACATGACTCTTCCATCTGAAACTTGTTGGATCAAATGTGACATTGTAGATGGCTCAACATAAAAGCAGGAAGGTGACAAAATGAAAGGCCTAAGAAGTGAGTATCTGGTACTTATGCTTATACAGAATATACTTGTACGTACAACTAAATTAGACATCCCTGTACTTGTGGGTTTACTTCTACTTAATTTTTCAGATAAAAATAACTAGGTAATTTTGACAATCATCCAAAAAGCCATTTCAGTAACTACAACAAGCTAATGTGGAGAATATTTTTTAAAATTTCTGCTTTAAATTTTTTTTGAAAAATGAGCTTCAAAACACAAAAGCACACATTTTAGTCCAATAAAAAATTGATCCCTCTTGTTATAGTCTTTTTTACCTCTTTTCTTTTTTAAAATCACACCTGGATACTTTATAATCTTATGCAAATTTATTAATTTAACTGAAACTCAGTTTATCTGCAACATGGTGACCATTTAAAATGAGCTAAATTCAGAGTGTGGGAAAATCTATAGGACAAATAGCCTAGTTTTTTTTCCCCAATAAATATAGGGTATTTTTTCAAAAAGCAGAATTATTAAAAGTTTCTTAAAAACCAAAACCATTATAGTTTTCCAAATGACAAAACTTTTTTTACATCATTGAGGAGGGCTGAACAAACACTGGGTATTAAATGATTTTAGAAACAATATTAGTTTTATATAAGAAAAAAGGGCTGGGCGTGGTGGCTCACGCCTGTAATCCCAGCACTTTGGGAGGCCGAGGCAGTCAGATCATGAAGTCAAGAGATCAAGACCATCTTGGCCAACAGGGTGAAACCCCATCTCTACTAAAAATACAAAAATACAAAAATTAGCTGGGTGTGGTGGCTACAATCCCAGCTACTTGGGAGGCTGAGGCAGGAAAATTGCTTGCATCAAGGAGGCCAAGGTTGCAGTGAGCCAAGATCGCACCACTACACTCCAGCCTGGCAACACAGCGAGACTCCAACTCAAAAAAAAAAAAAATTCCTTATACTGTGTAAGCAAATACTAAATAAATGTCATATAGTAGCATATTCATCATATTTGTTAAACTTGGTTTAAAAATAATGCTGGGGATGGGGAGTGATTTGTTTAAAATAAGTTTTCTTATACAATTAAGTAAGTGATAGTCATTTTGACTTTCACTGAATTATAATAATAAAGAAGAATTATGACCTAGTTCCTCTTAATACTCAAACAAACTCACCTCAAAAAGAGTTGGAGGAGGAGGTGGCAAACTCGTAATTTTGGCTGATCTCTCTTTTTCCACAAGCAGTGCTTCCTTTCGAGCTTTTATATGCCTTAAGAAACAAGAGATGTCATCAATTAATCTCTTAGTGATAATATTACAGTACAACGCTCAGGGTTAAAAATATAAAAGTCATAGGTTCAAGAAATCCTCCAGTCTGATCCCACAGGCTCAGTATGCTTTACATGTGTAAAGACTCTATACACATGTAAGACAATGTTGACAAATTAAGAGAGGCATATCTAAAGACATAAAGCTCTACAGTTGGGGATCAACCCAAGAAACTTTCAATGTTCTTTACAGTAAAAAAACCAGAAGTGTTGATTAAAATGGGCCATTATCTAAAATAACCATTGCTAAATAGTAACAGAGCCCTTAATTTTTTAATTTCCTTCCCTCATGTTTCCTGTGAATGGCCCTTAAGTTTTACAGCATGAAAAAATTACTCATGACTTTCAGAGTCTACAGTCTTTTTTAATGTTCTTCATCGTATCAATTTTTATTTCATGTTGTATCAGAGATAGACATTGATTGACACGCATTCTGAACTAGCCACACATTTCTCCAGAAACTTAGTAACTGCTGTTAAACTCAACATTCAAACTACAACTAGGAAAGAAAGCTCATTAGTTACTATGTTCACCTAATCAAATCACTTCCTGTCCCCAGCATTATTTTTAAAACAAGTTTAACAAATACAATGAATACGCTACTATATGACATTTATTTAGTATTTGCTTACACAGTATCCTACATATCCTCTACTTTCAACCATGTTAGTTCCAACTGAGATTATAGTAAAAATGATTACTTTACCAGGTTTTTTGTTTCATTAATATTTCTTTTTGCTTTTTCTGTACTTTCAGGGCTTCTTTATGCCTCAAATCTGCGTTTCTTTTTCTTTCTGCTGCCCGCTGTGCAACAGCATCCAAATCAGGTTCCTAAAAATATTTATTACTTAAAATGTCATACTAAACAAGAATAACAGAAATGTATCTCATATAGTATCAGAAGTAATTTATCAATTTTGTCATCTTCTTTCTACACATTATACAGCAGTGTTTCCCAGAGCATGATAACAGCACCACTGATGACATGCCATATTAGGGGGGACAAATGCAAACATTTTAATGCATAGTTAATGCAATCAATTAACATATTATTACAAAAATATAAATAGGATATTAAACAACTTAGGACATGGTTAAAATAAGTAATAAAAGAGTTCATCAAAATTAAAATGTCAAATGTATAGTAATATGGGTAGTTTACCAGACGGGGCAAAAATTGTGAATGTGATATTCAAATGACAGAGGTTGGGAAACACTGCACTCATGCACAAAATGAATGTGGCACACATAAAACCAGAGAAATCTGAGTCAGAACTTACAGCTATTACTAAAAACACAGACTAAAACCAAGGAGCAAGAAACAGATTGTCACATTCTTCAAGGTATTTTCTTCCTCACTAGTTTTTAACAAAGATTTATCAAAGATTCTTTGTGACTAGCTTGCTTATCGGATGTGACTGATTCTAGGACGGCAGTATTTCCACATCACAAATCATAATAAATCAAAATAATGGGGCAGACTTACAATGGCTTTCTGAAAGTCATCAAAAAATGTTTGCTATTTGTAAATGAAATACAAATATATATACATTCAAACCACATGTTTAAGGGAAATATACTGAAATGGAAAATCTGAATTCACCCCACTGAATCTGTCTAAAATGCCTGAGATGAACAAAAACTTCTGAATCAGAAGATTATTACTTCCCCAGATAGGAGAGTATGGGAAGAGAATAATGCTAATTTAAACATCATAGGAAGAACAATTTTATCTGACATGGATTTTACTTAACACGACTCTTACTAAGAAATGAGCCTACTATCACTCACAAATTACATTAAATTTATAAAAAGGCTCAGGCTTCCCCAAAGAAATTCAATGCATGAAAACATTTTTATCATAATAAAAGCATTCAACAACTATAATTTACTTCTGACCAATATTACTGTCACACTGGGTAGTCAAATAAGATCTCACTCACATTTTCTTTGGCCTGTCGATGTCCCTCTCCCATACTTCTCAAACTTGCCAAATATAGTTTTTCCAAGTTCTTTATTTTCTGAGTTTGTGATTCTTCCCATTCTGCCCTTAGCTCCTCTGCCAAACGTGTAAATTGCTGATTTCTCCTCTGTTTTATGTCTTCTCTTATCTGTAAGGCGATATCTCTTTCTTGCTCTCGAACCTAAAGAATGCGTATTTAACAAATTATATGAAAGGAGATTTTACTTAAACTACTTTGAAAAGATATTTGAAAACAGGAACTCAAATAAATTCTCTTAAGTCTATCAATTCTCCTAGATATTCACCTTGTATTATATAAGAACTATTTAAAGCAGAAAATCTGAGTGATTAGAATAAAAAATAAAAGTCTCAAGATTGTATCTAATGTCTCCTAACAGATTAGCCTTTATTTGGTGCCCACTCCCAAAAGGACTGCCATTATCACTCTAATAACCTATAAAAGCTAAAATGATAAATATGATTCAACACATCTATAGCCCAGAGTATAGAAAGAGGCAGCTAACTCCATTTCTGTTGCACATCATCTCTAATTCTAGACAGAATGGTGCCTGAAACATACTTCACAAAAACTTACTCTAAAAACACTTCTAGAAAAGGGTAATCTACAATTTCCTGTTTCCGCAGCTAATAATCTTTCCAATTAGTGTTCTTCAAAGTCATCTAAGCCTCCTGTTATCATCAATTACAGACCATTTTTTTAAAAAAGATAAAGAACTATTTTCAATATTAGAGTCAAATAGTATCTATCTTCCAACTCTTCTCCAACCTACTTACCATCTCTGCCTATTTTTCAAATGTTCCAAAACTAGTTAATACTGAAGAACCAGGGTTCTTGTATACCCACAAATAGTTTTAAAATACAACATTTAGAACATTCTAATGTAGAAGAATACAAGTACTTTGAGGACCAAAGGTATTTAAAACCTTATTCCAAATAAGTCATACCTGTAGCAATCTTAGTTTTCGTCTTCTTTCATAATCTTCTTTCAAAACGAAGGCTTCCTCATTAGGACTCAATCTCAGCTTCCGAGCATTCACTACTTTTCTTTTCATTTCTGTGTACTTTATGTATGACAGTTCTGAATTTTAAAAAAAGGAAAATGTCTATAAAAATAATGTAACATTAAAATAGGGCAGCAAAGATTAGAATTTTTTTTTTTTTTGAGACAGAGTCTCCCTCTGTCACCCAGGATGGAGTACACTGGCAGGACCTCAGCTCACTGCAACCTCCGCCTCCCACATACAAGCAATTCTCAAGCCTCAGCTTTCAGAGTAGCTAGGATTACAAGAATAAGCCACCATGCCCGGCTAATTTTTGTATTTTTAGTAAAGACGGGGTTTCACTATGTTGGCCAGACTTGTGTCGAACTCCTAGCCTCAAGTGATCCACCTGCCTTGACTTTCCAAAGTGCTGAGAACACAGGCATGAGCCACCATGCCTGGCTAGAATAATTTTTAAAATTCGTATTAATACTTTTGATATTTAGAAGGCTATATACATGCAAGGAAAATGAGTAAACAAAGTCCAACTTATTGACAAATAACAATTATAAAATCACATATAGATCAGTGACACTGAGAAGGATGGGAATGGAGAAGTGAAGACTGAATCAGAATTACTCAGAAAAGTTTTCTCCCATCTGTAGCAGATTGTCTACCTTGAGTATCTGGACCTGCCTTATTCCTAGTTAACATTTCCAGAGTTTACTGAGCTTAAATGTAAAAAAGCACAAAGACCTAAAAAGATGTTAGCATGAAATAAATCTTTTCACAACTACAATTTGACACTCTAGAACTTTAATAACATGTTCATAACCAGCAAGATTGCTGTAATTTCAAGGGCTCTTCGGTCCTAGATTCAGCTCCCAGTCTACTCTATATAACTTTATCACCAAGTGTCATTGTTACCCCATGAAATCACAACAATTCCATGTTCTATACTCTAAACAGCTCTTCAATAATTACAGTGATGCTATTTTTATATGAATGATCATTAAAAATCCCTTTAGAATAATTCTGTTCAGCTGTGTCAAGCGTTTAGGCTTCCAGATCTATTTTTTTTTTCTTTTTTCTTTTTTCAGATTGAGTCTTGCTCTGTCGCCCAGGCTGGAGTGCAATGGCACGATCTCAGCTTACCATAACCTCCGAGATCTCCTGTGTTCAACCGATTCTCCTGCGTTCAAGTGATTCTCCTGCCTCAGCCTCCAGAGTAGCTGGGATTACAGGCACCTGCCAGCATGCCTGGCTAATTTTTGTATTTTTAGTAGAGACAGGATTTCACCATGTTGGCCAGGCTGGCCTCAAACTCCTGACCTCAAGTGATCCAGCCGCCTCAGCCTTCCAAAGTGCTAGGATTTCAGGCCTGAGCCACCGTGCGCAGCCCAGATCTATTCTTCTGTTGCTACTGTTTATACTTGGTATTCTCTCTCTACTCCCTAGATGATAACATGCTACTATTTGGGGGAACGAGGCGGAAAGAAATGGGATAAATATAAGAATCTATAGTTCTGGGACATGGATGAACTTGGAAACCATCGTTCTCAGCAAACTGACACAAGAACAGAAAATTGAACACCACATGTTATCACTCATAGGCGGGTGTTGAACAATGAGAACATATGGACACAGGGAGGGGAGCAACACACACTGGGGTCTGTTGGGGGAAATAGGGGCGGGACAGCAGGGGGTGAGGAGTTGGGGAGAGATAGCATGGGGAGAAATGCCAGATATAAGTGATGGGGAGGAAGGCAGCAAATCACACTGCCATATGTGTACCTATGCAACAGTCTTGCACGTTCTTCACATGTACCCCAAAACCTAAGACGCAAAAAAAAAAAAAAATCTACAGTTCTATAATTTGAATACCCTCCTCAGGTAATTCTGAAATTAACTGGTTCCTATTACTGTCATTTCCAAAAAATTGGACACTTAATATCAGTATGCAACCATTTTAACTGAGACAAGTCAACATTTCCCAGGTCTGTCTCACAATGACCAGGCAGGCATTCTCAGTTGCTGACTATTTACATCTTTATGAAGCTAGCTTAAGCCCTCCTTCCCTTACAAAGCTGTCCTCTGATAATTCCTGTTCCACTTACTCTCCCACTCCTGACTTGTCCACCTCTTAATGCATTATTACCAATACATTCAGATAGGGACTAATTTTATGTTGTCTTGGTATTACCTCCTGTAGTTTTTCATCAACCATAGTTTGCTCTTTCTAGTTAGATTACTAACAATTGAAGGACGGTGGCTATGGGTTTTTACATTACAATTTAATATTCAATGAAATTTAATAAACAACTACCAGGTAGTATTTCAAATACTATGGATTGACAATGTTTTCAATTAGGTGTAAAGAGAATAGGGGCTAGGAGACTGTGGGGTTACCTAACAGGGACTAATTAATACCTTTCCACTGACTTCTCCATCAGAATGTAAGCTCATAGGGCGGAATGGACTTATTCACCATTTTATGTCCATAGCCTAAAAACAGCATCTCGCCCACAGGTAGCTACTTCAGTAAGTGTGGTGACTATGAATGATTCAATGAGTTAATTCATGCAAAGTGCTACAGAGATATAAACAATCATCACTACTATCTTCAGTAAGACTCTAACGACAAAAAGGAGTAATGGCTTACATTAAAAAATCTTTTAATGCATCCTATTCATCTGATACTCACAAGGTTTTGGTAATGGTAACTAAAGTACTGATTATATTTTTCATGTTATACATGAAGAAACAAGGCCTCTTGTGTTAAAGGACTTTTCCTGAGTGGTAACATCTAGTGGAGAAGCCAAAGGATCTGGTTTCCTTATTCCAAATGGCTACTAACTTTCCAACACACAAAGACATGTGGAGTGGTGAAAATTTTATTTAAAGCTGTGGTTTTTTGCGAGAATTTAAAAAAAAAACAAGGAAGAATTTAACAAAGAAAAAAACAAGGTTAATCTTTACATCTTTATTATTTTGTCGGATGGTCTAAGAATTCACTCATATTTAAATAAGACTAATTCCTGATAAATCTCATAGACATATCACTGAATTTTTAAAAAGCCAGACACAAAAGAGTACAATAAAATTCATTGATATGAAGTTTAAAAACAAGCAGAACTAATCTATGCGAGGTAAAAATAAAGTTACCTTACTGAAGGTTACTGACACGGAGATGGCACAAAGAAGCTTACTGGGATACTAAAAATAGTCTATATTTTGACCTGTATAATGGTTTAACAGGTGTACACATGGGTAAAAATTCCTCAAATGGTACATCTCTATTTGTGTTTCATTCTAACTCTTATTTCAATATAAGAGGAGAAAACCCTAATACTTCAGATTTAAGTATCCATCACTTCATCTCAGAGGATTACAGAAAAACATATACACATATCATTGTTTTGAAGCTCCTAAAATGTGATAAAATAACTGTTTCCTCTTGTGTATAATTTTTAATTTTTTAAACTTACTTGGAAATTTCAGGCTGAGAATTCCCATTTGTCTTTTCCCCAGCTTCTCCAAATGTCAACGTCTTGTATGTAACCACGGTACAATGATCAAAACGTGACTATTAACACTGGTACAGTATTTTTTACTAATCTACAGACTGTATTCAATTTTTGTCAATTATCACACTAATGTGTATTTTCTGGACCAGGATCCAATCCAAGGATAACATATTACATTTGTTGCTGTGCAACTATGGGTCATCTAAAAAGCAGATGCTACGATGGGGATTAAACCTGCAAATATTTTATTAGGAGAAATGCGTGTGGGAGGGAACATGGGGAAGGAGCCGATAAAAGCTACAAGAGGCCGGGCGCGGAGGCTCACGCCTGTCATCCCCGCACTTCGGGAGGCCGGGGCGGGCGAGTTAGGAGGTCACAAGTTTGCTCTGACGGCTGCGTGACTCGGCGTGAAGTCGCCAAATGCGCGCTACGTATTAAGGACTCAAAAGCTCAGCAGTGTTTTCAAAGCCGAGTTTGTGGCGCGGTCGAACAACTGTGGGATGAAGGTGGCAGACACCAAGAGAGAGCCCGCTCCTGGCATGAGACGGTTCCAGGACATGCTCGTTTCACAGCCCGCAGGTGGCAGGCCGCGTCCGCACGAGTGACCTGGGCGAAGCGCCCCTTCCCCCGGCACGGAGGCTCCGGGCCCCGGGAGGCCGCGGGGGAAGCTCGCGCGAACCCACCCCGGGGGAGTGCGCAGAACGAGCCTCTCGTGCGGAGCGGCCGGGTCTGGGTCGAACGCTCCCTGCAGCCGCCAGCCCGACCGCGGGCAGGGCCCACGGGCTGCGGAGCCGGAGACACACCGGCGTGTTGCGCTCGCAGCACGGCGCCCTCCCAGGACCCCCTTCCCCCGGAGCACCATCCCGGCTCCCGGGCCTCAGCGAGCCGCGCTCCTGCAGGGCGACCAGGAAGCCGGTGCGTCGGCCACTCACCTGAGAACCCGGAGCCCGGACACGGCAGCCGCAACGCAGAGCGCGCCGGCCCGGGAAGCCCCCGCTCCTCAGCTGCGCGGCAGCCGTTTCTGCGCCGGCGGGAGAGCCATCGCTGAGCCGCCGTCACTTCCGTCCTGCAAACCGCCTGCCAATGGCGGGACGAAACCGCGGGAACTGGCGCGATCCCGCCTACCCCGGGGGCCGCCGGGAAGGCCGCGCCGCGTTAGAGCCCCGCGCTCCGCGCACGCGCACGCGCACGCGCACGCGCACCGGCCGGCGCTGACCTGCGTCGGGGCCCATTGTTTGTCACACCTGTCGGGCTTGGAAGCTGTCGGCGTTGGGCCGCGCTCTGTGCCTCGTGCCTTGGTTGGTTGGTTTGTTTGTTGTTTTTTTTTTTTGAGGCAGAGTTTCGCTCTTGTTACCCAGGCTGGAGTGCAATGGCGCGATCTCGGCTCACCGCAACCTTTGCCTCCTAGCTTCAGGCAATTCTCCTGCCCCAGCCTCCCGAGTAGCTGGGATTACAGGCACGCGCCACCATGCCCAGCTAATTTCTGTATTTTTAGTAGAGGCGGCGTTTCACCTTGTTGACCAGGATGGTCTCGATCTCCTGACCTCGTGATCCAGCAGCCTCGGCCTCCCAAAGTGCTGGGATTACAGGCGTGAGCCACCGCGCCGGGCCTGGCTTGTGCCTTTAATCCCAGCACTTTGGGAGGCCGAGGCGGGCGGATCAGTTGAGCCAACAGTTCGAGACCAGCCTGGACAACATGGTGAAACCTCATAGTTACAAAAAATAAAACAACAACAAAAATAAGCTGGGTGTGGTGGTGGGCGCCTATAATCCCAGCTACTCGGGAGGCTGGGGCAGGAGAATAGCTTGAACCTGGGAGGCGGAGGTTGTGGTGAGCCAAGATCATGCCACTGCACTCCAGCCTGAGTGACAGAGCCGGAACCTGTCTCAAAAAAAAAAAAAAAAAAAATTTGCACAGAGCCACGAGGGTGACTTTCATTTTAAGGCCCCATCATGGAGATACATATCTTGGGATATGCATCCTTCCTGTACTGACTACGGAATTCATTGGTACTATTAGGTGTAGTTAATGTATATAGCTTTCATTTAAGGCCTCCAGCTCATAACAACAGTGACCCGTATGTTACCTTGTGCCTCCGGAGGTCCAAAGCATGGAGAGCACCTCACGGATTTATCTACTGTAAATAGCCAATAATCAGGTGGTGAGCGCAGGTTAATATTTATTGAGTATCTGTTATATGCCAAGTACATTATATTGGTGCAGGGGAGACAAGGGTGAATGGATTATGATGCCTGTACTAGATTTTGCAGTCTGGGAGTGTGCGGGTTAAACATATCAGGAATTAAAGGATTGACAGGATCAAATTTGGCTGCACTGTGGAGAAAGGTCAGAGAGAGTGAAGACAGAAGGCCGGATACTACTGCAGGAAGTGAAAGACAATGGCAACGAGAATGGAGAGAAGTGGGTAGATTGACTAGGAAGCCAAACATCAGGAATTGGTGGTTACCTGGTGATGGGAGGCAAAAGAGGAGAAAACAAGGGTGATGCGCAAGTTCCAGATTTAGCAAGTGGGTAGATAGTGATAGCATCCTCCTGGAACACACAGGAAGAGAACCAGGAGGGAGAAGTAATGAGGTAAGCTTTGAATATTTCGAATTTGAGCCGTTTATGAGATACCCAGACAAAAGGATGAATTTCAGAAACTTAGGACACAAAATTAGCAGTCCTTGACAAACAATTGCATGTGAGATTGAGGGAAAAGAGAAAGTGAAGTTAATTTCATAGGGCACTAGCTTGGGTAGCAGTGTTGATTCTTGATTGTAAAGGGAGAAATCAAAAATGGGAGTTAAGTGGGCAGGGAGATGAGCCAAGTACTGTGTATACTGAACTTAATGTGCCTGTAAAACATTCAGTGATGTACTATAAGCAGATGAATACATCGTTAGATAGCCCACAGAAAGAAATAGCCTAAGCATAAAGGGATTTCCTTGTTACATGAGTAATAACAAAAGCCAGAGGAATGGATGAGATCACTTAGGGAGACTTTGCAGAGTGAGAAGAGCAATAAACAAAGAACCACTCTCCAACAAACACCAGAACTTAAAGGGATGGAGTTGGAGAAAGGAACTGCCAAGTACATGAAGAAACAGTGTCAGTGTAGTAGTGTAATTCCACCTCAGATTTACAGATCAGGAAACTGAGTTACCGAGAAGTTCAGCAACTTGGCCAAGGGCACATTTAAGTCAAGGCTGAACCAGAACTAGAATTCATGTTTTCCCCCTCAAATATTAGAGTTCTTTAAGAATAATTGTATTCATTTTAAACATTTTTCAGCGTCCTCCATACAGATGCGGAGATACTCTTCCACACCCAATAAAATATATGCATATTATTTCATGCCTTGGGCTAGGCTTAGTGCCTGGACATGGGTTCCAAAATCCCCCTGGACATGCTGCCCCATGGCACTTATGAGTTCTTATTGAGATGAGCTGTTTATGGGGCTCTCTATTGATTAAACTCTAAGTTCCTTGAGAATCAGGAGTTTACTTTGTTTAGTTGCCTAGCATAAATGAACAAAGCTGAATAAATGAACAAATTATATGCCGCACTTCCTCAACCTTCATCCTGGGCAGAAATTCTACATTTGGAGATTTTGAACTGAGGCTGGTTCTGTTTTTAGTAGATGGCAGTGAGAAATCAAAACCCAGTGGGCTTAGAGTCAGAGCATCTGGCTTAGCATTCTCATGGATACTTTCTAGCCGTGGGACCTTAAACCAATGAGTCTTCATTTCTGTTTTGGCTCTCAATTGCTACCAACCAAACCGCCCTGGAATGTCCAACATGGGTGAGTTATTATGGCTGGCAGCTGATGCTGGCTGGCAGCTGAGAGCTCAGCTGGAACTGTTGACTGGAGTGTCCACCATGAGCAGTCCATGTGGACTGGATATCTCACTCCGTGGTGGCTGATTTGGAAGGGAAGCATCTTAAGAGTGGGCATTCGCAGTGAAAGAAGGTAGAAGCTGCAAATGCTTTTAACGGTGAGGCAAAGAACGAGTTGTCTTAGGTTTTACCACATTTTATTGGTTGAGTAACATGGAGCCAGCCCAGATTCAAGTGAAAGGGAAATGAACTCCGTCTATCAATTGAGTCAGTGACAGAATTTGCAGCCATCTTAACCCACCATTATTTCATAGTAATACTTCATCTCCCTTCTTTACAGGGTGGTTGTTGAGACTCAAAAGCATGAATCGTGAGAGCACTGTGTAAACTCTAGAGGGGTATACACATACTAGGTAGTTTAGCAGTTATTTTATTTTTTTCTGTCCAGCACCTTTTTCTCCTCTGGTACAGACCCAGACCTCTAAGCTGCAGGGGTTAGCATGTGACCTAGACTGGACAAATTGCAGTTCTTATCTCCATTGCCATTGTGACTGACTGAGGTAGGAGTACATGACCTAATTGGGGCAATCGGAGTCTTTCACAGGAATTTATACTAAAGCCGGCAGAGACAAATATTTTCCTCTCTAGGCTTATGTTAGCATGTAAACCTGGAGCTTTCCCAGGTAGTCCCCCACAAGCTGGTCTGAAAGAATGAGTGACAGCAAGAAGCACAGAGAGAATTCAGACAGTGGTCAAGTCCCTGGATCTAACCAGCCCTGAGGTTAATATGCCTGCCCATTCTGCAGCCAACTGGTAGGAGCCACTCAATCTTTTACTGAAGCAGTTTTGAATGGGAATTTCTATTTTTTGCAAATTAGAAAGGGATGTAGATTTTTATTTAAATTCTCATAGACAAACAAATCTCATGTCTTGGGAGATAGTATAGAATAATGTTTAAGATTTGGCTGAGCGCAGTGGCTCACACCTATAATCCCAGCACTTTGTAAGGGTGAGGCAGGAGGATTCCTTGAGCCCAGGAGTTTGAGACCAATCTGGGCAACATAGGGAGACTCAATCACTACAAAAATATTTAAAAATTAACCAGGTATGGTGATGTGCACCTGTAGTCCCAGCTACTTGGGAGACTAAGGAGGGAGGATAGTTTGAGCCCAGGAGGTCAAGGCTGCAGTGAGCTGTGATTGTGCCACTGTAGTACAGTTTGGGCAACAGAGTGGGACTCTGTCTGAAAAATAAAAATCTTAGATAGACTTCTTCTACTTGGATTTAAATTTCTGGCTAACTCTGTGACTTTGAGCTAGTTATTGGACTTCTTTAAAAGTCAGTTTTCTCACCTCTTAAAGAGATGTAGTAAAAGTACTCAAAAGGTTCTTGTGAAGTTTAATGCTCTTGAAACAAGGCCTGGCACAACATGTGCAATAAATGTTATCTTTTTAGGCGTTTATTTTAATACATTCATTTTAGACTACCAGAGCGGGGAAAAAAATCCCCAAACTCTCTTAAATGTGTTTATCGATGTTTTGGGTTTTATTTTTTAAATTTTTTTGGTAGAGATGGGCTGTTGCTTTATTACCCACGCTGGTTTCAAACTTGTGGACTCAAGTGATCCTTCCACCTTGGCCTCCCAAAGTGCTGTGATTACAGGCATGAGCCACTACGACCAGCCTGGTCTGATTTTTAATTCAGTCTTTTCGTAGAGTTTAGGCCTAAAAAGAGGTATGTTTATTGAGTTTCTAGTATTGTTAACCCATTGGGAACAAACATCAGTAACTACTGATCAAGAGGAAGAACTGTCCTCAGCAGTAATGACATTAGTGTCACTGGTTTCTGTGTGATGCTGCCACTCTTCAAAATGCAACTGAAGCCATTTAGGATTGGAACAGTTTAAGATGTTTCTTTGATGACAGGGATTTCACTGTTTCCTCTTTATCTACATCCAGTATAAGAAAATGACATTGAAGTGGGGAGGAACCCTCAATAATTCTTATGTATAAAAGCCAGAAGAAAGGAAGGTCTCTACAGGAACAAAAATAATCAAAGAACTTGCATCTGACCATCTGCTAAATGCCCTCTTCCTCCCTAACATACATATCACGGGAGCTTAACAAGTGGGAATGTCTCCATAGAATAAGTTAGAGCTGCTACCAGAAGTGAGATTAAGAGTGCCAGGCAGGGGAGGAAAGACGAGCTGAGAAAAAAC